CTTCAGGCGGAGCAATTGTCGGCGGAGCAATTGACGGCGGAGCAAATGTCGGCGGAGCAAATGTCGGCGGAGCAAATGTCGGCGGAGCAAGTGTCGCTTCAGGCGGAGCAAATGTCGGCGGAGCAAATGTCGGCGGAGCAATTGTCGCGTTTTGCGGAGCAATTGACGGCGGAGCAATTGTCGGCGGAGCAATTGTCGGAGGAGCAATTGTCGGCGGAGCATCTGTCGGCGGAGCAAATGTCGGCGGAGCAACTGTCGGCGGAGCAACTGTCGGCGGAGCACCTGTCGGCGGAGCATTTGACGTCGGAGCTAATGTCGCGGAGCAAATGTCGCGGAGCAATTGTCGCGTTTTGCGGAGTAAATGTCGGCGGAGCAATCGTCGGCGGAGCATGTGTCATGGAACCACACATGCACGTTATGATGTTTAAAATACTGCATGGCCTGACTCCTAATTATATAAATGAAAATGTTTCTTTTAGAGTTACTAGATAGTCACTTCGTAGTCAATTTAATCTTGCCCTTCCTAAACCCAGGACAAATTACTGTAAAAGAACCTTTGTATATAGAGGCTCAGTATTGTATAACGGATTACCATTGGCCTTACGCAACTGTAATACATTGTCTTCATTCAAGAGACTTTTGAGTTGTTTATAAGTTTACTTCACACAATTCTCTTTCTATAAATACCAGTTTCTTTTCTCTATACTGTCTGTCCTGGATATTTAATTTCTTACTATATTTTGCTTGAGAATTTATGTTTTGCCATTTTTTCTTTGTCGTTTTTCTTTGTCGTTTGTTAATGTATATTGTTATTTATTGTATTGTTTTACTGTATCATTTCTGGTCCCCATGGAAGACCAGCGGTATCATAATGATACCGCTGAATATGGGCTATCCAGCCGTTTATTTTATCTTGTTATTCATTATTCTATTTGTTATTATATTACTGAATGCATGATGTCTTTTATACGGAAATAAAACAAACAAACAAACAAACAATTCAACATGGAAAAATGTCCAAGTTTTCAATTACGAAAAAAATAAAGGCTTTTGAATTTGCAAATGTCATACGTAAAAACATCATTCTGTATAATAACAAAAATGTGTCTTAAAATACTTTTATGCGGCAAATAAATAAATACATTTTGTTTATTGAGTTTGCAGACTAATGGACGATTCTTTTGGGCACAATAACGTACCACACAGGCGCGTACGCAGGGGGGGGGGGTGTTTGGGGGTTAAACCCCCCCCCCCTTTGGTATTTTTATGTGTGTAAACCCCCCTAAAAAAAAACTAAAACCCGCCCCTTTGGATTTTTTTTTTTTTTTAATTATTAAAAAAAAAAAAAAAATTGTTGTCCCCATGGCTGACCTAGGAAAGGTGACCTTACCCCCCCAACGGAGCAAAATGTCAAATTTTCAAATTTCGAGACCAAAAAAAAAAAAAGGTGTCCTCTTACCCCCCCCCCCCCCCCCCCCCCCCCCCCCAGACCGACTTTTTGGCCGGCGCGATTTTCAAATTTTCCTGAGTCGTTGCGAAATTTTGGACCCGATTTTAAACCCCCCCCCCCCCCCCCCTTCAAAAAATCCTGCGTACGCCACTGGTACCACATACCCAAACGCTTTAACATTTTTTTCTTCACTTTTTGTGACATTCATGTATGATCTCCTCATTTTTTTTAATGATCTTGAAACCTCAAAATACAAATTAATGTTCATTTTCAAACTTATCAACCTTTCAATTTCAAATGTTAAAAAGGTCATGTTGACAACCTCACTTAATCGGTTGCTACCCATTCAAATAACAAATTCATTAGAACAGTCTAAAAGTTGGGGGCAGTAGTGCAAGAACCTAGCTGGTCTCCCGACCGTCCAGGGGAAACTTCCCTCCTACATGAGTAAAATACAAAGATGTAACATAAAAAAAAGAATAGTAAATCTATATGAGATTTCATAGGTTTTTATATTTATATAGGCCTAAACATGTATATATAAATATATATATATGCATATCTATATACACTCCCTGATGAAGCCCTTGGGCGGAAATACAAAGTTTCAGACATTCGTATTGATTTATATACTTCCAACCTGTTCCATTTTCTGAAGCAGAAAATATTCAAAATAATAGTTACTATTATGCATAGGCGTTTGAAAATTCTGTTCCTCCCACTCCTCCCCCCCCCCCCCACGAATAGTGGGGATGGTAAATATCATAAGGAGGGAGGGGGTTAGAATGTATGAGGAGTAGATAAATGTGAAGAGAACGAAAGAGGAACCCCCCCCCCTCCATTATTGCATTGTAAATTCAATCAACCAGTACGACCAGTGCAACCCCCCCCCCCCTCCACCATGACGCCAGCACCCGCTTAATATGCTATTTTCGTAATAATCTATATGCTTTCGTGAAGTGCCTCGATGCGAATTATTTCATTCACCTGTTACGAATTAATGTATCTCCATAATCAGAATGCGAATTGTGTTGTTAGGTAGGACGAGCCATAATGTTTGTCCTACCAGGGACGTGATAGAGAAGGACTGGAATCAAGCCGCTCTCCTTTGACCCATGCTCAAAGCCGCCGAAAAATTATGCGCTAATCTGCAACTGTTGACCAGGTGGTGAGATAAAGAACGCATGAAATTTTAGGATTTAGCATTCCTACATCAGAAATGGTATCACAGCAACTGTTCGCTGTCCCTTTCAATGATTTCGCATCAATTTTCAGGCGTAGTAGTCAGGGGGGGGGGTGAGGGGGGGGGGCACCCCCCCCCCCCCCCCCCCCCCCCAAAAAAAAAAAAAAACCGCCGGTCGAAAAAAGAGAGAGAGAGAGAGAGAAAGAAGAAAAAAAAAGTAATAGGACGTAGGAAGAAAAAGGGAGAAAGAGTCGAGAACGGTATAACGAATCTTCTTCTTTCTCTAGTAATTCAATGAAACGTCAACGCTTCGCGCGAGAGGGGGGGGGGGAAACAGAATTCAGACAAGGATTAAGAGTCGAGAACGGTACTTTGAGTCGTCTTGTTTCTTTGATGATTAATGAAACTTCAAAGTTTCCGCGCTTTGCGCGGGAGGGGAGGAAACTGATTTCAGATAAGGATTAAGAGTCGAGAATGGTACATCGAATCGTCTTCTTTATCTAATAAATTAATGAAACGTCAAAGCTTCCGCGCTTCGCGCGGGAGGGGTACTGAATACAGATATGGGTTAAGAGTCGAGAAAGGTACAACGAATCGTCTTCTTTGTCTAATAATACGTCAAAGCTAATTCCGCGCTATGCGCAGGAGGGGCGGACTGAATTCAGATAAGGATTATGATGATTCGAGAAAGGTACAACAAATCGTCTTCTTTCAAAGCTTCCGCGCTTCGCGCGGGAGGGGGGAACCTCCCCCCCCCCTTCCCTGCACCCCCCCTAGTTTTTCCCGCAGTGGAAGCGCGGTTCGGAGCATGGAACTTCAAAGCCAAGTGGAATGTTACACATCCATTGTTACGCTTTAGAACTCACGAATGCGTTTGAATAAATTACAAGAGTTACCACTCCTTTCTTTCACCTCCCTGGTCCTACCTATAGCAATTTGCATTCTGACTATTGAAATACAATTATTTGTAACAGTTGAATGCAATGATTTTGTAACATGGCACTTAAAAAAAGATTCATGGATTAAATTTGATTTCATTACGAATATGGTCTATTATAGATGGGACCACGATCTTATTCACAATAACAATATATCACCATTACCATGATTGTTATACCGAATGTTCGTGCATGCATCGGAAGGTTCCAATTTAAAAAAAGTTTTAAAATGTTCGCAATGCATGCCCATGGTGAAGTTGACTTTATAATTGGTTCTGTTTGGAGCCAGAAGGACGTTAAGTCCGTGTAAAATTATATGAAATAATGCCATTCTGGCTCCAAAACAGACGAGTGTGAATATGAGTGACGGTTCATATTCCGAGGATGATTTCCCGCATTAGCTAGCTATTAGGTAAATTGCCATCACTATTATCCATACCAATATTATTACTTTCCTCACGAGTAAGACCAATTATCAGGAGCAGCTATCATCACCCTTGAAACTCATCAAGTATTTATCACCAAAATTACCATCACTACAATAGCACGTTATCTTTCATCTCCTGCTACCAATATCCCTAATTATCCTCAATCCTCTCCTCAATAGACAATTTTTGTAATTAATTACATTTAATGCATAAATCTTTACAAATTATTTCATTAGTACCTAAGGGGCACAGTATGTTTTTGAGACATGGAGTGTTTTAAAAGGTCGTTCCTCACGAATAAGACCAATTATCAGGAGCAGCTATCATCATCCTTGAAACTCATCAAGAAAGAATCACCAAAATTGCCATCTCTACAGTGACATATTAATTTTCATCTCCTGCTACCAATATCCCTAATGCCACGGACACCTCCACAATCCTCTCCTCAATAGACCATTTTTGTAATTAATCAAATTTGATGCATAAATCTTTACAATTCATTTCATTAATACCTATAAGGGGCACGGTAGGTTTTTGAGACATGGAATGTTGTAAATGGTCGTTGGGTATCAAGGTGTTCAGGGCACCTTTCTGCACAATTTCTAGGTACTTGAAATTATGCGACTGGAAAAATATGGCCGCCATGTATTGTATATATAGCTACTGTTGAACGAAGTCGGAGATTACTTTTCAAGGGAACCTCATCTTACCGTTTGAGTGGTGTCATATGAAAGAAAATTAAATTTCCTACAAGATGATAACAAAACAAGAAATGCCTAAAAATACATATTTTCCCATAGACATCCCCATGTGGACATTACATGAACCAGATAGACTTCATTATCACCAAATTAGAAAATATAAAGACGTTTCAGAACGTACTGCGGATCGTATACTGCCATAGAGATATATATACTACTATATATCTCTATGTATACTGCTCAGCTGACATTGGATTTTTTGTTCCTTTTCTATTTGTTGTTCAATAACACCATAGATTGCAGAGTTTATTTTTTTTTTTGGTGCGGTTAGCTTCAATTGTTGCTCGGGTAAACAAACGCAGAATTGTATCGGAAAGGTAAGAAAATTACGATCTATCAGTACTTTTTGACAAATATTTTCGTCCCTTTTTAGCATAAATTGAAGTAATTCAATTCTATTTCTTCCATAAAAATGTTTTCGAGCTAAAAGTATACTTGGAAGTGATTTTTATTATATTAGTTTCCGTTGCTAAGAATTATTGTGTGCAGAGAAGCGACTGTGAAATCAGCACAGTCCCGTTCACCAAAATCTATGTAAAGTGTGAGTGAAAAAGGAAAAATGATTATAACGGAAAAACTGTGCATGTCATTACGAACTCGTAGCTCATGCACAATTTTTCCGTTATAATCCTTTTTCCTTCCCGTAGACTAGAAAGAATGAGACCCGGCTGCAAGATTTTCTTCATGGATGTCGATCTTGACCCATAATATCCTGAAAAGGGACCATTAAACAGATTCAAGTAGTCAAGTTGGTAAGTGGAACCGAAGTAGTTAAGCATTTAGCTAATTTAGGACTTTAAATGCATCGGATATGCATCCGGTAAAATATCAAAATTAGGGATTAAGTTTGGCCAAGTTTTGTGTAACGTTTCTTTACACAAACGCGCGTCCACTACAGCGTATAGGGCTGTTCTGTCTCTAAAGAGAGAGCCAACCTTACCCAAATCAGAGGCTAACGAACGAAAGAGAGAGAAAAATTCGGTCTAGATCTAGATCATCTTGTGAAGTACTGTAATGACAGTGAGTAAAGTAAGGAGAAAGAATCACATATAGATTTAGTACACATACTCTCAATTTCATTAGATTAAAACTGATTTGTTAAGCCAAAAATTAAAACTAAGATTAATTAGACTCTAGACTCAATTAAAAAAAAGAGACAAGTCAAAAGTAAAAAAAGAAGTGAAAAACGTTAAATCGTTCACATTATTTTTGAATTGAATGTGGAAAATATGATCTTAATGCGAATGATTTGCTTGTTGAGTTTCATGTCAATTAGATGTAGCTGTCCTACCGTTCCTGCGATTTGACAGTAAGGTCTAGACTAATAAAAAGCTGCAAAATTCTCATTTTTCTAACTCAGTAACTGGTTTAAACTGTAGAAATTAACTCTAGACTTTGGCCTAGTAGCCTAGACTTAAACTCAAGTTAATTTTGTTGCTGATTGTTTTGAAATCTTTTTAGGACCAAAAATGAACAACCATGCATCACTACTCAACCACTGTGTGTCCATCTTGGATAGCTTTGATCCTGCAGCGTTCGGTGTTGACCAGCATGTTAGCAGATACTTGAATGCTCATGAAGTAAGATTTTTTCCGCCTCTTTCGTTTCTTTTTTAAACTTCTCTTTGACATGTTAATTATTTTGTATGAAAATTGAAATAGAGTAAAGGAGCCGGTAATCGGCCAGCTCCAGTTTTCGGCCGATTGGTTGGATGCAAGGTAAAATCCCTCTAAAATACATCGCATAATAGTATAACACATTTCCTACACATACCATACCATGCCAGTGTCACTGAAGAACCACATTTGCAATGAAAAATATATCCTAAAATATCACATTTTAGCGATGTAATCGGCGGTCCCGCTACCCGAATCTGAAAAATCGAGTATCTTACGCGTGTCTGTAAGAAATATGGATACCATAAAATGAGCTTTATTTCAAGTATTTTTCAGATTTAGAGCCCGATTTTGTGCTAGTCGCAAGTTCAAAAGTATCTCATCGCATGTATTAAATCAATGCAGCCGCACACCGCAACGCACATCCGATCACCGCAGTACTAGTTTTCGGCCTGGCGAGCTCCAGGGAGCTCCGGCGTGGGATATCTGCTCAGCCCGCTAGTGCTATAGATCAGCACGGAAACGCACGGCGCGTGCGCGCGCTTCCTATTGACTTTGTACATGCGGCCGAAAACTGGTACGCTATGCCGAAAACTGACTCCGAAACAGTGAAAATTGAAATGAATATTGTCATGGCAATTTGTGATTTTTTTCTGGGATTCTTGTTTTGTTTAAATAATAATAATATTTGCTTCATGATTTGAACAAAAAATGATAATAAATAGGAAGTAAAGGGTCCAAAAAATAGGATTCTGTCTTAAGTGGCCGAAAACCGGCTCCTTTACTCTACCCAACCATTGACTTTTTTTTAAAAATCTTTCTGGTTTTCGTCTTACTATCAGTGTCAGAAAAAAAATTCTTAACATATTTTCTTTCTTTTTTGGTTTGTTTTTTGTTGTTGAAAGTTTAGAACTTAATGTTAACTTTTTTCTAAATAGAGAGAGAGAGAGCTGCAAATAATTGTCTATTGAAGAGGAAGAGATTTATACATTTAGCTTATCAACTTCAAGAAAGTTTAATTAATTGGAGGCTAAAATTTGTATGTTCGAATATTTGTAAAGTGTTAAGAACTTGATTGTATTATGTATAACTTGGCATAATTTGATGCCTGAGGAGCTAAAAGAAGATATGGGATTAAACCGCCGAAATTTGTTTTATTCTTTTTTAATTCATGTTTATAATATGTACAGCTTAAAACAGGTGGATCCTCTTGACAACTTTGTAGTTCAGGGGCTGTATTGTGAAAACAATCTTTTATGTTGGTGAAAATAATGATAACTGTCATAATGAATTTCAAAATCTGCGAAATCATCACTTACAATCAGTGCTCGCGCAGATGCCTCTTTCAACTCTATGCGATTGAAGCCAGTTTTGCATAGACAATAAGCAATGACTTGTCCTAATTTTAAATTATGACAATTAACATTGTTTTACTAACATGAAATACAACATAACTTTCAGAATACCATCCCACCATGACCACAGAGTGTTATATATACCTACAAACCAGCTAGAGATATACCTCCTACTCATGTTGATGTGTCATAAGAGACATTAAGTCCACATTTAAATGTGATAGATTTGCAGGCATCTGTATCCACTTCATTACAATTTTGTAACTATACATCTAATAATAACAATAAACAAAATAATAATATTGCCAAATTTATTCAAAATATGAATCACTTTTTCACAACATTGCAGAAACTAGAAATACTTACAAACAAACAAAGACAGAAAATATCATACAAAGCTATAATATTAATTACAAACAGAGGAATACTTAAAACAGATTATAAAATGTGTGTTTAAGATCGGAAACTTCTTGAAAGCTGTAAGAGTATACATGGCTATTCTGGGGTACAGGGGGTAAGGTGTTCCCGGTTTTAGGGGCAATAACTGAAAAAGCCTTTTTACCTATATCCATTGATATATTCTGAGAAAACTCTCAAGTACACCCTGTACGTGACACAAATTCTATAATATTTTTGACAGGTTTTAGATGAACGGGACAGATCCTTCATCACCGAGGTGTTTGCTGGCTGTGTGCGACATGGGCGGGTCATGGAGGTCATCGTTAAAGCTTTCTACGTCAGAGATGGCAGGAATTGTTTACGAGCTGACAAGAATCTCTACACAGGTAGGGAAATAGAAAGGAAATTTCAAAGTGGACTGCTGAGTATTCTTACTCAATTTTATATCTGTATAATCCATCACAAAATCAGTATGTTTTGTCATAACTTTGATTAAATTTTAATGTCATTTACATCTACCGGTATGTATATATACATGAATTTAAAATTATCGCATGTTGGCAGCTCAATAAATACACTGTAGAAACACATGCACATCAAGTCTGATATATTTGAAGAAAGTACAAAAATGAGAGGTAAATTAATGGAACACCTATAGAAAGCTGCATTTAGCTTGGTTCTTTAAGGTGTTCAAAAGAACAAAATGCTTTATACACAGGTAGAGTAACGTGATAATGAAAGTTGGCCATGAAATTATGCCCTAGTTATGTGTACACCAAACTTTGAGCCTGAAGTTGAAGACGTGTGCAAAAAGCAAGTTTCTTTGAATGATAATCAAGCTTATTCTTGGAGGACGTCCACACTGGTGTTACTGTTATCTTCTATGGTAAACTTCAATGTACTAATGACTTAGTTTAACTCTTTAGGTAACTGATGGAACAAACGGTTGACTGTCACATTGTTGTGCTATATATTTCAAATAGTGTGTGAATCTGGTGGTTTTATCCATAAGATAAAGTAAAGAGAAGAAAGAATTTCACTCCATTGACTGGAGTGTTGCTATAGGTTTAAATGTATATCCATTATATTTAATCCAGGCTTAAAGATAAAGACCAGTTATGGTCATGCGATTGCATTGTGAAAGAACGTTGTGGAATCGATCAGAAAAGGTTGATCATCTAGCATATAAGTATTGGTGTGTACTGCAAGGTTCTGAAATCATCAAAATGATAAGAAATTTGGCCCAGTCTTGGTAAAGTTACAAGCACTGTACACAGAAATATTTATATGGGACTATGCGACACGTGTGCGATACAAGCGCGATATCTATCAGGTCCAAATAGATATAATAATTTACCAAATATATCAATTAGTAGGCGGTTTCTCGGCAAAATTTGTATCATCACGTATTAGCCAAAACATTTTCTTTCTCATGGTTGGTAATAAGAGCTTCCATTTCATTTTTTGAGAGGTGGGCGTTTCCAAAACTGATCTTTACTGCATTAAGCAAGAGATTTCTCACTTGTTTCTTTGTATCGCTTTTCTGTTTCAGTACTGAGTTACCTTGCCCTGTACAGACTGGATGAGCTTGGTATGGCAAACTACGGCAAGTTTATCAGATCACAGGATGTCAATAAGATGCACAAAGTAAGACATAAATCCCATCATGAAGGTCTGTGTTAATCTTTATGCAATTAGAGACCCCAAAAGAAGCATTTTTGAGCAGGTGCATATTTTAAATCCTGGGATATGTATGTCTCATTGATACCCAAATATAATTTTTTAAAAACCAAGTGTTGTAATATTACATACATGTATTTTAATTTTTTGTTTTCTTCTTCAAATTGACTATTTAATCATGTAGGAAATGCCCAAGTATATACTTATCTGCCATACTATGATAAGGTCTATAAAGATTTGTTTTAATTAGGCAACGCAGGGCTCTACGTTACACCATCCATTTTACCATCTATAAGGCATCCAGACTGACATGTTTAGGGTCTTATATAGACTATATGCATGCGCATCATGTTAAATTTGTTAGATTTTGAGGGGTCTAGTCTTAGGTTTTGATGCCCATGTTTAAAGATGAAGTTGAGTTCTGGTCATGCGATTGCATTGTGAAAGAAACGGTGTGAAACCGACCAGAAAAGGCATCTAGCATATAAGAATTTGTGTGTATTGCAAGATTCTGGAATCATCAAAATGATAAGAAATTTGGCCAAGTTTTGGTAAAGTTACAAACACTTGCACAGAAAGATGTATATGGGACTACACGAACACGTGGCGTAAAAAGCCGCCCCCCCCCCCCCCCCCCCCGATTTTTACGATGTTACATGAATATTTAGAATATAAAGGCATTTGAAGAGCCATGCTTTTCAGGGAACATGTCTTATCTGATGTTCACTTGCATAATAAGAATGAGTAATGCTGACAAATTATTTTTCACCTCTTCCCAGAACTCAATCTTCTCTTTAATCTTTGTATAATGCTAAGAGCATGTGATTAATTATATCCAGTGATATGCTAAAGTATTGTTATCTGATAATTCAATATCCTGTGGACGACCCTACTTAATTGTTAATATTCATTTTTTTATTATACACTTGTAATAACAGTACCTAGCATTCAGCTTCAATGCAACACATTTGAAGACCTGGATGAAAGATGAATGGACCAAGATTTACGAGAGTTCATATGTCCAGGTCGAGCTCATTTCACCCATTCTCAGGTATGTAGTGGTGAGATGATTTCATCTCTTTTTAAAAGCTCTTTCTTTCTTCCTCCTCTCTCATTTAGTCCGTCTGTCTGCTTCTCCCTCCCCTCCTCTACCCTTCTCTCACTCTCTCTCTCTCTGTCTGTATCTCTTTGTCTCTCTCTCTTTGTCTCTCTCTGGTTCTCTATTCATCTATACCTATTTCACTCCACTCTTTCCTCTCTTTGTGTCTAACTGTCTATCTATGTAACTGTCTCGCGCCACTCTCTTTCTTTCTCTATCTCCTCCCTCTATCTCACACCTTCCTCTTTCCTATCTCCACCTTTCTATCTTACTCATCCCCCCCCCCTCTCTCTCTCTCTCTCTCTCTTTCTTCATCTATCTCACACCTCCCCCTCTCTCTCTCTCTCTCTCTCTCTCTTTCTTCATCTACCTCACACCTCCCTCTCTCTCTCTCTCTCTTTCTTCATCTATCTCACACCTTCCTCTTTCCTCTCTCGTCCTCTGTCTTTCCTCTCTTACTTCTCGTTCTCTCTCTTGCTTCATCCATCAATCTTACTCCTCTCTGTATCCTGTTCTATTGTTCTCTCTCTCTCTCTCCCCCCTCTCTCTCTCTCTCTCTCTCTCTCTCTAACTCTCTATCTCTCTCCTCTTTGATGCAATTTTGTCCTCCTTCATAAACCTAGCAAGAGTTGATTGACCTGCAACATGAACTGAAATTGATTGTGAAATCATGACTTTTTAATTGCAGATGGTTGCCTGAGCTCGGTGAGCTGATAGAGCAGCTAGCAAACAAGATAGCAAACAAATCAGCAACACAACGAAAAGTCAAAACACCAACAGGTTGGTTGTGCTTCATTTTATAGCAGTCATATATAACTACATTTAAAGAAAACAAACTAGAATGAAGAAAAAAGTGGTAATGAAAGCAGAGTGATTTACAAATGCTTGTGTTCTTATTGTATAAATTATCAATACAGCCATTATTTTTTATTTCATACAATTTTGTCCCCTTCTTTTTCTTCATGGCTTTTTGATTAAAAATAAATGTAATCTTGAAAAGTTTGGTGGGTCAGAGACTGTTTCCAAGATAATGCAATATTTTTTAATGGTGGTGGTAGTGGTGGCTATTTTACCTGACTGCTAAGAAAGCATGAATGCTTAAAGCAGCCAGAGGACTGACGGCTTTAGGTCCTCTCCGGAAGACCTGGTAATGAGGATTAATGCCTTACCAAAGGGCACTATAGCGCACCGACTTGGTTTCGAACCCGGGTCACCGGAATACGAGACCACTGTTCTACCAACTGAGCTATCAAGCTTCCATGATGATAATAGTAATGGTAAAATTACCTTGTGCTTGTATGCACATTTGAAATATTAAAAAAAAATCAATATTACTGCTTATAAGTATGTTGAGAAACAGATCTTTCAGCCAATTCTTAGACCGTTTATAAAAGTGGTTTCAACGATGATGGCAATGTCCAGTTTTCATTGCTTATTGATGTGCCATTTTTGCTTTCTGCGATGACAATATCGGGTTGTTTATCATCAGTTCTCAAGGGGCTATATTTTGATATCTTGTTATATAAATAGTAATACAGTAGTATATATTCATATGATATATGTTTGTATTGTTTGCACTTTCTGCTTAAAATCAAACTTTCAGATATCAAAGCATTCAACATAACTCAACCCAGACCAAGGAGTGTCCCAGTGCCAGAGAAAATCCCTCAAGTCAAAAAGTCAAAACCAGTAAGTTATACCCCATAATTCTCTTGTATATTATCTGTAAATACATATTTCTTTTAACATTTACCTCGGGAGGAGAGGCCTATAAGAATACCAATGTATGAAAGCAGTAATATCTCACCAAACGTTGTTTCTCCTGTGTGATTTAAGACTCTGAACTTATTTATATTTGCTTTATTTTTTATATTTGTTGTTGTTTTAATTGACAATATTAGATGATATATAATTATGTGTATGTATAATGTATATTGCTTAATTTTGAGTTTGTGTTTTGATGTGTTTTAAACATAGCCAGCTAAGAATAACTGGAAGGGTGTAAGGTCCTTGGTACAGAGATTTCTTTTATTTCCTATTCACATGGTTCCCAAATCAACTTACCATCTAATTTTGAGTTTTTATGTTGATGTGCTTTAAACATATAGCCAGCTAAAAATAACTGGAATAAATATAAGGTCTGTGATACAGTGATTTCCTTTCTTTCCTATTCACAGGTTCCCAAATCAACTTACCATCTTCCCAGAGAAGGTACACTTGTTGAAGAAGCAAAAGAAAGAAATAGGAAAAGAGCAGAGGTAGGTTCATTTTGAGGGGTCAGTGTCACAAAGACGTAACTCCATCACTGAGCACTTGGGCCTTAAGGAGTTAAGTCTATGTTTCACTATAGCCATTGACTTCAATGGGGTGCTGGGTGGAGTTAAGTCTTTGTGTTTCCTGGAAAGCCCACATAGGAACTCATTTCCTCGTATTTTTCTTTACTGCCATTCTAGGAGAATTTACTGAGTGCAGCCAAGTCCCAGTTCTCCTGTGCAAGCGCGGAGAAGTCTGAGAAGACGATCGTCCGTAAGGCGGCCATCATGAAGAAAGAAGAGAGCAAGCTGCAGTTCAACAAAGTGAAGGCCAGAAAGATTCCAGAGGCTGTCTCGAATAACGTTCCCATCAAGCTCAACATGGCAGCCATCTTGAGAGAAGGACAACTCTATCAGAAGAGAGAAGAGGATGAGATGAGAAAGTGAGTTCTTTTTTGGTGCTAAATATCTATATATACAGTGAAACCTGACTATAAAGACCAGTGGCGGATCCAGGGGGGGGCTGAAACGGCCGCGGCCCACCTATTGGCGGCGCAAAAAAAAAGAGGAAAAAAAAGAAAGGAGAAGAGAAGAAAAAAAGGAGAAGAGAAAAGAAAGGAGAAGAGAAAAGAAAAGAGAAGAGAAAAGAAAGAAGAGAGAGAGAGAGAGAGAAAGAAAAAAAAAAAGAAGATCCCCCCCCCCCCCCCCCCCCCCCTCCTCACTCCTACTCCGGGGTCGGAGGGACCGATTTTGTGTTCCCAAAATTTCCGATAAAGGGTTACTTTTCACGCAACAAAGTCCGGCCCGTAATACACACAAATCCGGCCCGCACTGACTTTACACACCGAAGATAAAGGGGTGCTTTCAAACTAAGAGAGGGAACATACATGCGCATACCCTAGATAACACTGAGTGGGTGGGGGAGGGGGGGGGTGGGAAGGGGAAGAGAAAAGTCGGGTGAGAAAGGGGGAAAGACAAGGAAATGGCGCTAAGTGACAGTAACGACGAATAAGGGAAAAACTGTAATCGGGAGATTTGGGGTCATTCCAGAAGGCTTGGGAAACGTTATTGAATAGAGGGGGCCGGGCCGGCCGCATAAAGTCTCGAGCCACGGATTCAAAGTTAAACGTTACAAACAGCCCCTGCTTTTTGAAAAAAATTGAAAAGGGCACAATGTTTTGGATGTCTTTCAAATAGAAGCTATATACTAAACAGTCAAATTTTAAATTAACGGTAGGGCCGCTTCACAACTCTTATTTTGCCCTTCATTTGGATTCAGCTCATACCAACTCGCTTGTGCTTATATTTGAACTCATGTAGTGATAATGGACAGCGGCGGCGATCCTGGGACCGATAGAGAGAGACGTCCCCCCGGAAATTTAGATATATAGCTAGAAAGAAATATACATGTAGCGGATAGAACGTACATATTGGACGATTAAGAATCGAGAATGAGACAACGAATCATCTTCTTTCTCTCATAATTTAATGAAGCGTCAAAAGCTTACGCGCGGAGGGGGGAAACTGAATTCAGACAATGATTAAGAACCGAGAACGGAACAACGAATCGTCTTCTTTCTCTAATAATTTAATGAAACGTCAAAGCTTCTGCACTTTGCGCGAGAGAGAGGGGGGGGAACTCAATTTAGACAAGGATTAAGAGTCGAGAACGGTACTCTTTCTCTAATGATTTAATGAAACCTCAAAGCTTCCGCGCTTCGTGCGGGAGGGGGTATGGAAACTGAATTCAGACAATGATTAAGAATTGAGAACGGTACAACGAATCGTTTTCTTTCTCTAATAATTTAATGAAACGTTAAGCTTTTGCGCTTCACGCGGGAGAGGGGGGAACTCAATTCAGACAAGGATTAAGAGTCGAGAACGGTTCTCTTCTTTAATGATTTAATGAAACGTCAAAGCTTCCGCGCTTTGCGCGGGAGGGGGTATAGAAACGTAATTCAGACAATGATAAACAATCGAGAACGGTACAACGAATCGTCTTCTTTCTCTAATAATTTAATGCACGTCAAAGCTTCCGCGCTTCGCGCGGGAGAGGGAAGGGGGGGACTCAATTCAGACAAGGATTAAGAGTCGAGAACGGTACTCTTTCTCTAATGATTAAATGAAACGTCAAAGCTTCCGCGCTTTGCGCGGGAGGGGTATGGAAACTGAATTCAGACAATGATTAACAACCGAGAACAGTACAACGAATCCTCTTCTTTCTCTAATAATTTCATGAATATTAAAGCTTCTGCGCTTCGCGCGTAATGGGGGGGGGGAGGGGGGAGGGGACAGCGAGCTGCCCGAATATGAATTTGTTATATCTTTTCTCGTATATTTTGGTGATAATAACACTTTCACAAAATACATATCATCCTCAAATTTTTGCTCGCTCGCTTCGCTCACTAGCCGAATTGTGAAACCAGAAAAATACTTTTTCGGGCAAGAGGCTTCATAGATGCTCGCACTGTAAATGCACAAAATTCTGGGGTAACAGTTGGCCCCGCAATTGGCCACGCATTTGGTGCGTTTACAGTGAGCGACCGGGCGTTTACAGTGAGAAATTGCGGTGCCAGGCCGCGGCCGAGACTACCTCCAGATCAGGGCAAAATGCGTGCCCAGTTTGGCCTCGTATTTGGCCTTTTGCGTGTTTACAGTGCGAGGCCAGGTCGCGGCCTGACTGGCCTTTTGCTCACTGTAACAGGGGTCTAAGAGATAAGTTCAACTTAGGATCTTTGTGAAACACCCCCAACTCATTTGGTTGAATATCCTCTTTGCTTTGACTTGTAGGCTTGAGCAGCTAGAGGCCGGAGCGAAGGATGCCTCTGAGTTTTTGGAGTGGCAGACCTCCATGAGACAGAGGGATACAGAAGAACAGCTTGCTGAGATCGAGCGCAAACGTCTGGAGGGAAAACTGAGCCATGAAGAAGCCATCTTGGCCAGACAGTCGCTCATCAAAGAGAATAAAGAGAAGGTCCAGATCATGAAAAAAGAGGTAATTATTCCATCTCCCAGGTCCATCTCATTTTGGCTGAGGAACTTTATTGACTATTTTGGTACCACTTGTGCTTGGAAGGGGAAAACTAACTTAATCTCAATGACCCTTAAAGGTCTCGATCTCCTCCTGTGGTTAGTGGTACAAGAAAATGTATTTACAGATAATACAAGAGAATTATGGAGTATAACTTACTTTATTTGAAAGGATCGATACTAATAATTTTTTTAATAAATTATACCATAATAAGATATAAAGTCACCCCAAACCCTGTTTGTGACATTAGAATGGTTAGGATTTAAAGAGCATGAGAGGAAAAAGTATTTTATTTTTATATCAAGGCTCGCTCAAAGTATACTCTCTGTTAACTTTGGTGCAAGTGCATGCTTTTACGAGTGTGTTGGCAAGTGTACTCATGTGTCGCTATATATAGTGTAATTTAGATATTGAAACTTGTAACATCTCTTCACAAGAGAAGCTAATCTGCTATTCTTTCATGAAATCCCAAACGTATAGAGCAAAATAGTATTTGGTGTGTTCTTTCAACCCACCTGATAATGAAATAAAAAATTAAAGTAAACTGAGATTGTGCTAGCAAGTTTGATAGCAAGGCCTTATATGAAGAGTTTAATTCTAAAAGGAGCTAAATCCATTATTGTAACTTCTGAGAAAAAAGAAATTGTTTGCCAGATTTTGTACAGGCGTCTGGAAAAGTGATATTAGAACATGCATTTTTTCATAATTGCTCCCAAAATTTAGGTAAATAATTTTGTTGAAAGATGGGTACTTAAGTAAACAATGTTCTGAAATCAATCACTTAAAAAATTGTCATCAAAAGTGGATTTAGCTCCTTTTGGAATTAATCTCATCATATGTTGTATGTAGGAGTCATGAAAATGTTATCTTTCATTCATTCTTTTCTCTTTTCCTTGTGTCTCTAATTAGGCTGAAGAGATGATGGCCAAGTATGTAGAGAAGAGAATGAAAGAGGAGGAGGTGTTGAAGAGAGTGGTAGAAGGTATCATCTCCGGACATCAGAACGCCAAGCAAGCCAAGGTCAAGATGCAGGAATACAACAGAAAATTGGGTAACATTTCCAAAACTAATTACTAACAGGTCAATATGGTGTGATATCTAGATGCAAGGTGGGCTTGAATAATTTCTATTGCCAAAGTAATAGCACAAATCTTGAACAGCCCCTTTTCAAAATTTAGAGAAGATTCTTTTGTGCTGTACAAAATAACTTATGACTGATATTGAGATACTGATCGTATAATGATCATATCATAAGCTATGGAACTATCATTTTTCTGATGATTGAAGAATGGCCAATTGGATAACATACCAAAGAAAGTAGTGATTCAGGTCCTTTTGTAACCCCTTCTGCGCTTCTGGCTCATGAATTTTTGTCTTTCTTTCTTTTTTTTAATATATAAAAATAAGATTTCTAGTATTAAAGTTTGACTTGTGCTTGACTTTACATGTCTCACTGTTTAATTGGACAGGAATTGCATATGAATAGAATTTAAATGGAGGGTGATTGTTTCTGTTATTGGAAGACAATAACAGTTATTTTAGGGTCTTTCGACACCAGTGAACACTCAAATTCGGTTTTTGCTGCCAGCAGCGCAGAAGGGGGGTAAAATAAACCATGTTTCAGTCTCAATCTTTAACGCTAGCCTTGTTTGTATTCTCTTCATACAGTTGAGGAAGTGAGCGAAGAAAGCCGGGAACTCTTGAGACAAGCTTTGGAAGAGGTAAGAATATGACACTCCATCTTTAACATTGAAAAGAATTATTCATGTTTGTATCAAGGTTCAGAAAAGGTCAATGAATAACTAGATCATTTCCATGATTATTGTAATTATGAATTTGATATAAGTCTTATTATTTGAGGAACATTTTTGCTTAATATGCAAAGGAGTTGGAAGGCCAATATTTACAAGGTTATATTATGAAAATAAATTCTGTTTTTAGTAAATTGTTGCTTGAATTTCTCCATTTAAAATGGGGGTTCGAGGAATTTTTAATGGAAGTTTGTAAATTCTATCTCTGAAAAATCAGGTGACCACCTCTGATTAATAATAATAATAAAAATGTTACTTATAAAGCGCTTACCACGGAAGTCTCTAAGCGCTATATTAATATAGATATTAGTATAGATATACTAATTCTGTAAAATCAGTATTTTCACTTTAACTGTGAAGATGATTAGCCTCACTCTTCACACTGAGTGATTTCAAGTTGGGTTTTTATAGGACTGGTGTTAGTTTTTAATAAACATTAACACCAGCCCTAAACACCGAAATGGAAATCAGCTGGTGTTAAGGTTTTGACCTCTGAATATCGTCAACTTGCGGTAGCTATAGTGTTATCGATTTTGCCAAATTGTCATCTGCTGAAACGACCTTTGTGGCTGGTGTTAATATTTTACGTACAAATATCCTATTCACTAACAATAGCCCCTAGGGATTAAACAAATGTTGATTTCCAGTTCGGTGTTAGTGTTGTACCCGCACAACAATCAAAGCACGAACGATGCTAATTCATTGTCTGACGATCACATAAAAATATGTGAAACAGGTCCTTTACTATGTGATTCATACATTCTTTTGTGTAAAATTACTTATTTTATAAGACCAGAGAGATAAGTGTAACTTTCTTTTGTGCTTTTGATATCTTTAATTTTTATCTACTATTTTTAAATCATCGTTGTGAAATCAAGTCTGTGTGGCATTTATGTGGTGTTTACGGTAGTGTTAAGTTGTCAATATTGATATCGGTATCGGGCTCTTAATTTTATCAGCAAATTCTTAGCTCAATTTAAGAGCTCTTGACTGCTCTAAACACTAACACTGACACTTAACACCCAACTTGAAATCACTCGGTATACTGCTCCATCATCACCTACCTACTTTACAATATTTGTTTTCTTTGTTTATCTATAGGCGGAGGCTGAGATGAGGAGAAAGATAGACCTGATTCAGCAGATCCGAGCTCTAGAGGTAGCTCCCAAGGACAGGACCAAGCTGATTGATTGGACAGCTACAGCAGGCCACGCCCTCCTCTCGGAGATGTCCATAGCAGAGGTAAGGTTTTATCCTGCATTATGGTGCTTATTATATCTTGCATCAAATTCGTCTCATGACCAGAAATATTTCAACTATTTTAAGGTTGCTCTGAAAAAGTACCTTTAGGGAGTGCTTTTTGGGAGTACTTTTGGGGAGTTAACATTTTTTTTGATTTTTTTTTTTTGATTTTTTTTTTCTTCCCAGTCTTAATTTAATAATGTATTTATTTTTAATTCTTCTTTAAAAAAAAACAGTATTAAAAAAAAATTGAAATAATTTTTTGATGCAGAATATAAAACAAATATACCATGCCTTCTTTTCGAGGTACTGTTTAAAAGAAATATTTGAACAGAGCTTTATCTCCTTCCCCTAATGGACTGCAACTTGAAGATAAGCTGAATCACTGTGTGAAATTTAACCTTGAATAAAAAAAAACACTAGGTTTACTAGGTGTACATTTCTCTCTCATTTTCCTCAGCTGAAAATTCATTACAATGTTTAATTCACTCCCATTTATTTCAATTTCAGCTGAAAGAGAGAGTCACACTTTTGAGGATAGCCGAGGAGGAGGAGAGGGAGAACAAGAGAGATGAGATCCTGGAAGCCAAGGAGGCGAAGGATAGGTTCTTGATGGATAAACTACAGCAGATCTCCAAACACCGGGCAGCTGAGGGACAGGTAGCTGCTATGAAGTAAGTGATAGGAGACAAATCGTGGGGTCAGTGACACAAAGACGTAACTCCATTTTGGCCATTTTGAGAAAAAGAGGTTTATGTGTCACTGAGCACTTGGGCCTTAAGGAGTTAAGTCTATGTTTCACTAGCCATTGACTTCAATGGGGTGTTGGGTGGAGTTAAGTCTTTGGGTTTCCTGGAAAGCCCACTTTTTTCTGAAAATCTTTATATCAAATACTAATTTTGGCAAAATATGGAGTTACATCTTTGTGTCACTGAACCCTCAAAATATACCTCTTGGGAATTGACCTAACATTGAGCATGAAAGAAATTGTTAATTAATTATCTCTGATGGTCTGTGGAACTGATGTTTTTCATGTCCTTATTCAAAGTAACTTGGAAATTGAAATAACAAAAAAAAAGGAAAAGGAGAAGAGATCTGCTCTATGTCAGGATTACCTTATGAAAGCTCTTCTTATTCAAGGTCACATTTTGCGTCATGATAGGTCAGAGTTTCTTTCCACCATCTTTTCATTGTTAAACTATCAAGTCACAGCTACAAAAATGTTATTTCTTAATCAGATTACGTGACTGTCAACTTGGCATAAAGATATTTCATGGTCTAAAATTTGATAGATCTATCATTGATTCATGGAGGAATGGAAATGATTTGATCTCAAGGTAAACCGTTTCATCTTGAACGCCGTATATTAGTTCATTCTTGTAGCTTTCAATGTGAAAATCCTGAGGTCGAATCTGGACTTATGCTTCTTCTCCTCAAAGATGCATTTTTGTGTAGAGTTGATTCTCTAACCATGCAGGGGGTAGAAATTTAAAGGATTTCACTCAAGATATGAAAGGATACTTCTTGTTATACCTATAGTGTCCCTTACACTAAACAATTATTTCCCAATAACTTTCATGAATATTTTAAATATAATAGCGACATCAATACGTATAAAACAATTCCAATAAAATGTATGTACCTTTTTATAATTTTAACTTTTCAAGAACCACTATAAGTTTTTAAAGGCCCACAGCTTTGGAATGGGTTGCCAGATGTATTAAAAGAAATTTCAACTGCTCTCGCATTCAGGAAAAAATATAAATGTTATCTTCTTAATAGTGAGTAATTTTATTTGATCTAATTGCCTTTTATGTGATTTATGTAAATAGTTGTGTTGTGTTTTTTTTCTCCATGTGATTATGCTATGTTATATTATCTGTTTGTTTGATTGTTTTTATTTTTATATTTTGTAAAATGTATTTCTCTTGAAGGGTGGTATCATAGGGGATCAGCCTTGACAGGCCAATGGCCTTTGTTGATCCCTCGCATCCACCACCCTTCATCCTTCTTTCATAGAATCATGTACATAATTGTTGTTATATTTATATTGTTTAATTAATACTTATTTGTTTATATATCTTCTGATGTGTTTTTAAAGAGATGTGAAATAATATTGAATTGAATTGAATTGAACAGTGGTTGCCAGAACTGAAACAGTTGTTGTATATACATCGAGACATAAACACAATATGTCCACATTACAATGAAATTAACACCATCATTATTTATGCCTTTTTCTTAAATGTTAGATTGGAGAGCAAGCGGAAGGCCAAAGTTGAGAAGTCTGAGATCAAGGACCCCAAGCTCCAGGATCTACAAGCCAGACTGGAACAGAGGAAACAAGAGAGACTCAAGACAACGCAGGAGATGAAGATCTCCCCTACCAAGCAGTCTGCTAATCGCACAAAGGCACTCATCCAACAAAAGGTGGGTTAATTTAACTGTTACCTTATTACTATGATGTATTGTGTATTTTACTTTGTCATACTTTGTTATTGTTACTATATAACAAACAATTTAACTTTCAGTTGGCCTATTGCACAAAAGCAAATTAAAACTTCAATGTTTGCACCCTTCCAAATTATCAGACAACTGGGGTAAAATTTGTCACAGTTACGGTGATCATATAGCTGAGGCGATGAGCAATGCTTTATTACTGCAAAGTCTTTGTGAATATGCGTAATTCTGATTTTCAAAACTTAGATTTCAATTTTTCAGGGAGCTATTACTCCTGACAGACACTAAAATAGTATATGATTTGTATTATTATAATCTATTCATCTATTTCATTTTTCACTTGTGACAGGGTTTCTGAACTGTTTCTATTAAACTGTGATTAACCATGGCCTTCCTTTGTTGAATGTTTCAGAAAAAGAATGAGGACAGTCGATGGAAGGAGCTGGAGAGCCGCCGAGAGAAACAAGCCTCACTTCAGTCCCAGGGTATACCTACAGATGTTGCTGGTCAGAGATTGAATTCTTTTGGGCGGTCAAGACAGATGGCTACAGAGGCTGTATCATCATGAAGATTAACATGAAGACAGAGGAGATCGATATCTAAGATTTATATTCCTAATTTCCATGTGCAAAATATTGTGATGTTGATTAGGTAGAGTAAGTGCTTCTTATACAGTTTCAGAAAGAATGAAATCAACCTTCCGTATGATTAAAATGAGAAAGGATGAATTATTTATCAGATTAATACTAGGATTTAGAGGAGGCATTTTCTGATAATAATGTGAACTTAGGTCCATATTTATTCTGTTGTTGAATATAATTTATTTAGATTACAATTTTATACTTCATTCTTGCACAATTTTTCTTAATAATAAAGCTTGGCTAAAATGAAAGATGCCAATAGAATACACATGACGTATTGGATTCTATTTTGTATTAGTGTTATTTGAATTCATTTTCCACATTTCCCTGATTTTCCATATTCTTTTTTAAATGCCTGGTATTCTTTCTTAAGTCTCAGTTCAAGAAAGTATTCAAACCCCTTGTCTTTACTGATCTTTTACCCATTCATCACAGTGTAATATGTTAATAATTTTTGCAAACATTCCAGTGGATTCCTGATAGAGGGGACATGATACAGTGAACATAACCCGCAAACCATATTCTTGAACAGGAATAGGGCATGGTATAAAGTGTTCATTGCATGTGAACTTGTTCCCATACATGGCCATGTATGGGAAACTTAAAATGGCCACTGTAGACGGTCGGCCTTAGTAGACTGGTTCTACAACACAAAATTTGGAGGGAAATATTATAAATGGCTACTAAACACAGATTACCCTTAGGCCTAAAAAAAGAAGATGTTGTATTGCCCTTTAGGTGCCAACATTAGGCGGTCGGACAGAAATCTTTTCTTTTTTTTAAACTTTTTTTTTCCTTTTTTTTCCTCTCCCTCTTTGGGTTGATATTTCTCAGTTTTGAATGCTTCAATATTTTTTTCTTTAAAAAAAAACGGTTAAAAAAAAAAAAATAAATAAAAAGCTGACCGTAGATTTCAAGATTTTGGGGTCGGTCGCAAAAGGCAATACATCTTTTTTGTTTAGGCCTTATAGATACGAGACCTTTAAAACAAGTGACACCCCATCAAGTGAATATTCTCTGTTATGACCAATAGCGAGGCGGTTGTAATGTTGTTTATTCACCTTGAGCATTAATCATGCAACAAACATTAATCATATCGTGAATGAACGCATCACTACATGTTCGTTGTCTGACCAAACAAGGCCTGGGCAGTTCATCACTGAAAACAACTCCAGAAATTTAAGGACAAATTTGCAATTGAATTTTTGTTTGAAATAGGAGAAAGTAGAAGCCCTTGGACGATTCAAAGAAGCAAACCAATTCATGATACGAGTATAGTACAGTGTATATGAATATTCCATATTTGTGTATGATGCTTTGATATGTAGAAATTATATTTCTTGCTTTGTAAATAAATTTGACCAACCAAAATTGTAAATATTGTGAATAAAGGTGAAATAAATATGAAAGTATTACATCATTCGACATGTATCAATGTGCAGTAATTTGTGTAATGCTTATTGCAGTTAGTTAAAACGTTTTGAAATAGTATAGACTTCACTGCACATACTGCATTAACATACCATGAGTGATCCACGAGTGTTGAAGAGAGTAAGAGACCAAGGTAATCCACAGTATCTAGTTGGCATATTCCATAAAAACTTAAAAAGGACATAACGGTACAAAAAATGAATAGATATCAAAGAAATGCACAAGCAGCAAATCAGTATTTTGTAATCCAACTAGTAATCAATTCATGTCAATCAGGACAATGCAATTAAAAAACTCTTGTGACAAAAAATAATAATTTGTAATATATATATATTTATTGACATATAATATTAACAGTACATGAAATGGAATGATACAAATCAAATCATATATTATATGTAACTTAATGAAAAAGAAGAGAGAAAAAAAAAACATCAAGATATGCATCAGATTCATTAGATCTTTAAATAACTTGAATGTGCATGAATGTTTTAGTTTTTATTTAAAAAACAAACTGGCACTGAACATCCCAGTTTATTTCACAGTGCTATCAAGTTTTCAAAGTTGTTCACAGAGGTCATTTACAATGCAGTACAATATGAAATCAAGATATCTCTGATCAGTGAAATTCATTGTATGAATAATACCAAATCTGAAAACATAAATCCTTCCCCAAAAATGATTTTATTCCCAAGTCCCTAATCACATCTTACATGTATCTCTTCTATATTAATCCCGTACATGTACATCTAAAATTTAAACCCTATTTGTAATAAAACCATCAAATCACTGATAAACTTACACATGTACATGTAGAAAACACTACATGCTTAAACACAAAACAAATAACTGACACCCTTCTACCTTACTGTCTGCTGAATGTGCAGGTTTCCACATACACGTAGCTTGATGATTAGAAATAGTTGTGACAGTGGAAGTTGCTCCCGAATTGGTCAGTCATTTCGTGAAGCTCATAATACAGATTTACCCTCCTATAGAATGAGTACATGGGAGGCAACTAGATTTGGAGCTTCATGACTGCTAAACCCACATATATGACTGCACATGTGTACCCAATATGTCTGCGCATGTCACAATTATCTCTTTCAATAAGCCACATGTACCGGTACATGTATGTGTTTCCACATTCCATATTGGCAATTACATGTAGGTCTTCAGATAAATGTAAAAACTTGTTCATTTCACCTGTTACACATGACCTTCTAAAAACAATGCTAATTCAAACTACGGGTCTTACATATTCATGAGTAAAGTTCTTGTATCATTAGATCACAACACATGGAAATATTCATTCTTTTTTTCTCAAAAGTAACATTCACAATCACATGTACTCGGTAGTACTAAAGTTTACACCTTGTCAAATAACATGCACCAATATCTAAACTTGTAAATTTTAACAAAATGCTTTCTCTGTCTTTACACTCAAAACACTAGATTTGAGAGTAAAACAAGACAAAAGTTTAACGAGAGTTATTTGAACTTGTGATTTCCCTAAACCATAGTCGAAATATTTCTTTTTGCTCAATATAATGAATAATGATAACGAAATTTGACATTATAATAAGGAGTTAATTTTCTAGCATGTCAACAGTAAAAAAATTGCACAATAATTTGTTGACTGTATGCAATCACATATGACTGAATAATTGTAAAGTAAATTCTATTTTCTATTGCTTTCATTATCATCAACTACAGTTTCCTGACTAGAATGTAACGACCCCCACGCCCCCCCCCCCCCCCCCCAATGTTAAAGAGTACTACATCAATTAGAATCTTCAAAATTTGAGATGCTGAAGATGGGCCTAGTAGTAAATTACATCAAAGAGTATTAAACTAGATGTAGATGCTGTGTTCTTCAGCTATATACATGCGGATATATTCTTTTCTTCTTTTTTTTGGAAACAAAAACAGATAAGACCAAATATATGATAAAAACTTTTCAGAATATTAGGGTGTCATGTCATAAAAGATATTCTCAAAACGTAACATGTGTACAACCGTAATATAATTCATAAGCTGAAAATTAAGAAGTCATAATATTTCACCAATACTGGGCACTGTCCATGACTCCATGTATATAAATTTGAAGCATTATCTGACTGGATGACATGAATGCTTTGAATGTACCATGGGCAAACATCACCCTAATGATCCCGATAGTCTATAAACCCCAATGAAGTGATGATAATCTGATTCTGATAATGGTGGAAGGGAGGGTCCATCCATAGTCCTAATCCAGACCAAGATGGCAGATTAATGTGGTGACGTAATATCAAAAGATGCTCTTATTATTGCCCCTGTAAAGAAAAGAATAAATACCAATACATATTTTATTGGAAATATAGTACACAATCATACAAAATATAGAAATCTCAATGGCAATGTTATAAGCACTAAGTCTATAATCTCTTTAAATCACCGTCCCTTACAGCTTTCAACTTTCATGGACTTCATAAAATCCATATAGAAAGATTTTTTAACATACACCAGCAAGATGCAAAACCCTACAATTTGTACACACAAATATACTGTAATCTATGATCATCATGTAAATACAATGACTAACGAGGTCATATTTCACTGCAGACACAGGCAAAAGGGCTGAGGGATAGCATTACTAAGTGCTACACAATTACCTGGCTTTTAGCGAAGATTTATTCATCCTTTCCTTTCTTAATAAAATCTATCTCTAATTATTAAAAATATTCTCTCTCAATGTTTCCCTCTTTTCTTTATACATGGCAAGGATGTAAGAAAGTTGATTCTTCATGTAGCTTTACAACAAACTCAGATACACTCGTGTACATGTACATGTACAATTGTACATGACTGACTGACTGACAAAATCTTACTGGACTATGAAATCAGCTTCATTGCAATATTCAATCAATTACTTAATCATGGTCCGGTAGACAAATATTGGCTACTGAATATTACATCCACATTATAGTTCTGCAAATTATAACACATTCTACATGATACATGACCACATTTCTAGATATGGGGAGATAAATTTAATTTACTCAATCATCATCATGAATAATAATACAAAGTTTTGGGAAATTTTGAAAATTGGGTGGATAGTGATTCTTCACAATTTTGATATATTTGGATGCCCCTGTGAATGTATTATAAACACTAAAAAAAATAGCCCCTAAAATACTTCTGCTTTCGAGAAAATTTTAATATACAAATTTACCGGTGCTCCTGGTAAATTTTGGTAAATTTCAAATAGCGCCTACGGCCATACAATGGTAGCTGCGACCATGAAAATCTCAGAAAATGTAGTTGTGATATAATTTCCAAACAAGAGTAGTTAATCGGTCGATTTTAGTCAAGAAACATTGTTTTATAGCTTAATTAATATCTTGACCTAGAGAGGGAGCTTTACAACATAAAGAGTTTATTATTTACAAGTTTATTATTTACAATTTCATAACTTTAGACTCGATTTCAACTGCGACAACGATCACTGAATATTGTAGAATTGCATATGCTTCCAATATGTTAATTTGAACAAAATTCATGACCCCATACCAAAACTTTGTATTACCTTTAACATAATAAAATGGTTAGCTTAATCATTTGGTGCACTCAGATGTACAATGTTCATTTCAGGAAGTGATCCTGAATGCGATGCAGGCAGGAAGTTACTCTACTCTGTAGTTTGGTTTACTGTCATCAGCCGACAGATTCCAGTCACGATCAAAGTACACTTAATGATACTACACATTGGTTTACTGTGTTATTGATGAGGTTCATGGAATGAAATTGAAATAACGATGAGCCTGTCGATGTTTAAAGTGAGGGCTACAGACAACAATATTTGTAAAAGAAAACAAATCATGGTACTGGTAGCATTACTTACCAAAAAATACTCTACTTTTCTTCCCACTTGCTCTTTACTAAACATATCAGAAATTGTTGTTTTCCCTCAAGAAAATTTGCAATCATAAAAGAACATTAAGGCCTAAAAAAAAAAGATGTTGCATTGCCCTTTGCGACCGACCCAAAAATCTTGAAATCTACGGTTAGCTTTTTAACCAAGTTTTTTTGTTGTTAGTTTTTTAGAGAAAAAAAATATTAAAGCATTAAAAACTGAGAAATATCAGCTCAAAAAGGGAGGGAAAAAAGAAGAAAAAAAAATAAAAAGGCCTAATTAAAAATTATTGCAAATATGTGTCAACTTACCTCCCATTCCATTTTGATAGCTCTTATAACCTTTGTTTCTAACTCGGGTCCAATCAGAGGATTTAACTGCATCAGGAATGTACATAACCATCTGAAAAGGAAATAATTATTGGAAGACATTCTTAGAATTATAGGTCAGAAAAAATATAGATCACAGATTATCACTCCTATCTACATGTAGACAATCCCCACACCCCCTTCTTCATTAACAATCCCCACCCCCTCCCACAACAAAAACATGAAACAAAACACCCAGAAACATCCATCTATTTGTGACATACTTATATTCTTTATAATCTCCCTGCATACATTTAATTTTTGAATGATCCTATTGCTTCATTTTCCCAGTGGATAATAGATTAAGTATCCTAAATTTTGATAAATTATATATGTAAAAATAGAAACTAAAAACTGGGGCAAGAAATTTGCTTTAAATTTTTAGGAGCCGACCTTAATTAAATATGAAAAAAAAGGTCTCATCAAAGACTTTTTCATCCAACAGTTGTATAAAATCAAGCAGAATATACTTACAACATATAACAGCAAACTGCAGTCATTACAAGCATGGTCTGGATAATCCTATAGTTGAAAAATACAAAATATAAAAAGACATGAAAAATTAACATTTTAAGGTATGCTACGTACACAAAAAATTGTTTTATAAGTTTTTGCCTGTCAAGTAATGATTTTATTTGACTTTGAAAAATATTATCCTTATCATGTTATGCATAAAATGTATTGTCTTCATGCATAAAGATCATAAGTATTATTCAAAGAAAAATTGGTGAATTGAGATTGAGAAATCAAGTCTCAATTAGGATCATCGCAAACAAATTTCAAGAAGAACCTTGAAGTAGCCTGTGGCTATCTGTCTACCTAGCTTTAGAATTTATTTCTTAAATTTGAAAGTGCTTTGTATGAGAAGAAAGAAGAGTCCACTAGATCTAGATTCTAGAGAACTGCAGACTAGCCAAGCCAGTGTGCAATGTTCATCTGGTGCGGGAACTTGGGAAGGGGCGACTAGGATTGCATTTTAGATTTTGTTTACCTCCGTCTTCATGCAGGGGTATAGGTGCCAATTAAGGCTAGGTGATATCGTATTTTATGTTCAATATCACCTACCGGTAGCCCTAAAGTAAAGCTAAGGCCCAAGTACTTCCTAATCCTAAGTTAAGTCGACTACCAGTAGGGGCGTTGGTCCGAGAATAAGGATCGTCCGCACATACGGGGAATCGTAAAAGCGGACATACGCGTCAGCAAAAATAAGGATTGTCTGCATTTTTGCTTCCGATTCTGGTTTCCGATCCACGCGTTGGCGATGCAGATAACGGATTCCGCAATGATTTTCTTGATGCGTTTTACATAAACTTTGTAGAGACTTTCACGTTTTGAGCGATAAATCCTTGGGAAGACGGCCAACCCATAAAAGTAGATGGTGAACTGGGGGTATTTTTATTACGCGGAATCCATTTTTCGCATTGCCAGATAGCGAAGAAAAAAAAAACGTCTGTGAACATTTTCGCAGATGATCCTTATTTTTTAGGACGCATTTTTTCCATGTATACAAGGATTTCCGCGTTTTATGCGGCCGATCCTCATTCTCAGACCAGCGCCCCTATACCGAGTACTGACTACACAACGGCGCGACATCACACACAACGGCGCGACACACACAACTCACCCAACGTTGCAACAATGTTGTTCGGAATCTTCAGATTAATTTATTTATTAAAGTGTGTAAGTCTATTCAAGAAAACTTTAATTGAATGTGGCATGACGAAAGACAATTTGAAATACAATAAATGAGAACGTTCAACGGGCTAGAAAATAAAATTATGCCCAAACTGGCTGCATCAGATCAGCCTGCATGAATGTATTAATTACACTGCACTCTCATTGCCATTGCATTGGTCATGCACAGCTTCAGCTTCATCACGATCAAGACATACATTGTTGATAATATTTCAAGATTGAAAAGCCAAAGTCTCACCCTCTATTTGGTCCTTTCGGAATAAACCATGGCACTATGATGCCTATGACACCCCAGAAACCGGTGAGAACAACTACAGTAATCCAAGCGGATGCCATCTTCAGTCTTTTGTGAACAAATAACGACACTCTTTTCTCGTCTCTCAGCTGTCGACCTCCTTCTTCTGTAGAATCAGCCAATCTAGCTAACTAGCTAGCTGTACGTGTTGCACTCGTATAGCGTATAGCTAGCTCTACTGTCCGTACGTACGTACGTACATGTATGTAGAGATTGCTACTCATGTGATTAGGTCATGAGGATTAGTCTTATTTTAGATGGCTGTCTATCATCCCACTATTTTATTATGTCGTTATCAACTGCCTTGTACTATCCAAACATGTAAAGATATATATATTCCCGTGAAATTTTATTAATAATCATATTTATAAAAATAATCAGTGAAATATTTGTTTAAATACAATTTGTTTTTCTTTCTGAAAAAACAATAATAAAAGTGTACTAGATTACAGGCTAGCATTTATTGACAATATGCTGTAACAACACAGATCTACAGCCAGGTCCTAGCTTTATGAGCTGAGCTGAAGTTTCAGGCCATCCAGTGCTCTTGTCTTGTCTATCCGATAATTGTCTAATGTAAGTTGATCGATTTTCAAAATAAATTCATTTTACAGGTAACTGCATACAAATTATTTAGAATCTAGGAGTAGGGCCTCTTTTTGTTGTTGTTGTTGCTGTTGTCTGTTGACTCTGTTTTTGTTTTTGAACTTTGAGTTTGATGAACTAGGCCTTAGCTTAGGTCTATACCTGACTGAGCTGAGTACGACTTGACTAAGGAGAGATGTTATATGAGACTTGTATATATGAAAATGTTTAAGAAGAGAATGAGAACAAGAAGATAGACCAAGACTAGAGCAGAGGCAAGAAGATACGGATATAGACCTAACCCAAATTTTCGTTTGTACGTTAGCCTCTGATTTGGGTAGGGTCGGCTCCTCTAAACTAAAGAGAGAGCCGACCCTACCCAAAATCAGAGGCTAACAAACGAAAGAGACAGAAAATTCGGGCTAGGATATAGACCTGGACTTGAAGCTTGACTGCTGTCTGAGCATTCTAGCTTCCACTTCCAGTACTTCTACTTCTACTTCTACGTCGGTACTTGACAGGATCCATCAGTCAGCTCAGGATATTGCGGTAATGATCGATGCAGGGCTGTGCAAGTTTGGAGTTGGAGGGAGATTTTTTTCTTCAGACGAACCAGCGCGGCGTATCGTAAATTGCAATTTTTTTATTTTTGGCTCAAGGGGAGGGGGGAGGGGGGGTGGGGGGGGGGGGGTAGTGAGCACTGAAAATAAAATCAAAAATCTTTTTCTTTTCTTTTCTTTTTTACTCAACACGCTCTCCCCCCCCCCCCCTCCCCTCGAACAAAGTTTGGCGAGGGGTTAGATCTCACCAACACCATCAGCAACAACAAAAGTTGAAAACTCCTCCTACCAGACATTTAAGCAGACAGATTCCAATCCCCCCCCCCCCACCCCCATTTTTAATGTGTTACCTGTACAGTACAGTGTATGTATTTATTTATTAAATGCAATCTTTCCATTTCCTGTTTCTTATTTTATAAGCTTGGATTACTTCAAATTATCAGGTCATGGCATCGGGTCAGGTAGTCGCGTTACCTGACATTTGTGAAAACATGCTCCTTTTACCACAAAATGTGGGGGTCAATGTTTGCAAAATAAACCCCGTTCATCCACAATTCATCTGGTCCAATTTACCCGACATTCTGGGAAAACTTAGGCAAATCTACAAAAGGCAGCGTAATCTTCTGCTTTCTTTTCACAAGAGGCTGTGTAACGCGTCCACCCGACGGTCCAACCAGATGCAATGACCCAATGATTTGAAGTAATCTGTTATGCTTGATTGTTGAATGATCGTTGCTCTTTCACAATGCTTCTTTTCTTTTTTCCCCCCTCTGTTCCAGAAAGAGATTTAACCATGTTAAGCCGCCCTGTTAGGCATCAGATCCAGAGAGGTCAAAAGGTCAAACAATGTATGGGTCACCTCTTTAGACACCTGAGTTCCTCATCTGCAAGAAGGCAGAACGACAGCAGTGCATTAAACAAGGAATATGATGCCATCATCGTTGGGGCAGGACATAATGGCCTTGTTGCTGTAAGTTTTTCAAATTCATTATCAAAATAGGATGATCAAAAAGGGATGAACAGGAACAGAAAATGGAATGGAAATTCATGCATTTTTTTGTTTTTTGTTTGCCTAGGAATAATGTACCGGTATATAGGCCTACCCTATTTATTTTATTAATTCATGGTGAATTAAAGAAATGAAAAGCATCTTTCTTAGAGAGAAAATTGTGTCCAAACACATTCTTTCAATTTCTTTTCATATTGGTTACACCAAAAATGAGAAGATTTGTCACTAATTCTTCCTATCCGAAGTTATACCGGTATACAAAATTAATATGAATATCTAGCCCTACATGTAGTTTAAATTTTTTAAGATGTCGATACAAGAAATATGTCTTTGTATGTATTGCCAATTGCAGATAATGGGTATTTCATTTAAACTGCTTGTATGAGGATTGCTGTAACTTATAGGTTTAAAAAAATTAAAATGTTGTGCTGTTCCAAAAATAAAAATTGCTCCATGCTGTGAAAGTTGTTGGGTGTTGTTAGTGTTGTTTTTTCCCCTTTTTCCCCATTTTTTTTTTTTTTACTGCTTGTAGGCTATTGCATTTTGAAATATTTTTGAATTCCGACACAAAAGACGATCAGATATACATGAACCAATGTAAATGTGACTGGATGAAGTCCATGCATGCATAATCTGAATCTCTTCTCAGAAAATGATGGCAGCGGTGGGATTTGAACCTATGCAATTGAAATGACTGATGGCATCAAGTTACTAAGAGCTATCTGATATTTATTATTTCACTTCAAACAGTCTGCCTATCTACAGAAGGCTGGGTTGAACACTCTAGTACTAGAAAGGAGGCATCTTATTGGTGGTGCCGCAGTCACAGAAGAAATTGTTCCAGGTAAGTTTTTTACAACGATTAATCAGCTCATCATTCACCATGTGTTATAATTTCTTTTCTAATTTGGTCCAATATTTGTATTGATAGGTGAGGTTGTCAATTAACTTTTGTGTACTGCCCTCTTGAGGTAGTGTCTGCAATTTAATGGAAGATTACTACGGGTACTTAAAAATTTGAGGTTAGATAGTTGGGTTGTACTCCTTTAAATTGTTATTTTTTCAATAATTTGGGTTTGAAGTTTCATTTGAATTCAGTGGTCTGATCCAATGTTCTCTCCTTTTTGTTTGAATTTATAGGTTACAAGTTTTCAAGATGCTCTTATGTGCTCAGTTTGTTGAGACCTATCATTGTCAAAGACCTGGAATTAAAGGTAAATTTTTATCTTTGCCAGAGCAAATCATGGAACGCATTTCTGATGCCTCCGTCTTCTTTGTGGCATATCTACTTGTAGCTCAGGTATCTACTTAACAATGCAGATTTACCTCAATCTTGGTACGTATTAAACCATGGTAAGAGCTTGATATTAGCAGTTGTTGGAGGTTATGACCCCTTTAAACTTCTTTAAACTTCTGTCCTGGTGTCCTCTCATATATCATTCAGATACCATGTGTTTCATTTACAGAATGGTTGACTGTAAATGACCACCAAATGACAACCCAAAACAGCCAAGCAAGAGCCCTGAGTCGAATTTCGAATTGATATGATTATAGAGTGGTGAAGTGTGATGTCATCAAAAATCTATTTTTAGGATTTCTCCATTTTTTCTCCATTTTCTGAAAGAGCATCAAAAATAATGTCCAAATGTCAAAAACCAAGTGAATATGTCAAGTATTGGCCGAGATATGACCATCTGAATAAATAGATGTCCTATAGGAACTCAGTGTTATTTGCTCTGGCTCCTAATGTTTATGAGCCAGAGTAAATAACACTGAGTTCCTATAGGAAATCTTTTTTGGAAAATGTAGAAAAAATTGAGAAATTCTAAAAATACATTTTTGTGATGTCACAGCTTGGGTACTCAATGAGGTGTTCATGCTGAGAATTAGAATGATATAGTTTGACATTTCGTATCCATCCTCTTCTTTTTTGCTTGAATATTTTCTTGATTCTTGTAGAAGCACGGTCTGAAGGTGCATTTGAGGAGTGATCATGCATTCACCCCTCTCTTAGAAGAACCTGGTCCTAACGGAAGACCTAGATCTCTTCTCATGAGCAAAGACGAGGAGTTCACCAAGCAGCAGATTGCACAGTTCTCCAAGAAAGATGCAGAGGTAGTAGGAAGTTGCCCTTTAAAATTTAAAGTTTGTTTTGCTTCTGCAAAGATTTGCTTAATTTGAAGGTTAAATGATAATCACAACAATGACAAGAACAACAACAACAAATGAAGAAACAGAAAAAAATGTAGCAGAGCATTTTACAGAAGCACACACAAAACAAAGAATGTGGAGAGATATCATAATCACTTTCCTCTAATTACTACATGACAAGCTAGTTCAGTAAATTGTACTACTAACTTTATTAATTTGCCTATTGCAAGATAGATTAAGTTTGTTTTATCCAACTCTTGCTTCTTTTGATATTCCTTAATTTTATACATATCTATAGTGACCAACCATCATCCTTAAGACATTTTTCTGTTCCAAACAAGGACTCTTGACATTCAAGTACAGGCAAACTTTCTTTGATAGTGACCACCTGTCTACAAAGACCACCTGTCTACAACAAGCACATTTTTTGTTTCCCTTGAAAATGGTTTCTCATTGAAACGTGTACTAAAGGAACCTGTCTACAAAGACCACTTTTTGTGTTTCCCTTGGGCGGTCGCTGTAGACAGGTTTGACTGTAATAGTGACAAAGACAGAGAGCCGACCACGGGCACAATGCCAGCTAGCTCACACCTCACCGTCTCCATTTTCTCCTCCGTGTTTCATATATACATCTCCAGGCCTACCATGAATTTGACGAGTATCTGATGAGAATAGCTGGAGCCATAGGTCCCCTACTGGACAACCCTCCTCTAGATCTGAAACCAGGCAGCCGTTCATCTTTGAAACAGAAGATGCAGATGGTGGATATCGTCAAGTCCATGGCCAAGTCAGGTAGATCTCCAAGATATTTTTTTCTTAACTTTAATTAGTTTATTGATTTTGTTGTAATTCAAGAGTAACCCACCCTTTGGAATATTACACTTGAGACAATTACTGCTAAGAGGATATTTCAAGGGAAATGTTCATCGAGGACCATCACCACATTTTATTGTAGTAGTTGAATAGGTTTTTATTGTCATCAGGAAAAGATGTGTTTATTAATTTTATCATGTCTTTGTACCTGTGTTTGTTCATTTTCCTTTCCATTATATCATATTCTCTATATAGGGAAAGCACTTGGTCAAGATATTCCTGAGTTCTACAAACTGCTCACGGCTCCAATGAATAAGGTACAGTGTATTTTGTATCACATTCAGAATATCTCTATACTGTGCATTTCTTTTGTCTTTTGTCTAGAGATGATGATTATAAAGTAGTAAATATGTGATATTTCCAATTTACCAACATTGCCAAGTGATGGTCGAGGAACTATTATTTACTGTTTCTCACAAGACATGAAAATAAGTTCATTTTCTTGAATAGTGTGAAAGGACTTGCAACTTAAAACATTCTTTTCACTTTATTTTCACTAAGCCATCCACAAACAATTTAATACACACGTCAAACCAATGTAATGAAAAATGTACATCCATGCCATACTGAAAGCATGAAGAATATTTTGAAAGAGCTACATGAAGTTACTCAGAAAACATAACAAATAAGTCATTTGTAGTAAAAAGTTACAAAATAATGTTTTTTTTGACAAGAAACAAAGTTCTGATCTCCTAACAGTGTTGTTGGAGACAATACAAAGAAGGCAGTTTTAAATGATGCAGTAAGTTAAGTTGTGGTAAATGGTACAAATTGTTTTTGTTTTTTCGATATAGATCCTCGATAGCTGGTTTGAATCTGAACCATTGAAGGCTACACTAGCTACTGACTCTGTGATTGGTGCATTCTTGACCCCTGACACTCCAGGAAGTGGGTAAGAAAGCTTTATCCTGTCTGCTGAGGGACAAAAGGTTGTTGACTAATAGATAAAATCTTATGTTCTTGTTTGTTCTTGTTTTCCTGTATGTGTGTTTTAGGGGTAGGCTTTTATATATGGAATCCCTCCTTTCTGCCTATCCCAAATGCTCTTATAAATTGCCATTTTATTGTTATCACTTTCTTGTTTTTGTATAACTCTGTTCTGTATGTTTTAAGTGTTTTTATGAAGAGTGTTGAATAAACTTTGAATTTGAATTTGAATTTGAATTTGAATTTGAATGATGATAATGATAATCTGGATTTATATAGCGCTTAATAGAAAAGTTAGGAATTCATCAAGTGTGAAACATTGACCACAGGGTATTTATCGCTGGATCATGTGTAATACTGAAAATGTTGAGGAGATCTCTAAAATTGCATTTCTCGCCGCCCCTTTATCATTCATCATTTCTCATCATCTTTTTTCACAATTTTTCACAATTTTTTACAATTTTTCATCTTAATTTTTTCCCTTTCCAGGTATGTGTTATTACACCACGTTATGGGAGAGATTGAAGGAGTAAAAGGAGCTTGGGGGTATGCCGAAGGGGGCATGGGGGCAGTGTCCGGATGTATTGCCAGTTCAGCTAGATCACATGGGGCTACCATCTTAACTGAAAAGGTAATTATTCAATACTCAGGATATGATCATCATATGGCATGAAATACTGTGAAGCTATGTTTTACTTTTAAGATTGTGTTATATATTTCCCTTTTATACTAACTGACAAATATCCGTTAAAAAGTTTGTTTGAATTAAGCTTAAATGCATTGTTTAACACTGTTAAATCTGAGATGCATGTTATACGTGTTATCAGTGTCTGTGATATGGTGTAATAATGTAGCCCAAACAAAAATTGCGCTTCAAAAAAGTAAAAATCTTTGAGTGACCAATTTTACCATACTCATTTTCCCTAATACCGTATTTGCCGGCGTATAGGCCGCAGTATTTTTGGAAGAGAAAATATCAAAAAGTCGGGGTGCGGCTTATGCGGCGAAAGAGTAATTTTTTTTTTTTTTTTTTTTTTTTTTTTTTTTTTAGTTTCGATTTATGGCGCTATGCCTGGCAATGTCTCCCAGCTCAGTAATCAGTGTGTTGACTCACCACTCGGAAACTACAACAACACTAAAATTTGACTGTCATCTTGGTTTGAAAGTAATCTTTCTAATAGACCTCAATATGTAGTTTATAATAATAGTTCCTCAAATTTGTTTCTATAACAAATGGTGTACCGCAAGGTACACCACTGGTACCATAGGTACTTTATTGTTTTTAATTCACATTAATGATCTTACACATTCTTCTAAAAACGACATTGTTACTATTATTTGTGACAAGTTTACAAGCACAAATCAGCGCCTTTAACTGCACCTCGATGTTAAATGAAGGTCCTTCCACGCATGGGTTTTCGGCAGCAAAACAACAACAACAAAACAAAAAAAACAATTTTTTTTTTTTTTTTTTTTTTTTTTTTTTTTTTTTTTTTTTTTTTTTAAATGTGAAAATCGGGGGTGCGGCCTATGCGGGGGTGCGGCCTTTACGCCGGCAAATACGGTAGACTGTAGTGTTATAAAAACTGTTAAAAAAAAACAAAAAAATGAAATTTTGATTTCCAATCATAAATATCTTGATAATCTTGTAAAAGTCATGGGATACCTGACTGACCTAAAGGTTTATAAATATGATTGCAGCATGAACTATCAGAACTTTCTGAATTTGAGGCAATTTTACCGAGTCACTTTAACACTTTTCCAAAAATTACTTTGTGTTGTGTAATAGTTGATGATTGAGAGGTTTTGCCATGCACATCCCTATGTTGTTGTTGTTGTTTTGTTTTTTCCATACTTTGAAGATGTGTTTGTTTGTTTCTTTTCACATGAGACTTAGTGGTCTGGTTGATTTGTATGAACAATAATTAATGATAGGAAGCAAACAATAGTGAGCCAAGGACATTTAGGAGCCATGGTAGTAAAGAGTAGGGCCTTTATTCTTAATAACCTATTAACATAAAATTGATACCATAGAATACCTCTAAGTATTATATATTCCTTGTAATATTCTTTAATTCGTTCATATTTCAAGCCTGTTAGTTCAGTGCTAGTCTCCGGTGACAACCAAGCCTGCGGGGTGGTCTTAGAAGACGGGACGGAGATCAAGAGCAAGATGGTCCTATCTAACGCCACGCCAAAAATTACGTTTCTGGACTTGATACCTTCTGGCATCCTACCCGAGGAGTTTGTTCAAGAGGTGTCATCCTTTGACTTCAAGTCGCCTGTTACTAAGATTAATGGTTAGTGCTAAAACTCTCCCAAAGATGGACTTTTAAAGGGAAAGTCAAATAAGTTTGTGTGTAATTGGGTTTTTACAGACGTGTATCAATCAGATATGATTATTTACGTCTGGGGATCGACCTTTAACGTTAACATCCAAAAGATGTGACTCACTTTCGAGTCTGCGTCTTTGGCTGAATCAGTTTGTAACTTCCATTTTTAGCTGGATTACAGGCGCACACCACAACGCCACAATCCTAATGACATGTTGCTTTAAAGCCTATCTGCACTAGTTTGGCCAGGAGGGATTAGACCTCCCTGCATGGTCACTGACAAGTGGTTATCTCAATCGTCAAATCAGCTCTCAATTAACATAAGAAAAAGGGGACCATGGGGGACCAACGGTCACCGATTAGGCATTGTTTGCTATATAGAGAAACAGAATCTGAGAAATACTTCAGAGATAGTTTGAGGAAAACATGAAGTGTAATAAAAATTTATTACTTTCAACTACTTGAATGGGAAATTTGGCGGAAGATTACATTGGATTAATTTAAATGGGAAACAAGATTGATACCATATTATGCCGGTTCATTTTGATAGGTAGCTTACCGTATTTGCCGACGATAAGGCCACAGCGCCGCATAGGCCGCAACCCCAACTTTGACATTTTGTAGAGGAAAGAAAAAGAAGAAGAGATTGTATGTGCTAACATTGTGTCCTTGTATGAATCTGATGGCAATTCCTCTGCTCAAAGGCTGTGTTACCCAGTGCTATGATAGATCCAGATTGTAATTATATTACATTATTATACCTTTGCTACTTCAACAGTTGCAGTGAACAGACTTCCTAATTTTACTGCCATGCCAAACAAGAGCGACAACACACCAGGCCCGAACCACTTTGGAACTATCCATCTGAACTGTGAAAGGACCGATCTCTTGAACAAGGCTTACGACAGTGCAATGCTTGGGGAAATCCCTGAATTGTAAGTCATCCCCTTTCACACTTATGATAGTCATTGTGCAGAGAAATAAAGTTAAAGATAAACTCCAGTACTGGTAACAACAACAAAAAATTCTCACAGAATCAAACGAAACTTACACTGAATGTTCAAGATTACAAATAAATGACATGTGCCAAACAATTTTGGAAGAAAATGTATACTGGCTGAGTAATGAGCATAGAAAGACAAGGAAATCAAGGTAGTACTAGCCCCGACACCATGTGTGTTGTCCCATATATAGCTTTCTATGTGAGTGCTTGTTACTTTACCAAGACTTGGTCAAATTTATTATGATTTTGATGACTCCAGAACCTTGCAGTGCACCCCGATACTTACATGCTACATGATCAACTGTTTCTGATCCTTTCCACTCCTTTTCTTTCACAATGCAATCGCATTACCAGTACTAAAGTTTATCTTTAAGTCAGTTGTGTGGTGAAAATGAACAATCCTCTGGAACATGAAGTGCCATTTAGATTAATGACCCATCAAGCCTAGCCAAGAAAAAAAAGGAATTAATGAATGAACCCTTCATCCAATGAGGAGATGAAGAAATAAACCACCAGGGTCCCATCTGATAAAAAGCTGTTATTGATCCGAGTTGATCGCAAGTCCTCCAATCAATTGCAAGTTTGCAGTCTTCTATCTTTTATGATCATAGTTGCGATTGATATCAATCACAAATAGTTACTGTTAATCGCAACTGTTTATAAGATGGGGCCCAGATGCTTTTGAAATATTGATGAGCTTGTTTTCTGCTTTTACCCAATCAGGTTCATGAAGGCTTAATTTTCCTTTTGAGGGATGGTGATCAATTCCAATTCCAATTTGCTACTTCTTTACAATGTGAAGTAAAAAATTTGGCTAATGAACGTACATTGCAACATGTGATGTCAGTTTGAATGTGCCATTCACCAAGTCATCACCACGTTTACTTCCCCCCTGTTCGCGTCTTTTTTAAAGCTAACCTAGCCATCCTACCGCTGCATTTGATTGGCTCAATAGGAACCTATACGTCACGCGCTAGTCATACAATTCATGATACGCACGCACGCAGAATCTGATGCGATAATCTATCAAATAATGAGATTTCATACAAAAATTACAAGTGCAAAGCTATGTTTACTTAAAATAAATGATGATTGCGAGAAAATCGGGAGGCTCACTGTAAACGAATGACTACCCAGGTTGTAACTTGTCCATAATCATTGCTACATACTGGCTAGTCCAGAATCTGGCCGATTTAATTTTGTTCTCCACCTCACCGTACCAACGCAAATATTGATATGCAGCACTAGGATGGCTAGGTTAAGTTTAAAAATGTTGCATCCTGTCCTTCACACCCATAGACCCATGATAGAGATGTGCATCCCGTCTTCCCTGGACCCCACGCTAGCACCTGAGGGATGTCATGTGATCTCTCTCTTCACCCAGTACACCCCCTACGAGCTCAGTGGTGGAAGGCAGTGGGACGAAGAAACCAAAGACATGTACTGCGACAGAGGTAGGTTGTGTCCTCTGTAATATGTCTTATATTTCTTATCCAATCCAATCAACAAGAGGCGCGATAGCTCAGTCGGTAGAGCAGTAGTCTCGTAATCCGGTGACCAGGGATCGAAACCAAGGCGATGCGCTAGTGCCCTTTGGTAAGGCATTAATCCTCATAACCAGGTCTCTTGGAGAGGGCCTTAAGCCGCCGGTCCTCCGGTTGCTTACTAACAAGCATTTATGCTTTCTTAGCAGTCAGGTAAAATAACCACCACTACAATACATGGTTGAAGGTTGATTGGATTGTTTGTTTTACCTGACTGCTAAGAAATTATGTGTATACTTGTATAAAGTAAGCAACCAGGGGACCAACGTTTTAAGACTTCTCTGAGGGACTTAATAAGGATTAATGCCTTACCAAATGGCACTAGTGCATCGAATTGGTTTCCAACTCTGGACCTCCCAGTTACGAGATCACTGCTCTACCCCGGAGCTTTTGCACCTCACTAAAAAAAAAGTAGCTTACCCCTGTTCATAGATGTAGAGCGCCTGTCAATAAAGACTACATTTATTGTTTGATTGTGTGAACTCGCCCAAAACATTTGCCAGTAGAGAAGTAGCCAAGACTTTTGTACAAGTATGGAGGTAGCTACATGTAAAGACAATGAGACCAACAAACTATAGACAGGTATGATGATAATTAATTAGGCATTTAAAAGGTTTTCAAGTGAACAACATTTGCATGTTCCTTCTCTAACGGACCAGATTTTGTGTCTACTGCAATGAAAGGGTTAAACTATCAGAAAATTATATCAAACATCCTTGACTATCAAATGCATTATCTTCCCTGTAAAAAATGCATAATTTTTCTCTTTCTTCATGTCTGTGCAAGATTTTCAGTTTTGTGTTTTATTCTCTTTCGAATCGGACGTTATGCTATATTGTATGATTTCCTTTCCTTCTTTAATTTGCAGTATTTGATTGCATAGAAGCATATGCACCTGGTTTCAAGGACAGTGTTGTAGGAAGGGACATCCTGACCCCTCCCGACCTGGAGAGAATCTTTGGGCTGACAGGAGGGGTAAGTACCTTCTTCATAGTTTGCCAAGCTGAGGTTCTGTTTCATCGGTTAGATCCTTGAAATATAGGATAGTTTGGTGCTTATACAGTAGGCTTGCGGATGCAACATGTGAGAGAGAGGGAGGATTAGGGAGTCCTGAAAAGGACTCTCGGTAATCTTTCTTGAGGGTTTGTAGTCCTGAAAAGGACTGTTGGTGTAGTCTTGAAAAAGACTGTTGGTTATCTTTCTTAGCTTATAGCGCTTGTAGAGGATAGGTAGCGGGAGTCGCTCGACGTTTCAGACAGGTTGACTAACCGTCGTCAGGAGTGCATCTGCAAGCCTACTGTATATCTACATCACCATGCAAGCCGATACTTTCAAGCAGCATCTAGTTTAGTTCTTGTTGATGAAAAGGAAGGTTAATTGGATCAGTTTAATCTAAGTATCACACCAATTTGAAGTGAAAATCAATGTATTCATTCGTCTTTCCTCATCTTTCCTATTCCTAACCCTTTTTCTTTATCTTTCCACAGAATATCTTCCACGGTGCCATGTCTCTGGACCAGCTGTACTTCAGTCGACCGTTCCCGTCCTGCGGTAGCTACCGGACCCCCATCAAGGGCCTCTACCTCTGCGGGAGTGGCTCCCATCCAGGGGGAGGGGTAATGGGCGCGCCCGGGAGGAACGCTGCAATGGTAGTCAAGGCAGACATGCTATAATGTCTCCATGGAAACCACTCCTTTATATTACCGGAGGCCCTCGGGTGCAAAGGTTTGCAATCAGTTGCAAATTAGAAACAACAATTTTGTTTGGTTAATGGTCAGCACCTATTCACTACATTCCATCATTTTTGTATATTTTTGTAAACTCGTCGACGTGTTACAATTGGTTTTAGATTTTCTTTGAAATTTTAGTTTATGAAATAGTTTTTAAACCTGGTAAATGTAAATTAACACAACATTCCATCTTTTTTGTATATTTTTCTGATTGGTTTTAGCTTTTTTTAAAAATTTTAGTCAATGAAATTGTTGTTAAGCCTGGTAAATGTAAATTGAATGTACATGAGCAAACACTGCTTGTATATATTTAGTCAAAAATGATACAAGATTACATATTTTTATATATATTTTTGTAAACAAGAGTGATATTTGATATTAAACTTTTACATGACAATGTTTTTTAACCAGCGTAAATATAAATTTATATGATAGGTGAGACAACGAGTGATCTTATTCCAGTAGGATTTGACATTCCATGTTTTTCTGTATTTGAATTTCTACAAATGTAAGAATGTCTTCTACTTTTGAATTTTTGATAATCATGTTCTTCATCCATTATGAGGAGTGATGTATCAACGTAATAACTGGAATGCAGTATTCTGTATACCAGTAATCCCTGCCTAAGTATCCAAGCGATATGTTAAACGTGTGCTGCATTGAGGTATTATCACTTTTCTGAAATGAAAAATATAGATTTGTGCAAGGATGATGACCAAAATTTTGTTGACTGTGTGTGCTTCAATATACAAGGTCTTCTCATAATAAGGGTTATCAATTTTACAAGTGCTACAAGTCTGTGTATACATTATAATCACATGCGAATTCCCACATGTACAATTGTGTGCTCTGAGGCCTTTTACCTTTCCCATTATCACTTTGCTAATTACCAATTAATGTGTGTGACAAGGCCACATTGCTAATTTACCCAATGTATGGGTATGACGTTGTAATCAATGAATTAGCAACTCTGCGACATATCTTTCATAGTTCCTCTTCCATTCGTTCTGTACTGCAAATTTCATTATTTTTTTTATTTTTTTTTAGAGTAATGGGGGAAAGTTTATACAAGGGTTGTCTCAAGAATATATGCACAGTGATTGTATCTAAGGTTAAAGTTTATAGAAATTTTTTATTTTTTTAGTAGAGCAAATGGGAGAGGACCTTGAATGATACATCACAGAGTTGCCAACTTTTGTTTTATTTATTGCAACCTCAAATTTTTTTCTTTGATATCATGTCATCGCAATTTTGTCATGACTTTTGATCATTTTAAAAAAATTATTGGGTAGAGCTAGGATGATGATTTGTGCTCTATTAGTGTAACACTGTCCGACTCTGTACATGTATTAGGTTAAATAGGTTTTGACTTGCTGCACTTTTTAACTACGGGTATATAAATCATGTTCATTTGTTAACTCAACTTGACAATCGTAAGAGAAGCAGATCAGTTTAAGTTTGAGCAAGATTAGATTATTACTTTTAATAGTTTGACTTTCCTACATTTTGAACTCAAAAACAAGTCAGTACGCGACTCGTATATCATTCAATTTTGTCAATTAAGTTTACCTACCCAAATGCTTTCATACACCGAATCAAAATAGATTCTGGAAATACATCTGCAATTGTGTGAATTTGTGTGGTTTAGATGTCCATGTAATCTTGATTTTGGTTATGACACTGAAATTTGCTCTGGATTGTCGACCATGAACTTAAAGATAAACTTTAGTACTGGTAATGCGATTGCATTGTGAAAGAAAAGGTGTGGAAAGGATCAGAAACAGTTGATCATGTAGCATGTAAGTATTGGTGTGCACTGCAAGGTTCTGGAGTCATCAAAATCATAATAAATTTGACCGAGTCTTGGTAAAGTAACAAGCACATACACAGAAAGCTATGTATGGGACAACACGCATGGTGTCGGGGTTGGTACTACCTTGATTCCTTGTCTTTCTATGCTCATTACTCAGCCAGTATACATTTTCTTCCAAAATTGTTTGGCACATGTCATTTATTTGTAATCTTGAACATTCAGTGTAAGTTTCGTTTGATTCTGTGAGAAATAATTTTCTTTTTTTTACCAGTACTGGAGTTTATCTTTAAGTACATTTTGAATTTTCACATTTCATGTTTGTTTGAAAACATCTCCCCCAAAATAACTTTTTTTAAATGAAGACGAGCTGCCTGAACAAAAGTCTTTCAAACCAGATGATGGTACGTTTCTTTGCATATAATGCACTTATAATGCTTTTTCTCTCAATTTTGAATATTAAAATAAGATTCTTTGCCGTTTTGCAAATGTACATGTACATGTATGTGGGAATGCTATTATTGGGCTTTACAATCAAAAGATGTGCATTACATCAACAATGCAATTTGGGCAGGATATACAATTTAATTTGGAACAATATCTTATTATATTAACAAATGCACTAGTTTGTAACTGCCAAGTGTAAAAGTTTGTTTTAACAACTCAATTCATTAATTTCCTTGCATTCCAAGATTCCATCTTTTTAATTTTGGTTTAATGAGTTTGTATCCGATCCGGCTCAGGGTAATGATTTATATTATTGATGTACTATCCGGTATGCAGCAAGTTCAGGAAATCATTTTGCACTTGTATGTTTTCAGTGCAAAATATATCATTATCATAATCTGAAATACATTTATATATCAATATTCTTATTAAACCTGAAATGAATGCCATGTGATCTTTTTACATCAAATTGTAACGATAAAAGAATTAAATCTCATCAGTATAGTATTACAAATTAATCATGTGACAGAATATTCTGAAATTAAAAAATCATGCAATCGACTTTTTTCTTGCAAGATGTCCTTTTATTTGAGGATGCACTCAAATTTTTAGGTCAAGGAGAATGAAGCGAGTGTCATGTGACCATTATGATCATGTATACATGTAATGGGCAGGCCTGATAAAAACCCAATTTAAATCGGTTTTCCATTTTTTTTTTTATTTTCCCTGATTTTTTCCCGATTTTTGTTTTCTTTCCCGATATTAAAAAAAAAAAAAAAAATCCAGATTTTTTTTCCCTTCCTTATTTTATCCTGATTTTCCAGGTTCTCCCCTATTTTGTCCTATTTTTCCCCCAATTTTCTTACTCGAAAGGGGGGAATGTTGTTAGATGCCATTTTTTTCTCCGCGAATCCTCTTCTTTTTTTTTTACTCAAGGGGGGCGTGGTTAGGGGAAAACAAAAAACCTATTTTTTTTTTAGTGCTCACTATCACCCCTGAATGGGGTTATAACAGATGGGTATCATTCTATCACATCTGCGCCGTGTAACATTTTAAGCCCATATCAAGAATTTGCAAGCCCTCAAACTTTATCTGTAGCAGCTCGATGAATTTATGAAAAGTATGTGTAAAATAAAATTTCAGATCAAAAGACAATGGTTTTTCTATCCAAGTGAAAATTGAAGCCCTCATTTCGTATATAAAAAAAGTAGGATGAAGAAAACACTGCCAGTTGCAAAATTCAAATTTGAAAAGAAAAATGATTATAATTTTGCTATTAATGTATATTTTGCCACCATACTCTAAAGAAAGTTTTCTATTACAATTTTTTACATTTTGGCCCATTTTTGAAGTTTTTGAAATTTTCAGTGCAAATCCCTGCGACATGCTTTAAATATTAAGGCCCTTGGCAAACGTCTCCAGATAATCATGGATAACCTGCAATTAACCTGTATGCAACATACTTCTCTTTCATTCCATAGGATAGGCAAGCTCTCTCAGATCTCCACTTTAACTCTGTGTCTAACGCCACTTAAAGGCAACTAAATCTTTTCCTTAGACCCATTCCAACTGCACAATGTTTCATTTGGATTGCCCCAGGCATCAGCAAATGTCAAGCCTTCCTTCTCCAGAAAGTGATCTCACCTTTAAATTGTTTAATCTTACGAACAGGCATTTTTTCAAAGCGGCTTTTAAGTAGATTTACTTTCACATTGTTGTTGTTCATTTTGGGGGTGTATTTTCATGTACTTGTAATTTTTCTTCTCCATTGCACCTCAAACATATTAGTCATGTGGAGTTGGCGCCTAACAAATACTCTATATTTCTATTTATAAGTAGTAGCCATAAATTCTATTATTTTTTTTGTTGAGATTTTGGCACAAACTGAAATGTCAAATAAACGTTACGTTACATTTCTACTAAAAGAATGCTAAAGAGCTCTTGAACTACTAACGATACTTTCAAGTGTGGAAAAAAAAATTGCATGCATGGGGATTATATTCACTGGTTCGTAAGACTAACAACAATTTTCCTGCACATCAAGAAACAAACTCGTTAAAAATAACACATGGAAGCACTTTTGTTGGTGTGGTGATGACCGTACTTTATTGTCTAGTATACAAAGACAACAACTGAAAAGTTTGTGTGTATCAAGATCTCAATAGAACCAAGATTCAATCCAGAAAGAAACTGTCTGCTTGAGGGCTGAGTTTGTAAATGTCTCCATGGGTGGTAATGAAAGAGTCTGTGTTCTTGAGGCGGATCTATTCTGTAGCCATGGCAACGGATTCTTCCGTGTGCTTGCCCTTGGCCTTGTCGGAGGACAGTTGGCGGGACTTGGCCTTGCGGTCCAGGATGAGCTTACGGTCCTTGTCCATCTTCAGCTTGGTGATCACAACCTGAAACCATCAAGAAATAATACAGGATTGAAATACAATCTGCACGTACCCCATCCAGTTTCAGGCTAACTCTGGCCAAGTCACCATTGTACATTGACTAGATTTTAAAACACAAAGTACTGGTGATCAGACCTGGCATCATTTTTTTTTTAATTGTTAAAGATAAACAAGCATTTTTTTCTCCACAACCGGTACTTAACTCTCTACACTGTGTCTCACCTTGCTGGGGTGGATTCCAACGTAGACCTGGGCACCGTTGGCCTTCTCTCTCTGGATCCTCTCAATGTAGATAACAAACTTCTTCCTGTAAACCTGCACAACCTTTCCGACCTGCTGGCCCTTGTAGTGTCCACGAGTTACCTAGATAAGCAGGAAGAGATATAGTTACGACAGTCATTCACTGGAAGAGAATTTGAAAGAAATCTGTCAAGAAATGTGGCAGTAAGAGCTTACAAAAGGGACAAATGACTAAATCCACTGTACTAAATCAAATTATCCTTATATTATATTTACATTCCATCAAGTCAATGATAAATCATTGTTTTGGGGTTTTTTCTTTTCCCCCCTAACTGTAATTTCTCCTATGATCGTTTGTAAAAATGCAGTTATAAATGATTAATAAAACAAATAAAAAATGGAGAAAAAAATGAGGGAAAAAAATGCCACAGAAAATTCCTATTTTCATTATCCACTTCATGATCAAACTCACCTGAACTTCATCATCTTTGCGGATGGGGATGCTGCGGACATTGTACTTCTGCCTCAGATCCTTGGAGAGGGGTGAGCTCATCAGCTTTCTGCGCACGTGGGAAGGGGCATTGAAGTGGCGCTTTCGGTTCTTCCTCCTCGAGGATGAGACTAAAGGATTGCGCTTCATGGTGCTGTGGGGTAAAGAGTGGCAAACGGTTACAATGATTATTGCATGACTAAATTCACAATAGATGTTTCGTCTTCTTTGTAATGGCAACAATCAATAGCTACTCGTGCTCTAAAAACAAATATAATGAGGATCGTCCGCATGAACACGGACAAATTGAGTCCTACTCCAGGGAATAATTTTCCTCAAATTTTTTGATTAGCAATTTCAGCCGATGGATAAATATTTCAAATGAAATTCTGTACATTTCTATGGAAGAAAACTGCTACACAAAAGATATTTTGTATAGCAGTCATGCAAAAATGCATAGCAAATTGCGATGCGATACCAGGAAAATTATTCCCTGTACTCCTAGAAAAATGAGGATCGTTCGCAGAGTGCCAGGTGTAGGGTTTCTGATCCGCTCGCTGGCAATACGAAAACGGATTCCGCGTAATAAAATACCCCCAGTTCACCGTCTACTCTCATGGACTGTCCGTCTTCCCGATGATTTATCGCTCATCACGTGAAAGTCCTCTGTACAAAGAGAGTGTAAAAGGCATTAAGAATTTCATTGCAGAATCCGTTTTTTAGCATCGCCAGCGCACGAATCGGAAATAACAATCGTCCAAGAAAATGTGGATACTTGATGAGGTAATCCCTGAAGCAGCTTTTCCAAGCTATACTGGATGATCCTGATTTAAGCGGCACATCTATCTAAGTTTACAAAGACGTTCCTCGTTTAAGCAGACGATCCTTATTCTCGGACCAGCGCCCCTACTGATAAAAGTGCGCAAGATTAGAAGACAAAAAAACGCACACATGCATGTGGCAGTGCCAGTGCCAGTGCAAAATAGTGAAATTTAGATCACAAATATTCACAAAATGGCCTGGCCGAAACATTTCCACTGAGGGCATGCTCATGAAATGAAGTGCGCAAATGTGCGACTTCATTTCTTTCTCACTATCCCCGAATCTGTCTCTCTCTCAAAAAAGGCACAAGCACAAATTAAATTCTGCAGTTGTGGCATGTGCAACAGATTATGGAATGCACTTTGAGTTAGACTAATCGCAAAATAGCAATGACTATCCACTGTTAGTGTAACTATACAACAGTTAGCGAACAACAGTTTTGACCATAATTATGAATTTGTCCATCGGTTTGTACGTCATGCACGAATTCGCTGATAAAATTAAAGGGAACCCAAACCCAACACAATTATTCGTATATGGGACAGTATCATATTCGATTGTTGCGGCTCCACAACAAACAAATATTAGGGTCAATTTCCAGTATTTCAATACGAAATACAACTAGAAACACCATTTAAGTCCTAGCTATAAGTATTTTAATATAAATATCACTTTTTAACCAATGGATGATCATTGCATAGATATTTTTTAGATCGATTTCATAAGGGATTCCATCGCACCTTACAATGAGTTTTCAGGCCACCGTAAAAGAGGACGATTGCGACCGCTCATCACAGTCATATACGTCACAGAACTAGTCTACTTTCGAGCCCTTTACTTTATTTTCACTAGTCTTTCATTTTACTTCCCAATGAAAGATTTAGGCTATTATGTATATATCGGTTTGAAATACAAAGATCAAAGTTGAAATCTAAAAGCTGACTAGTTACCTAGCTATAGAAGTAAGCTATTCAAAATATTCACCTCCACGATGGAACTGACAATTGACTGCATGATTGTGATTGACATCATTTTCATATGCGCTATTATATAGATCTATATGTTTGATTTATAATAAACATTGAGAAAAGGGGATTAAGTTGTAATATAATCCTACACAATGAATAGAGACATAAGAGCTAGTATAACACTAGTCAAAATGGACGTCTACTTGTCAATTGCAAAATCGGGAATTCACTGATGGGTAATTGTTTTAGCTTGATTAATTTGTCCGATTTAGTTTCTTAATCTTTTTTTTTTTCCTGCTTCCTGAACTAGATTGAATTTTTCGGATCTGCATGGAAGAGGGGGTGGGGGGGGGGCATGATAGGCAGGCGCTCGCAGGTGGATAATAACACAATTTACCTATGGCGATCTCAGAGAAGTTATTATATAAAGAGGAGCTTAATGGGTAGGGGTGCCGGGTCTTGGGACCGGCCCCGGCCACTCCGGGGTCGGAATGACCGCATATGCGTGTTACCAAAATGTCCGGTAAAGGGGTATACTTTTCGTGCGACAAAGCCCGGCCCGAGAATTGTAAAAAAAGGGGTGTATCTGACTTTTCACCCGGAGATTTCTTTAAAAAGGGGGTGTTTTTCTTTTTTATTCTCGTCTCTTTGGACTCCTGAGAAATTATTCCGAATTTAGGGGGGTACATTGAGCATTTTTCCGTATTTAGGGGTGTCTCCAAGGCAGGAAAAACCCGCGAAAAGCCCGCGAAAGGGGGGTTCGGAAATGTTGGCAGTCCTCAGATAGGGGGTGCTTTCAAAAAGAGGGAACGGGCATACGCGTACCCTTAATAACACTGAGTGGGGGGGGGGCCGGGGTCTTGGAGCCCGATATCTTCCAAATGTTTATGTCTCGCTTAAATACAAGGGGGTTGCCCCTCCCTCTTATCGCTACTGCCATGGTTATCACATCATAAAAAAAAAATGTGTTTCATTGTCATAGTATAAGAAGGAAATTAATGTCTTTTGAGTCTGCCTTCTGAAGAGAAATATAGAACTTAAGAAAGAAAAAAAGAAATACAGACTGAAAGAAAGAGAGACTGACAAATATAGGAAAAAAAAGTGAATGCATGCATCCATTTTTTAAATTTGTTTATCAATCGAGGTCGAGATCTACCTTAAATATAAAAAGGGACTGGAGTCAACCTTATTTCGTAGATGAGAGATGAGAGTTTCAAACTCGACCACTGATATGAGATGTGCAGAAATGCCGGCGATTTAAGTGTTTAATTGGCACGAGTTTTGGCCTACTATCAGGGGCGGTCGAGCGACTTCCAAAGTGGGGGGGCACCAACAAAAAAGGGCACTTTCTGAAGAAAAAAGGGCACCTACAGTGGGAAATCTCAAAGCGAAAATATACAATTTTTTAGACATTGGTACATACCCCTGCATTGTGATTACATTATCAGGGATGATTTCAATATTTGTTTCTCTTCATACATCATACAAGATATCGCTTAAGCATCATACTTTACAGTTGGGTGGGATGTCTGAATATGCATTTACGAGCGAGCGAAGCGAGCGAGAAAAATGTTAAAGATCTGCGAGGTCGCAGTGCGAAAAATTACATCTTATAAAGAGGAAAAAAGCCAATCGTGATGGGGTTATAAGCACATTCTCTTAACGGAAGACTGAAAAGACCTTTGATAACTAACATAATTATATCATCTTTAAATGCGAGCGAGCGCAGCGAGCGAACTTTGGGGGAAATTGCTCTTAGTCGCTTTAAATAAGGGGCATGTTTAATGATTTCATGAAAAGGGGACAATTATCGAAAGGGATAAGACACTTATTAGAAAAGAAAAGGAGCACGTGTCAAAGTACAAAGGATAATTATAAGAGGTGAACATGAGGCATTTTTTTCACCTGAAAAGAGGCACTCACCTGATGAAAAAGAGGCGTTTACGAAAATGGGAAATAGGCATTTGTTGACGGAAAAAGGGCACCCATCAGATTTTGATAGGGGCATTTATAAGAGGTGAAAAGGGGACAGGTCCCTTATTAGAAAGGAAAAGGGGCACGTATCATTATTAAAAAGGGAATTATCAGAGGTGAAAAGAGGCACTGACCAGATATGAAAAGGGGCACTTATGAAAATGTAAAAGGGGCACTTATAATAAAGGAAAATGTGCATTTGTTGAATGAAAAGGGGGCACCGTTCAAATTTTAAAAAAGGGCCGTTATGAGAAGGGGAGGGAGTTTTTTCTTTTTAATGGGGGCACTTATCATAAGGAAAAGGGGCACTTATTAGAAAGGGAAAGCGGTAGTTATGAGAAGGGGAAGGAGCTCTCTCTTTTTAATGGGGGCACTTATCATAAGGAAAAGGGGCACTTATTAGAAGAAAAAAAGGGGCACATGTTAAAATTAAAGGTGTGCTCATCCGAGTTTAAAAAAGGGGTAGTTATTAAAAGGAGAAGGGGCACTTCTTACAAAGGAAAAAAGGGGCAGTTGTCAAAGTAAAAGGAGCACCTCTCAGTTTTGAATAGGGCAATTATCAGAGGTGAAGGGGGCACTTATCAAAAGTGAAAAGGGGCACTTCTCGTACCTGAAAAGAGGCACTTACTAGAGATTAAAAAGGGCACTTATTAAAGATAATTTCAAGATTTATGAGAATGGAAAATGGACACTTATTGCAAAGGAAAATGGGAACATGTCGAAGGAAAAGGGGCACGTGTCAAAAATAAAAAGGGCACTCGTCAGAGGTGAAAAGGGGGAAGGGGCACTTTTATTTAGTAATAGGGGCACTTGTCAAAGTAAAAGGGGCACTTTTCCTATGTAAAAGGGGCACTTCTTACAAAATAAAAGGGGCACTTTTCCTATGTAAAAAGGGGCACTTTTGGGGTATCTGAAAAAGTGGGGGGGGGGCACTGTGCCCCCCTGCCCCCCCGGGAGAACCGCCTCTGCCTACTATATTGAAATCTATTTGGCATCCAATCCCAGGGGCGGATCCAGGTGGCTGCACCGGGCCAAATATAGGGGGCCGGCCAATTCGTAAGAAAATATTTAGCGGAGAATCGTGAATCAGCCAGCCGGCGAATAAGTTGGCGGGCGGTGGGGGGGGGGGGGGGGGGGGGGGGGGGGGGGGGGCATTAATTATTTTTTTCTCTTTTTTTTGCTCAACGGGTGAAGGGGGAGGGTAGTGAACACTATTTTTTTTTCAATACTCAACACCACCCTCCCCCTCCTTGAACCAGGGGGAGGGGGCCTCTTTTCCTTTTTAGGTACTGGTAAATTTGTCCTGTTTGGGCGGGGGGCAGGGGAGGGGGCTGGGCACCCCGGGCTTCCCCCCCCCCCTCTAGATCCGCCACTGTCCAATCCAGGCGCGGATCCAGGATTTCTTAGGGGAGGGGGCCAAACTTTTTTTTTTTTTTTGCTCCCGAAAATTTGAAAATCGCGCCGGCCGAAAAGTCGCTCAGTGGGGGGGGGGGGGGGGGGGGGGGGGGGGGGGTAAGCGGACTTTTTTTTTTTTTTTTTTGGAGTCCCCAAAAAAGCTCAGTGGGGGGGGGGGGGGGGGGTAGTGAGCACAATTTTTTTTTGGTCCTCGAAAATTTTAAAATTTGCACCCCCCTTGAGCGCCAGGGGGGGGGGGGGGGCCCAACCCCCCAAAAAGTAAAAATCGCGTGATTTTGCATGATTTTTTTCTCAAGGGGGGGGGGGGGCCCCGGGCCCCCCGGGCCCCCCCCCTGGATCCGCCACTGGTCCAATCCATTTGCGTAGAAAGATTCTACCCATTTGGGGGCATCATGGTCCGATGGGTCCGATCGATGGTGCAGATAGTAAGGGTGAGGCTACTTCTCACTCGGGAAAATTGAATTCAGGCGGCTATACTGAATTTTGGTTCCTGTTCCTGTAGCTATCTACGCCACTACTGGTCCTAATATATTTTTGGAGAAGTTATGCTCCATCAACGGGCCAAAGGTGTTTTCTCAGTAAAAGTTCAAAGTTGAAAGTCCTTTTTTTAGTCCAAGTTCTTATTTGGAGTAAAAATCGATCTTTCCATGGTATATTACGAAAAGTAACAACGGATTGAAATAAGACTAATTTGGAGGCTCATCTGTTGCACTATATGGCCAATTCATGATTACGTGATCCTGAAATCTGCAAGAAATTGACCGAGTGGATGAATTACGCAAAAACAATGGCTCTACGAGTTTGTCGTCAAAGCTATGTGAGTTGCCTATTCAATGAATTTTACCATTTTCGATTTGAGATGAAATAAATATCGCTATGTTTCGTTATGTTTAGTCTGATTGTTTGAATGCACGAGTGAATGACGCACCATGTCTTCCGATCGAATCGGTAAACGTTTGTTCCCCCGACCAGTCGGCAGGGCAAACTGTTAGTGTCACTGTGCGTGTACGGTGAGGAGAGCTAAGACTAGAGAGCGCGCAGGATATCGGATCGGCGATGGCCGATGGCGAGTGTCCCCCGGGAGTGTCCCAACTTTTTTTAAATTGAGAACCTCAACGTCATGAACGTAGGCACGACTCTTATCCACTCAGATCAATCATATTAGTGATGCCACTAGCATTTTTTCAACTAAAAAATAAAAGGTGATTTGAACATTTTTTTAGCAAGACTGCAATGCTGACATTTTTTAATTTTAATTGTTTGTTTCTTTTTATTTTTGTTCATCAATTTCTATGAATGATTTCAGACTGCTTATAATATAATTAAGATGTAATTTCAAATCTCTCTTCAATCTTCCATCTTCTGTTTCTCTCTTCCAGGCTCTCAGGAACGTGGCCAAGTCTCTGCTGTCCTCTCCGGCAGCGAGATGCCAGTCCACCCTGTCGGCTCCGGACCTCTCTCTCCCCGTCACTCATCTGAATGAGGAGGAGAGCATGATGAAGGAGGCTGCGGCAAAGTTTGCCAAGGAGAGGATAGCTCCCTACGTTCAAGAGATGGATGCCAAGGGAGAAACTCATCCAGATGTGCTCCAAGGAATGTTTGAAAATGGGGTGAGTTTGTTTGTTTAATCTTGCAAAGATACATGAAATATGAAATATGCACTATGAACATGACGTACAAAGAAAGCGGACAAAATATACAGTTCCTCAGGTAGACAAAGGAACATCCCTTCACTGCTATTATGTAAAAATGTGTAGAACAGGTGAATATGCATGTGACACCTGTTCTACACATTTTTACATTATAGCAGTGAAGGGATGTTCCTTTGTCTTCCTGAGGAACTGTATATTTTGTCCGCTTTCTTTGTCCGTCATATTCATAGTGATGAGACCTTGTAATATGTAAATGAAGAGAAGGAGGAATATAGTTTTTCAATTTGTATCAAGTTATTATCTATATCCATAACATATAACAGCCTCAATCTAAAGATTACCATATCCTTTTGAAAACTGGTTAAGTCATACAGTTACTCAAGATTGTGGTCGCTAAATATTTTTATCATGACTTCATGAGTATTTTAATAATTCTGACTATATATGTATGATTAATTTACTTTGATGTTTTAGTGTAAGCTTTTAATATTCAGGACCAGGATGTAAACCAGTCTTCCCTGATCTATTTATCCTGATGAAATGTGTTCAAATAAATAAATGCTCCCTGTGTCTCGTGTGCAGTTCATGGGTATCGAGGTCGAGCCAGAGTACGGCGGTCCAGGCTCTTCGTTTGCCGTTGCTAACATGGTGATAGAGGAACTGTCTAAGGTGGATCCAGCCATCAGCGTCTGCTGCGACATCCACAATACTCTCATCATCACGGCTCTTAGGAACTACGGCACCAAGGCACAGAAAGACAAGTACCTCCCCATGGCTGTTACAGACAGTGTGAGTAAAGACACTGGCTTGTATTTTCTAACGGTGGACTAAATTAAACCTTGTTAGTCTTCTTCTTCTTAATGGTTAATCTGCCTCCTTCAATACTGAAGATTCTTGCAGATGCCGTTTATACTCGGCCTGATTGGGGTGTGCAGGGGGGACCACTACACCGGGTTTTCCCCTCTTATACGAATAGTGAAGTGGGTTCTTAACGTGCAAAGGTGGTGACTCTCCTCTACATGGGGCTTCCATTTAACGTCCTATCTGATGGATGGAGTGTTTTCCACTTAACATAGCCTGCGTCTATGAAAGAAGGGGGGGGGGGCACGTTAACACACAACCCAGGCTTCAGTCATCCGCCTGGGTGGGATTCGAATCCGGGATCTTTGGTTCGACAGGCAGACGCTTTACCGACTGAGCCAACTCCCCTCCTCAGTCTACTGCTTTAAATTGCAAAGATTCTCAAACTTGTTAATATTATTACATGATCAGGGCTTGAGACTAACCGTCACCCAGGACACATGGGTGCCCAAAATATAACTCTGGGACCCCAAAACTTTTGAAGCTTTTACATGGCTACAGATTGTAAAAAGTTCAATCTGGAACCCCTTCCAAAAAGGAAATATGGAGCCCTGTTATAACCAAAAAAGAATTTTTAAAAAACCCAGTAATGTAATGAAAATACAACTTTGATTTCATATTAACATGACTTTTGTTTTAACACCAAATTCCGAACTTACTCAATCAAACATTTTTCATTTTCAGGTCGGCAGCTTCTGTCTATCAGAGCCGTCATCAGGGAGTGATGCCTTCGCCATGAAAACCAAAGCCACGCGTGATGGAGATGATTACGTCATCAGCGGACAGAAGTGCTGGATATCTAGCGCCACCTTTGCCAAGATCTTCCTCGTATTTGCAAATGCTGATTTTACAAAGGTACTAACAATTTCTGTATCTTTACTAACAATTTTGAAACGTGTTCTGTAGAATCGTATGAAAGATATATCTTGAGTGACAATTTAGTGTGCATATTTGATTTTCAGGGTTGCTGATTTTAAAGTGTGTTGAATATCGGTATCACAGAGATGCCAACTGTTCTGTTTTTGCCGTATTTGTTCCGTTTGTTCGCTATTAATACGGCAGTACGTTTTTTGTATGTTTTGTTACGTTTTTTAAATTTTAAATTTTTTTTTTTTAATTTATTTTTTTTGGTGATGTTTTTCTTAATTTCTGATCATGGGCTTTGTGTCGTAAGTGTATTATGCACCTACATCTTAAAATGATGCACGCAGGATGGTGATACGGGCCCCAAACTGCGCACATTGCGAACAACCCATGTGTAATGTATGCACATCGCGCTCCGATCCGGGTACGTATACGTGGTACTGCCTGGTTTTTTAAGCTGCTCGATTGGGCGATATGTTAAGTTGAGAGATTTTTTCAAAAATACTATTTATTGTCCAAAAATACTGTTTTTTGCTCTTAAGAATACTTTTCTTTGTTGAAGAAGCTTGGCATCTCTGGTATCAACATACAGAGGATTTACTATAAGATTTACATTAAATTCAGTTGACTTTGAATTGAACTTGAATTCAATTCATTTATTCACAGTAAAATGTATACGTTCATTCAGCCAAACATACAGTAAACCATATATAATTTAATTAGAATATCAACAAAAAAGAAAAGGACAGCGTGCACAACAACATTACGACGACGGATAGTCAACCTGTTCGAAACGTCGAGCCACTCCCGCTATTCATCCTCTCCAAGTGCTATAGTTCTCCTTAGAACTATAAGCTAAGAAAGATAACCAACAGTCTTTTTCAAGACTATACCAAACAGTCCTTTTCAGGACTACAAACCCTCAAGAAAGATTACCGAGAGTCCTTTTCAGGACTCCTCAATCTTCCCTCTCTCTCTCACATGGTGCACCCACAAGCCTACTGTATATCATTAAATAATGTAAACAAAATGACATAATCTCAAACATTAGCTTTTAGCTAAAAGTCACAGATTCTTCTTCGCAGATGCTTCTTTAGATTTATTTCAAATGTGTCTTATCACTTGCTGGAGATGATGTGTATATCCCTTTTTTTTCTCTTCTTCCTTCCTTCCTTCCTTCCTTCACCCAGGGTTACAGAGGTATTACAGCGTTCCTGGTAGATCGCGATACTAAAGGTCTAGTTATTGGTAAACCTGAAAACAAACTTGGGATCAGAGCATCGCCAACCTGTCCTGTGTACTTTGAAGATGTCAGGGTAAGGTTTTAAACTTCAAATTTCAGCATGAACATTCATTCAAATGCTACATTTATATTGGACTGCAATGTGACATATGAATTAGTAAAACTGGTTTATTACGGTTTGGTCTACAACTAGTTTGACTACTACCCAATAGGACTATTACCATTTGGTCTACACTCAGCCCACATGGTCTTATAATCATTCCATTTACTTATCATTTGGTCTAACAACCATTTAGGCTAATAGTCATTTGGTCTAATCTCCAATAAGTCCACTACCCATTTGGTCTTTTGCTCATTTAGTCTAATTCCCAAACAGTTTAATTCCCAGTTTGTCTAATGCCCATTTTGTCAGCTATCCATATTGTTTAATAATCATTTAATCATAAATAATGATAATCATCAAATGATTATTTGACCTAATTTATAGTAGATGAAATGGGCATTAGACAGACTGGGAATTAGACTAACTGTATCGATGTGTACAGTTAGTATTTAGAAAATCAACCCCAAGGTTTTTCCTGACTTTCTATGGGTTATTGGTCAAAGAGAATGAAGAAAACAATAAAGCACTGTGTACATTAATACCCAAATCGCCTTGCGCTATGAAAGACCTGCCAACCAGTACGATTTAATTGTATTTAGTACGACTTTTAGAAGTAAATATGACAGTACGATTTATAAAATACAATTTTCCAAAACAAAAAACAAAAAACTTTAAATTAAAAAAAAATAAAAAATGTTTGTGTGTGTGTGCCATTTTCAATGGCAAAATGCCCATTCTATCCTGTAAAGTATCCTACAAGCATCTCACATTGGCAATTTAGGGATGTTCATTGGTTCATCGAACACACTAGTCATGACGAAATCATGCATATTTAACCAATGATCCATACAAAAATTCTTCCTGATCCCTTTTTTTTTTTTAAATACAACTTTTGTCAGTAAAATACAACTTTTGGTATTGAATAATACAGTTTTTGAATTCCAGAAGTTGGCAAGTCTGCTATGATAATCTTTACCCTAGCTCTAGTTCCATCTGTGTGCATTAATTCATAAGGAATAGATACAACCAGGTGGCCATTTTTTGCTCCTTGATCAAGTGATAATTATGTATGGTTGTCATTGTTGCTTTTGTAACAATTTATGAAGGGTTTGCAAAGTGGATGTCTACTGAATTAAAGATAAAGTTGACTTCTGGTCATGCGATTGCATTGTGAAAGAAACGTTGTGGAATCGATCAGAAAAGGTTGATCATCTAGCATATAAGTATTGGTGTCTACTGCAAGGTTCTGGAATCATCAAAATGATAAGAAATTTGGCCCAGTCTTGGTAAAGTTACAAGCACTGTACACAGAAATGTGTGGCATAAAAATCTGTCCCGATTTGTATGCTGATACATGCTATATTTAGAATTTAAGGCATTTGATGAACCATGCTGTTCAGGGAACATTTTTGATAGAATGTTCTTCCACACTTGCATAATAAGAATGATAACGCTCATAAATTATTGTTCACCTCTTCCCAGAACTCAACCTTCTCTTTAAATTGATCTTGAATGACCAACAGGTACCAGCAAGTAACGTCCTGGGTGAGGTAGGAAAAGGATACAAGATCTCCATGGAACTACTCAATGAAGGAAGGATAGGCATAGGGGCACAGGTGAGATTATCATTCCTTCTTGGGTTTCACATGTATGGTATAATATATTGTCTTTTCAGAGCCAGAAGGGCATAGACATGCTCTGGGCCACGTCTAACAAAGAGTTGAAATCAATCTCAACTTATTTGTGATTGATAGCAATCGCAACTATGTACATAAGACATAGGAGACTGCAGACTTGCAATTGATTGTAAGACTTGTGATTGATTTGGATCAATCGCAACTCTTTGTAAGACGGGGGCCCTGAGCTAAAGTATTTGAGTTAATACCCTTCTGGCTCCAAACAGACAGTATTGTCACTGTATGGATTGAACAAGCCCCCACCACACCTTCTCACCCAGTTGAGGTGTAGCACATGATTGGAAGGGGGTGGGGGTTAATGATGAAGATGATGGTTGTGTTGATAATGATGTTGGTGGTGGTGGTGGTGGTGATGATGACTGTGGTGGTGATGGTGATGATGGTGGTGGTGGTGGTGGTGGTGGTGGTGGTGGTGGTGGTGGTGGTGATGATGGTGGTGGTGATGGTGGTGATGGTGGTGGTGGTGGTGGTGGTGGTGGTGGTGGTGGTGGTGGTGGTGGTGGTGATGATGATGATGATGATGATGATGATGATGATGATGATGATGATGATGATGATGATGATGATGATGATGATGATGATGATGATGATGATGATGATGATGATAGCTATGGTGAAGATGATGATGGTGTTGATGATGTTGATTTAGATTTAGATTAAAAGATTGAGGATGAGTGTTCTGATGATGAAGACTGATAGATTAATTTAAAAAAAATAAACGAATGTACATGTATTATAACAAGCTATGATGTATCAAGTGAATTACTATTGTTTCTCTTTTGTATAGATGATTGGTCTAGCCCAAGGTTGCATGGACGCTACAGTGCCTTACATCATGGAGAGAGAACAGTTTGGACAAAAACTTTGGGACTTTCAAGTAATGCATCAATAGTTTAATTTCTCTCATTTGTTTATTAATTTTACAACTTTAATCAGGGTGGTCTATTGAGCAGTATAAGCCTTCTCGTACAGAAACCTGCATATAATTGATAAGTGTGCAATTGTATTAGTAAAGGTACTATAAAGTTTAGAAGGTAATTTTTTTTTTTTTTTAATTTTTTTTTTAAGATATGCAATTCAAGATTGAGTGTGGATATCTCTCTTGTTACTGTATTATCACACTTGATGTTGGTTTTATTGAAAAGCCTGTTTATTCCCCTTTACGATGATGCCCCATTTGTAATGATTACGTAATTATGGAATGTGTAGTACACCTGGATATGGGGCCAAGTCAAAAATGAAATGTTTCAACCTGACATGATGATGATTGATAGTTGAGAGCGAGTTCTGTCAATGTCAGTAGAGAATTCTTCATTTGTTTGGAGGATGATTGTGTGTTGAAGAATGCATTTTGCATTATGTCAACTTTTATATTCAGGTAGGCTGCACATTTCATAATAATACAATAACTACAAATCGGTCATCATTGTAAATGGAAATAAATAGGCTTTTCCTTGATACCAACGTCAAATATGACAATAAAGTAACAAGAAAGGTATCAACACTCAAACTTGATTTGCAGAACACTATGTTTTGTTTTTTTGAGGAGTTTCCATGTTAAGAATCAGTTCATAATGTGTTTGTAATGCTGATTATGTCTGTGATGACAAGTATGTGGCATTTCTTTAGAACTATACTGCTTTATTAAACTATGATGATATCTATGATTTTTAGGTTATTTGTATCATGGTGGAACCAGAAACATTATTCATATTGAAAAATTATTACCAATTACAATGTGAAATCTAAGTGTAAGTTATTGAATCTTTGTTATACTTTATGTTCCCACAAATCACTGCATTCTTCTTCTCCCATCATCGACATCCTCACAGAGCATGCAGCACCAGGTAGCCCACGTGGCCACGCAGATAGAAGCAGCCCGGACCATGGTCTACAATGCCATCCGTCTGCGGGAGGCCGGCCAGCCCTTCATCAAGGAGGCCGCCATGTGCAAGCTCCTGTCGGCTGAGGTGGCGTCCCTCACCACCTCTAAGTGCTTGGAGTGGATGGGCGGGGTCGGCTTCACCAAGGATTACCCCGTGGAGAAGTTCTACAGGGATTGTAAGATAGGTGGGTGTGGTAAATCATCTTGTTCATAACCTTTAAAGCCCCACAGCACTACTTATAGCTACTTGTGCCCTCTATATAGCAAACAATGACTGATCCGTGACTGTTGGTCTGCCATGGTCCCCTTTTTCTTATGTTATTTGAGAGCTGATTTGATGAGATAACCATCTGGTTGGTGCAGGGAGGTCTAATCCCTCTAGGCCAAACTAGTGCAGATAGGCTTAAAATGACCAGGGCCTGGTTTGATAAACAGTTGCAATTTGCAATTGCTTTCAATTGCAACTATGTACATAAGAGATAGGAGACTGCAAACTGATTGATTGGTGGCCTTACTTGATTTGGATCAATCGCAACTTTGTAAGACCGGGCCCTGGTTATTTCAGCTTCAGCGCTGTGCGGTACCTGATGTTTCTAAAAAATTTATCAACCGATACACTTTAATATTTGTCTAAGATTCTTATTGATACTATGTTCATTCGTTTGTGTCTCCTTAACTCAAGATAGTTATGTAAAGTTCCTTAATTAAAAGTAAATTAAATTAAATTAAGTTCTTCCATCGCCCGATTGCTGCAATGGCCGCTTCATTAACAAGGGCCAGGTCTTCATCTGTGCAACCCGTTCCACCACACTGCAAGATGTGGTCCAACCTTCAACTTCTTCCCCCGTAGCATGAGAGTAATTTTAATTGCTTCATTCTTGTAATTAAGTGAAATGTTATTCATTATTGTATAATTGTGTTAAGTGGAGCATGGGTCTGATTGATAATATGTAATATGTCATCATTGATTTGAAATAACTCTCAGACAGTTCATTTTGAAATGATTTATTACCAGAATGCAAGATTACCTGCAGAAAGGGTCTGTGGCTTTCATTCTTCCTGCAAAGGAGGACCATGCAGCCAGCTAAACTAAACTCCTGTGTTTCCATCTCTCTCTCTCGCTCTCTCTTTCCACTAGGTGCAATTTACGAAGGCACCAACAATATTCAGCTGAACACCATCGCCAAGCTGATCAAAGAGGAATACTTAAGACAGTGAGGAACGACGCAAGCAGCTGAGGAGAATCATGAAGAACAGTTTAGGTGTGCCATGACTGTGAAATGACTTTCTGCTAAGAGTAAGACACATTGCAATAGCTGGCCTTCATGGTTGAGGTTCAATTTATGACAGAATTGAACTCATTAAAGGCAAGGCATTTGTTATCCATTTCTTTTTTAAATACCAAAAACTTGATTAAATGTGTAAAGGTAGTTCCATCGTGTGCTCTGGCGTCAATTGCTCTGGGGCTTAGGGTTAGGGTTGCAATTTGGTTATGGGTTAGGTCCGGTGTGAGAGTTAGGGTTAGGTATTATGTTTGGTCCAGGGTGTAATGTAGACATTCGGTTTAAATAGTGTAAGACATTGACTGTGGTGCAATTGTCATAGGAGCAATTGTTGTACAACTGTTGTAAGAGCATGAATTCAGTAGCTATCCTAGTGCTTGAGTCTGGTATTACTTTCTTCAAAATAAGTTAAGTTTGGGCAAAGTATCTTATTGTTGTCAGCTTTGCATAACATAGATGGGCACTTTTTTAATAGTAACCAGTAAAATAAAATGTCTTATGGATCTTTTTGTTCTCTACCTCATATGCAAACGATGTCCATCACAAGAGTTTATCACCGATTTCCTTTAATAGTGCATCTAATCATGGTTAATCATAAAATGTGAAGGGAGAGCTTTGCTTTCAGGTCACATGTATCATTGGATGTTGCTATGACAGACACTCCTCATAAAATATTGAACTTTTCTAATAAAGGCATATTTTTCAATTACACAGTATGCTTAGCTATTTATACAGCTTTATATCTTGATGGTTTGGGATTAAATCTCTAACTATATTTTGGCTGTCTTTTGCACAAAATCAAATGTCTTCTGGTGAGCTATCTCAAAGTTACTCACAAACAGATGCAAGGATTGGTTTGCTTTGTTTAGCATTTTCTCATATGCTGGCTGCACAGGAAGGAAACTCCATGCATGCTGTGTACTATACTTCAAGGAATTGAGGAACTTTACATAACTTTAATTAAGGAACTTTACATGACTTTACATAACGTTCTTGATCTAAGGAGACACAAACAAACGAACGAACTATACTTCACTGTTCACATACTCGTGCACATGTACTGGAGATCGTCTTGAACTCCAAATTATGAGAATTGCTGAAGATGTCAGAATCAAATATCAAGGTGGTATAATTTCCCATTGAAAAACTTGCAGTGATGTTGAAAGACAACCTCAAGTATCGTTTCCCTGACTGTGTACCCGGTAATTGACAGATGAGTTGAAGATGTGTATTTTGGCTCAACATACATGTATATGTAAATATTAAACCAAAGGTAATATTATCTGAGCAAAAGGCCCTTTGCAGTTGATATTTTATGAAATTGTCAGTATTGATATTGATGGCTGATAGTATGTGGTCGTACATATTTATTTTTTAGTTAAGGTGCGTTGTGAACACCATAAATTTCTTTTGACTTGCTCAAATATTTTCTCGCTTTGTAAATCCTTGGTAGATATGTTTTTGCCATCCTTCTTTTTTAGATCCTGAAATATAAATTTATGTATTGATACTTTAAAACTAGTCACCCTTTGCTCATGTTTGCTTGGAATCAAAAGTACCTTTCATGCTTTAAGTGGAGTTGATTTTAATCTAAATCTTCTCAGTATTCTCTTTAGGTATAGGTGTACATGTATGATTGCAAATCATGGCTATAAGTATTCATATTAGTCAATAATGTTCCTTACCGTTATCCAGTAATGTATAAATATTTAGTTATTTATTTAATTTTATTGATTTTTGTGAGGGTGGGAGGGGGGGGGGGGGGGATACTATCTGCAGTATACATTTAATGTGTACCAACATAAGTGGCAAATGTTTTATATTTCTAAATCAGAAGGCTTAATGTAAAGGTGCTGAGACATATAGGCTCCGGCAACAATTGCTTCTGGCTTGTATCATCAGATAAAAGTTTAGGGTTGCAATTCAGTTGGTGTAGCATATTAAACACGGAGCAATTGTTGCTGGGGCATTTATCGAAGAACCACTGTTGAATAGAGGTTTTTAGAATATCATGGATTCCGTAGTAGAATACATAAATTCTTTTTAAATTTGTACTGGTAAATGTTCCTATTCATTGAGCACAATTTGGAAGTCAATTCTTAATTTCTTCAGTAAGCACGACTAAACACACCATCGCTCCGTCATATTTTTTAATATGTGTGTGTGTGAGGAAATGGCTATAAATAATGTATGAAAAGAGTATATTTATGGAATATTCAATATTGTGGTGTATGTAAAGGAATCATTAAATGACATGATGTATTATTTACGCACGATCCCTATATATTTCATTATTCAATTACGTGTGAAAGAGTGTGAAGTAGTTGCAGTTGTGAAACCCATGTTGTAAAGAGAGAGAGAGAGAGAGAGAGAGGGAGAGGAGAGAGAGAGAGGAGAGAGAGGGAGAGGAGAGAGCGAGAGAGAGAGAGAGAGGGAGAGGGGAGAGGAGAGAGAGGAGAGGGAGAGGAGGGAGAGGGAGAGGAGGGAGAGGAGAGAGAGGGAGAGGAGGGGGAGGAGAGAGAGAGAGGGAGAGGAGAGAGAGAGTAGGAGAATAAAAAAGGGTGGTATACAAGAGAGAGGGGAAGAAAGAGATTGAGGAAAATCAAGGAAGGAGAAAAGAGGTGTGTAAGATGGAGAGAGGAAGAGGGGGAGGGGTAGATGGAAGAGTAGTACGAGATGGACGTGAAAAACATACATTGTCCTCCAAATGAAGAAGCAAAGAGGCTACATATGTGTTTAAAGATGCACAGTTGATTTTATTATTTTCTTCTCTTTTCTTCTCCCTCTCTCAAGGCTTATGTAACATAGTCTGTCTGTTTTTTTCTTCTTCTGCATCAACATAAAACCTCTGAACAGGCAGAACAGGATGTATCCCATATACAACATATTCTCCTACGTTTCACAGATAATTACAATATGTATAGGCTAAACCGATTCACATTTAATGATGATTCCACAGACCAATTCCGTGTCCCTCCATCTCATCTTTTCAAAGTGCCCAAACTAACTCTTTAAAAAAAAAAAGGCCCGTGTCACCCTAACATGTATATATATATTTATTTATATATATATACACACTTTGCATTTTCCAGTTTTTATCATTTTTTTATTCTGTATATCATAATATAGTACCATCTTTATATTCATTACAAAAGCATTTAAATAATAACAAAGAACATCACTGGGCACGTACATCACAAATGATTTTGCAGTCGGTAAATACTACTACCTGAAATTTCAAATTTCATCTGAATAAAGAGATATATAATCTTATGAAAAACAAACAAATAATAGCGACATCATACTCAAAAAGATTGCATGATATCAACGGTATCTAGTGCAATTACTGTAGTGACAAAATTTTCAAACAACTTTTGCTCCTGCAATTTTTTAATGATTGGTCGAAGCTTATTCAGGATAGCCGTTTGTGACAGAATGACCGTTTATTGGTTCACCTCGAAATGATCTAGGAAACCTCACAAGCCTTGCATATGCGCTGATAATTAAGTGTCTAATTTCTTCCTCCATTGAAAGTCGGAACGATTCTCGGCAGATGATTTATGACTTTAAGCCAAAACTCAAATTGGCAACTCCTGAGCAATCCTTAAAAATTAGAATTCAACCCTTCTCTTGATATTTTCCATTGGATCTCTAGGTATCATTTACCATTTTCCAATTGATATATCATGAGATCATTTTGAATTTTGAATGAATAAATCAACCTGCTTTTGTTTCATTCACAGAAATTCCTATCCACAAGAAAACCTTCCTTGGCTAATGTAACATTCATTTTCGAGTGTTTGCAGTACATTAAACGAAAGTCTAGACAGCGGCAATCAATGTGATTTGTGAAAAAATGAGGCTGAAATCTAGAATAAGAGGTGTCTTGTCTACCGTGCAATCCATCTGCATTTAACCCTTCCAAACTTGATACAATTTTTTGTTGCGTCTGTTGTGATTCGCTTGAAAGTTTACACTGTTTGGTTATACAACACACTGGATGTTACAACTTCCTGCCCGCTTTGGTCGTGTAATACAACAAACATCGGAGTGCCATGCTTGGCTTTTGTCACACACACAGTGTACATGTACCAATGCGACAGTCTCTGGTTTGATCCTCAGCAAAATAACAGATTGAAATATTAAAGAGCAAAGGGATACCCTAGTGTAGGTGGTAAATAAATCATATATCATTGGATTTGTGCTCTTGAATTTACAAACAAGCTTTAATTACCATGGCAACGTAGCCATGATACATTTACCATAATTATACTGAAAATTTCACCAATTAGATTTGACTATTTCCATGATTTTATCTACCTCTACATTACACATGTATTACTGTGAACCACATAATTGAAAAGAACAGACAGGATTTTTTTCTTTTCTTGTATAAAATGTGATCCAGTCATTAATCTCAAAGCTAATCTACAAATATTTTTAATGTCATATATTACACATTTTGTACATGATGATACCAAAGAGATTGAATGGGTAACTATACAAATTCTGAAAAACACACATTTACACTCAAAAACTTTGGCTGCGAATGCTCTTGATCAACTTAACATACAGTAGTTATAACTGGAATTTTTTTCCTTCTCAACAGAATGCAAAAAAAAGTGAACATTGCTTTGACGAAATTGCAGAAATTTTAGTTGTATAATCTTACACTACCGTGAACATAATTACACTTCATAGGGGATATTTCTACGATAATTCTTCCTCACAGAATTACAGATTAACATAAATTATACTTATGTTGAAGCTGTCGGGACATTACATTGTACAATTTTAAGTTGATCATAGTTTTGACATGAAAACAAAAACACATGACATTAAAATATTTCAATTCAGCACCCATGATATAGGAAATATGTCATTATTTAAATTGTATAGTACATTATCTGGGATACAACGAAAGCCAAGAGATAACCGTTAACCTCGTAAGAGATTTTTAATAGACCATTTTCGAAATGTAATCAAATTTACGGATAAATTTGTATATAGTTCTATGTTACTAATTGTTTCATTTATCTGTTACAAATAATTGTATTTCAATAGTCAGAGAGTGAATTGCACACATTAATTGTTGCTAGGTGAGACAAACATGATAGCTTGTCCTGCCTAACAACACGTAATGTATGCAGCTCACATTCTGACTTTTGAAATACAATTATTTGTGACAGGTGAATGAAATAATTTGTAACGAGGCACTTAACAAAGATTTGTGCATTAAATACAATTACATTACAAAAATGGCCTATTCCGTTCCAATCTTGCATCAAATTAGAAAATCAGTACCTGTTTATCTTTTGGATAGAAAAGACGGACTCTACAATGACACCAAGAGAAAACACAAATGAGAGAATATGTTGGAAGAAGAGAAGGAAAGTATAGAGGGATAAAAGAAGTAGGAGGGAAGAGAAGAGATAAGAAATTACAGGAAAGAGGGATAAATAAAGACGAGGAGAGAGGAGAGATAGAGAGAGAGAGAGACTAAAGCAGTATGACTGCAGAGATAGTCTGAACTATGGATTCAGGAGAAAATGAAGCAAATATTTTTAAGCATAACACAGAGAATGGACTTCGTTTATCAGCAGCGCTTAAAAATGAGAAACGCTCTTAAAAAGTAAAATAAAATATTCTTTTCAACATCAACATGAGTATTCTCTTGATGCAAGATTGGAAAATTTCTGGTTTGGAGATCGGTTCGACACAAAATTAGAAGGCAATTACTACAAATACAAACAAAAATATGATCATATTATTGACATATGCTGGACAAGGATTTCTCACAGAAATCTGTTTCAATTAATTGGATAGCCTTGATTTTTTTCTTCAAAAGGAAAATACTAAGACTAGCCCTCCGGAGGGGCTAGCACATCTACACTCTTAGAAAAATAACAAAACTAAAACAACAACAATGCAATAAGCAAATTGTGCTTATTTATGATTTGATTTTACAAACGTTACACACATCAAATATCACAGCCCAATCACCCGGTTATTTGTCAATCATAGAACAGTACCCAATAATCAATTGCACGTCATCTTTTTTTCTTTTTTTCAAATTTTAATGCATAGCCTCAAATAAACACAAAAACAGCTTACTAGGTGGATAATATTTCCAGTAATATTTATACTCATTGTACAAGCCCATTACCTCTTAATCTAGCATCGATAAGACTAAATCTTTTGAAAAAATGTTAGCGATCTGAAAGAAGTGATCTTATACCTACATGTATCAGTTATACAACAAAAAAAGTCCAGTCATTATAATATTACCATCGCATGGCACTACTTATATCTTTAAGGATATCTCTACATTATTCTCTTGCGTAATTTTTACATTTCTGTAGGAAGCAAATTTCCTACCCTTGAAAACTCTACTTTACCATTCGCTTGGAGCTTATTATCATTGCATTTGGTCAATCCTACATGGTTGAGAAAAGCAGATTTTGAAGGGAAAAAAAATTCCTTCACAAATCTTCAGTGCATTGCAAACAGAAAGAGAACAAGATATGGGATGTGGGGTACGTGCAGCATTAAAACATTGTGGATTGTACATTGCGACGGGCACAACTTCAAGAGAATGTTGAGTTCGGAAGAAGGTGAAAAATAATTCTTAAAGATAAAGTTGAGTTCTGGTCATGCTATTGGATTGCGAAAGGAACAGTGTGGAATCGATCAGGCAAAATTGATCATCTAGCATATAAGTATTGGTGTGTACTGCAAGGTTCTGGTGTCATCAAAATGATAAGAAATTTGGCACAGTCTTGGTAAAGTAACAAGCACTGTACACAGAAAGATATGGGACTACCAGTACACAAACATGTGGCATAAAAATCGGGCCTCATTTTTAAGCTGTTATTTGTCATATTTAGAATATGAAGGCATATGAAGAGCCATGCTTTTCAGGGAACATTTTCTCTCTGATGTTCCTTCACATTTGTATAACAACAATGATAACGCTCTCAAATTATTTTTCACCTCGCCCCAGAACTCAACCTTCTCTTTAAGCTTCCTCATTCTTTATCCCTTAGTTTGGGAAATTATCATTCAAGAATTCTCCTCCTAAAAAAGCTGGTACAGGAAGTATTTTAATCAGAATTAATTTATGGATTGTATTAAAAAAGCTGTACACCTAAAGCCAGACACAATCTGGGATCTCTAGACAGCAGTACAGTAAATCACAAATCAAACAAAAAGGGACTTTTGGAATCATTGCAAAATAGTGAACGATAAGTTTCTGTCAAGTCTCAAACAAAAACGCATTTAACAACATAAGGCAAAAAGACTGCCATGTTTTGGAGTGATGACATCATTGGATTGCTAGAAGGTGTCTCATAAAAAAAACTGTGTGAGTGCGCGCTATCCATGCAAAGTCAACATTTCTTCCAAAATAATGATGCGTGAGCATTATGCATTGTTCAACCTAGCTTCAACATGGCGACGCCCCGCAACTCTCTTGACAAGCGCCATCTATAGCCTTACAATGGTCCATTCTCAGCTGGCCACATATTCTTACATTACCCATAGGAAAAGAATCTTCGACAAGAGAATAGTTTCTACGAGCCATGAGTCAACAAGTCAACTTTTTTTTTTGACATTACCAACACAAAAGGAATTTTAGGCAAGAGAAATAGTTTCTACTCGCCAGGAGTCAATAGTTTGGTCCACTGTAACTCACAAGACTCACTCAAAAAATAGACAAGCCTATAGATTCAAAGCCTGGTGAATGGTAACACATACTTACATATATCTATGATTCGCAAGACCAGCAAGAGCTTGTAAACATTCAATTTTAAAATGTGGATGCATAACATTAGATTTGCGTAATTAAAGTGTTCTCGTCAATGTGTTTTCAAAAAGTTGTATACTATTTGTCCTGAAGAAAAAAAAAGAAGGATGCAAAATTGCAGGATTCTGATTTAGAAAGAAGAGCTTATTAGAGCCCCCCCCCCCCCCTCCACCCAACCCCAAAAAGAGAAAAAATATAATATGTATTTTAATAATTCAAGAGTTTTGAATGTTTGGTTCATCAGTCTATTTCAAAATCTGCAAAATTTCACTTCAGCAAAGAGTACTTTACTACAGACAGACACGACCAATACGCAAAACTTGCAGCAATAGTGATAGGTGGAGCAATTTAAAGAAACCCGAAGGAAATATAAACCACCATACTTCTTTAAAAAGATTTGGCTACCATAGTAAGCGTTACACTGAGCAGATATATAAGGTAAGATATACTCGTCTTTGTATTTACAGAGCCTCGGAAAAAGCGAAAAAATCGAAGGAATCTAATATGTTGCAACGCGAGGTAAGGTTTTCACGTCGAATCCCTGACGGTAGTCATCTACAAAATAAAAAGTTCTCTACAAGGCTGTTCTTACTGATGCTCTTTGGTGGTGTAACTCGAGCACTTTGATGCACAGCCTCTCTCTCCCATTTCTCCTGAGATAACACACATAGAAGCCAACGGGCATCACAATCCTTCAACATGACAACGTATTTCTCCAATGCCACACACAGAGTTGATCGTCGCGGTAACGGAACTTTGTAGATGTACTCGGTGAGTTTCCACACCACGGTGAGTATTCATGATCAAAAGATTTTGATGATGCTGTGAGGTAGCCTTTGTGAAAAGGTACATCAATTTATTTATTCAACGAGGAACCCACTTATAGGGCTCTTTAGATTTGTTCACATATGACTGAGTACACGGACATTTTTGTTTGTTTTGTTTATGAAGCTGGTATAGCACCATTCAAGTTTTGTATCTCATAACAAACGGATTATTGAATTATCTGAGAATCTTTGTTGTGGGTGGCTATCTTTTTTCTTTCATTTTTATTTGCTATTCACTTAGGAGTATAAAAAAAAAAATCCTACCGCAGGTTCCCCTGTCATATGTGAACAAACCTATAGAGGAATTAAGCTATCTATTCATGAAGGCTACCACACCACCGACTTGTACTTGCACTTTTGTCGTTCATAATCTATCGTGCTCCTGCATGTGGAATTACCTCCTTTCATACCATAGCTTGTTCGAACATACATCCAAGCATAACCAAGCATTAAGTAGTCGTTATTTGCACAGACACAAAAAAAAGTATTTTCGGAAAGCGTAGCAAATAGCAACATCCATGATTCAGCATGCACTCCCTCTCAGAAGAATGCGATTGCCGTGCGTTCAGGTTCAGGAAATAAAGAGCTGTACATCATACAAAGTGGAGTTCACAAGACGTTAAAAGCCGTGGCAGTGTTGGCAGCCCTGTGTGTGTTCATCAGGTTGTGTTTAATTAAAAAGCAGCATGGTCCCGCTTGCTTCAATCCAGTTGAGCCGAGAGTGGACCAGCATACTGAGCCGGCCAGTCGTGCGTGACAAAGGTGAGTTAGAGCGCCCTCTCTTGGTCAGGAGGGTTGTTTGGCAAGGTGTCATTGTCGATCATCGCTGCTCTGTTAGAGGAATAATGATAATAATATTGGATATTTATAAAGCGCACATATCCACCATGCATGGTGCTCAAGACACTCCAACTATTACCCCGGCTCTGCTAGGCAACCGATTTCGGCGCTCACAGCATTCAAGGAAACCCTTCCTACAGGTACCCATTTAACACCTGGGTGGAGAGTAGCAAATGTAGATTAATATCTTGCCACAGGACATTAGAGCCTTTGCATGACTTGTGATCCTGTGATCCAAAGTCCAACGACTTATCCACAACACCTCTAGGAAGGAATAACATTTCAAGGAACCTCTTATTTGGACCCGTTCTGCTGCAGGTTTCGGCATGTATGCCATTTGATTGTCCAGACTCTCATCAACTGAATTTTTTTTTACACTAGCTGCATAGACAAGATAAAACAACAACCCACATCATGTGATGTACATATCTTACAAGTCTATGTATTTTAGATTCTTTGTAGCAGGGACAAAATTAATATTTATTTTTCAGGGGCTACTTTTCAAACTTGCCTGCATGAAACTGACACTCTAAAATTTGTTTTGCATTGAACTGTATGCAGATTTACAGGGGCTCTTTTTTATTTTCGGGGGCTGTTTTGGGCATTTCGGGGGCTATTTCGCCCGAGCCCCCGTGTATTTTTTTCACTGCTTTGTAGGCACTATGGTCCTTTAAAAAAAATACTTTTAAAAGAGTAAAGCAAGGAAAAGAGTGTGGTACCTAAATATCCTCCTGAAGAAGCCTTGCTTTCGGGGGATAGCATCAGTTGCAGAACCCCCCCCCCCCTTCCCTTCCCTTTAAGAAGATCTAAGTAACTTTATGTAGAAGTTAAGCTAAGAATATGTTGGTATACAAACCTTAATCCTAAATATCCTCCTGAAGAAGCCTTGCTTTGGGGGTGGTGGCGGTAGATCAGGCATCAAGTCAGCTGTTAGAGTGCCGTTGGGCCCAAACACATTCAGCTCAAGAAATACTTGCGTCTCAATCATCTGTATTTAATGAATAAATGAGGACACACTGACTTAACATTTGCCCTTTAATACTTGCTCATAACAATACCGGTAATATGTCATCAGTTATCAAAACCAAGGGCTACGCATTCATATTACTACCCCAGCTTTAGCTGAGCTACCGTTATAAAACTGCTCAAGCATTCAATGAGTTTTTTTTATTGAGTGTGTGGAAATTTAATTGGATTGATGTCTTGCCAAAGGACATCGGTGCTATGGCAGGACTTGGATTGTGAACCATGCGATCTACAGTCCAGTAACCTACCAAGTAGACTTGATTTCTGTTAACCATTCTTCTCTCGTACTTCAATAGGCATGTCTTTGTCATATACCAAGGAAGTCCAGTCACTTCATATGACTTCATCATCATTATGAACATGGAAAAGCAGTTGTATATTTGTTGCACTGTATATTTGTGGGAAAATTGCCATCACAGATATTTCCTTCTTGTCAAATATCAAGAACTACAACAAAATTCACAATACCTATGTATCTGTGATGTGTATTTGTAAACTCAGTGGCCCATGAATGGTAAAAGCTAATCTTGAGCTCTGGTATGGGAATCGTATTTTGAGAAAGAATTGATATGATTTATTCCTGATTGTTTATCCAGCAGTAGAGTGGTCCCGGTATGAAGCCAGGGGGGTGTTTCACAAAGATCCTAAGTTGAACTTATCTCTAAGTTGGACTTAAAAATTATGGAAAGCCATTAGCATCTTTGAAAATATTTTGTAAAAGTTATGTTGAAAGGCATTAATTGTTTATTCAAATCATTCATATTTTCTATCATCAAGGAAATTTCATGTTCTTGATGTGGAATTTATAAAAAGTCTAAAAATACTTGAATTTCTGCTTTTGAATACATTTCATTTTAAGACTCCAATGGCTGTCCATAATTTTTAAGTCCAACTTAGTGTTAAGTTCTACTTAGGATCTTTGTGAAACACCCCCCTGGAGAATGAGGGAATTCAGCAGTCAATGGGCTTAAGTCAATGAACAAATGGAGTTGCAACCAGGGATGAACATACCTCCATTTGCCATGGAATTGCTACACTCCCCGAGTTGAATTTGGTGTAGAATCTGTCATCGTTTTGGTCCAAGTTTACTCCTTTGACGGTTGAGAACTGTTCTATGTCCAGCACGTCTTTTGCATACACGGCCCTCTTCTGCAAAAGTTCAAATAATAACAATTACAGTCAAACCTGCATTAACGACCACCTGCATAGAAAGACCACCTGTCTACAAAGACCACATATTTTGTTTCCCTTGAAAATGGTTTCTCATTGAAACATGTACTAAAGGAACCTGTACATAAAGACCACCTGCCTATAAAGACCACTTTTCCTGTCTCCCTTGGGTGGTCTTTATAGACAGGTTTCATTGTACAGACCTGGATGATAAAAGCATTCAGATTGAAGAATAAAGACAGCAAGATATTCACTTACAGGTGCACCCAAGGGTTAGACTTAAAAACATTGGGTTTACAAACACAGAATTATCAATGACGTCAATAATTTGCTGCCTTTTACTACACGTAACAAATTGCAAAACTTTTCTTGGTTTTCGATTTACGTATCTCATTGTTGCAACTTTACAGGGTTTATGCCTCAAAAAGAACTTTTGAAATTCTTCTGCTATCAAATTTTTTGATTTTCTGTTGTATATCTATTTTCTTCATGTCTTGTAAATTTCTTTCTTTTTCTAGATTTGTATGAAGATGTATTTTATGTGTTCAGTTCGTTTGCATTTTTCAATAAATTAATTTTTTAATTTAATTTAATAACCACTTTCATAAAAACATACAAAGACAAAGAATACAATAAAATATTTCTTGCAAACATAGATAAACCAATAAAATGGAAAATACACTAAAGGAAAGTACGAAGGGGCTGGATCATCAAAAAAGTTACGGAAACTTATAGGTCGATGATCCTAAATAATAGAATTATGAAATACATAATCTAAAATATGAAATAAATCTGAATGTGAAACTTACATCAGGTTCAAAGGGTGGATCGAGCTTTCCAGCTTCAAGCCGGCTGAAGCTGATGGAGTTGAAGAATGAATGATCCTTGACAGTCTGTGCGGTGCCGTTCTCAAACCCCATTCTTAACGCTGGGTCCTTCTGCAACAACTGTCAAACAGATATAACCGAAGGTCAAAATATGATCATTAATGCTCGATCCTTCTATTACGATTGAGAAGTAGAAATCAATAAGCCGTTATTCAGTTTCAGTTTTATTTTTCATTTCCAACAGAACAGTAATTTTGACAAGAAATCAGATATACAATTCAATATTCAATAATATAATCCATTTTACATGGTTTAAAGTTTTGAAATAGAAAATATAAATAAATATCCAGTATAATGGGTTTTTAAAAAGTTTTTAAAGGTAAACCTGTGGAAATGGAGGGATCCACTGAAAAGCAGAGCTCGTAAAATGTAAAAGTTAAAGAATGGATGATGTGTGACTGTCTGTGCCGAGCTATTCTTGATTGGTGGGCTTTTGATCCATGCCAAGTAAGAGTCAAGCAGTACAATTGCATACCTGCCAACATTTGAAAATAAGAAATCTGTACCCCTAGCAAGGGTTTATCCAATACGGAATACAAATTGGCTGCTCAATCGGTACATGGTAAAACAAGCCTAATTTGGCTGGAAAATAGCACAATGAGCGATTTTATTTTTGTATTTATTTATTTTTAATTTTTTTTTGGGGGGGGGGGGGAGGGGGTCATTCAGAATTTTGAAAATCATAATATTCCGATTAAATCGGAACAGTTGGCAGATATGCAATTGCAATGTCCTCCTCAATTGTACACACTTTGTTTACATCACACACAAACATACACACACAAGGGTGCGGAGAAGCCATTCCCATCAAAACACCTCACCTTTTTACAGATGTCCTGTGCTTCGGTGCTGAACTTCTGGCTGTACTTCTCGTCGTCTTCTTTGACTCTCCGGTCGACCTCTTCCCTCTTGACCTTCTCCTTCCTCGCTCGGAATGGAGCCTGGAACAAACAACATAGTTCATACATTTACCATGACAACCGCATCATCACTTCACCATGATAATTGCATCATCATTTCGCGGTACTGGTAATAGCATTATATTTGAAGCATGTCATTTCTGATGTACAACAATGTACAACATCCCTACTCATATTCACCTTTTCCACAGAAAACATGGCGATGACAATGCTTCATACCAAAGAAAATATGTGGAAACAGATGATGAAAGGCTGGTTCGCATACGATGTGGGATACCAATTTTTTTTTCTTTCTAAATGATAAACGTAATGCTACATTTCTCTATCATATCAAACACAGATAAGTGATTATTAAAGACATTTGTGGAACGCAGCTATCTTTTCTTCTCCAATTGATTAATCAGTTTAATACACATACCAACAACAAAAACAGTGCAGTTTCCGATGTCATGCACTTGTATGAGAACAAGCTTTAATGGTATAAAGAATAAATAGACATGATGCTAAGGAAAAAACAATTGGTACTGCTAGAATCATCTTATTGCATTCATCTTCCTGTGACAGTAGCCTACTTCTGCTGTTGTAGATTCATCAAAAGAAAAAAGAAAGGATGTATGATGAAATGAGAGATGAAATATGGTCTTACCCTTCCTTCTATCATCTCATAGATAAGACATCCCAGACCCCAGTAGTCTGGACTGAATGTATACCTCTCGTTCTTCACCACCTCAGGAGCTAAGGAATTTAAGACAAGAGTGAGAGAATACAATATTGATACATAAAATAGTAATATCTGTTTCTTATGTAGTACCTCACCAGGGATAATGTAACCAACCAAAGTGCTTACAATGAGTGACCGGTTTTACCATACTCATTTTCCCCAATAGACTGTAGTGTTATGAAAACTGTTAGGAAAACGCACAATTTGTTTTGATTTCCAATCATGAATATCTTGATAATCAGACAGGCGATTGGCTTGTAAAAGTCATGGCGTTCCTGACTGACCTAAAGGTTTATAATTATCATTGCAGCATGAGCTAAATCCAGTTACATTACCCTGAATGGAAAAAAATGTGTCAGTTTGACTATTAAAGGCATTATTTAACAATGTCAGGTGTCGGTCTGGTGTCAGTCTGGTGTAGGTCTCATTAATGTGACTGGGGTATAAGTTCATATATGCTTCCACCCTATGTATCAATTTCCGGATACGCCACTGAAATTTTTCATTCCACTACCTTAGTCATACCACTGATTCTTTTTTTTAAATTTTGGGTAATGTAACTGGGTAAATATAATGTAATGGGTTTGTTCGGTCTTTGTCGGTCTGTCGTCAGTCTCATGGATGTGACTGGGGTTTACTTACCCATGTAGCCCACCGTTCCTACTCTGCCCCTGATGGTGTCATTCTCAGGTATCTCCACTGCTAGACCCAGGTCAGAGATACGTACATGACCTGATGAAAATAAGCAAACCAATCGTATCAGTCTCCTTTATTTTCAGGGAAATCAAGAACTTGTGATTATCAATTTATAGTCTCTTTGGAGCTAGGGGGGATTTATATGTAACACGCATCATTTTACACCAAAATAATGCCCTTCTGGCACCGAACACACTATATGATATCTTGAGAAACAAGGCTATGAAGGATGAGAATGGATCTTCACAAAAAATTGTTGATATATTTTGTAATTGAAGAATACTGGGCCCTGTTGCATAAAGCTTACCATTGATGGTAAGTTTGCCATCAATGGTAACTACCATGGTAACAGGGCTCACCATCCAATCAAAATCAAGGTTTCCATGGTAGTTACCATTGATGGCAAAGTTACCATCAATGGTTAGTTTTATGCAGGACAGGAAAGTTCACTAATGTTCATTGTAAAATGTTATACTTTGGTAATTCTACGGATTTACTGTAAAACACCTTTTTTAGGAGTGTCACACATAAAGGTACTCAAAACTGTTGTTACAATCATATCATCATACTCCATAAAAAGCTCACCATACACCATAAAACGTTTTGACAGTTAAACAAAAAATTCAAATAACAGAAAATATGCAAGCCTATTAGATTGAAAGATTAAACGAGAACTCGTTTGAGATTTAATCTCAATTATATAAGTAATAAAAAATTCTCTTCCTCCCAGACGGCGCCCGCTTCGGTTGCATCCGTGGGTAGACCGTAAAAATCCATGAGCCCGGTGGGCGGTATGTCATTCCCATGGTCGAACGGAGGCCGTTGCACATAGTCTTCCCCGCCGGTAGCCCCGGTAAAGCCGCGAGACGAAGACGGGTGTGAGCTGCCGGTGACAGCCGTAGCATTAGCAGCGAGCAAGGCCTCAACCACTCGCGCAAGAAGTGCTTCCATTTTATCAAGTATGTTATTAAAAGTAGAAAATGGAACCGTTGATTCCACTTCCTGATTCTTCTCGCTCATTGCCTTTGGCTCCGAGTCCGACTTTGTTTTACTTTTAGCTTTCCCCGGCCCACTCTTGCTGACTTTGCCAGCCGTGACTTTGCCACTGGAGTTGGGTAATTTTTTCTTTCCGTCGGAGCCCGTGGCTCCTGCGCTACCAGGCGGGGCCTGGGGTGGAAGCGCGGACAGAGGAAACGCAGCAGTGCTGCTATCCATTTGAGACATTACAATTCTATCGTTAAAATATCACTTCAGAAGGGCGTGATTTATAAAAATAAGCGTCTCAAAGTTATCAGTAAATGTCAAGGATGAAACTAATAACGTTTTTTACCTTTGAATTTCGGGGATTGCGTGGATAATAATATCTGATTTATTGAGCCAGAAAGGTGTCCTTTCGCTCAAATAACACGCGACTGACGAATTGCTGATTAGCGCATGCACACTGACGGGGTCTCATTTAACGTAATCCCGAAATTGGTATTACGTAGTATAATACAGAATGATACTGCACGTTTAGAAAGGCAGGATAGAGCAAACAATAGGGAGCTTTCATAGAGTTATGGTGGAGCTTTCACAGAGATATGGTGTAGCACACAGGATGAAGAGTTAATCAATTACAACAGTTATCCAACACAAGCTCCTGTTCTTCGCCCCATTGCATAAAAATTACCATTGACGGTAACTTTACCATGGTAACTTCCATGGAAATCTTAATTTGATTGACTGTTGAGTGATGTTACCATGGAAGTTACCAGTAAAAGCGATGTTGCCATCAATGGTAAGATTTAAGCAACGGAGCTCTAGTTTGTAAACTTATCGATAAGTGAAAGAGGAATTGAATCAGGTTCCATTTTTAAAACGTGACTCACCATGATCATCTAGGAGGATATTCTCTGGCTTCATATCCCGGTAGACGATCCTCAATCGGTGAAGGTCCTCCAAACCACAGAGGATCTCTGCTGCGTAGAACCTAGCCCTCTCCTCCTCAAACCCTGGACTACCCATGTTATGTATGTGGAACTTGAGGTCACCACCATTCATGATGGTCAGGACCAGACACAGTGCTTCTTTCATCTCAAAGGCATAGGCAAGACTAACCTGAAGGTGATTTAAAACAAAATGAATAAACAAGGTTACTGAAGTTGAAAGGGGAAAGTAAGAATCTTGAGAGAATCTAGCCCACTTTCTCTTCAAACCCTGGACTTCCAATGTTATGTACGTTATGGTATTAAGACCAGACACAGTGCTTCTTTCATCTCAAAGGCATAGGCAATACTTACCTGAATATGATTTTTTTTTTTAATGAATAAAGAAGGTTAATGAGGTCGAAAGTAAGGATCTTGAGAGAATCTAGCCCTCTCGTCCTCACACCTTAGACTTCCATACGTGGAACTTGAGATCGGCTCCGTTCATGATGGTCAAGACCAGACACAGTGCTTCTTTCATCTCAAAGGCATAGGCAAGACTAACCTTAACATAACATCTCTGGAAAACAAGGAAGCAAGAATCTGTGCACTTGGATTGAACTTGGTGGAATATCGGAAGCCATGGTGATCATACATGTATGTAACATCAGCATCGATCAAACATTCCCCAGTTTAATAATGGAGATGGTTTGTGTCATCACTTGGATATCTGACTAGCAACCACAGAACCTCAGAGTAATCAGGCTTCTTCAGTCATAAGAAATAAAAGCAACACTAACTGTTCATTCTTTATATATGACCCAGTAAACACGCAGCTTTTTATTTTATAAGGACATATTAAAAGCTTAAAGCCTATCTGCACTAGATTGGCCAGGAGGGATTAGACCTCCCTGCATGGTCACTGACAGGTGGTTATGTCATCAAATCAGCTCTCAATTAACATAAGAGGGGATCATGGGGGACCAACGGTCACTGATTAGGCATTGACTGCTATTTAGAGGGCGCAAGTAGCTATAAATAGTGCAGTGGGGCTTTCATATGCTTCATATTTAAACATCTTTTAACATACAAAAAGTGAGTACCATCCCTTCACCCGCCCATCTCCCTCTCTCTCTTTCTCTCTCTCTCTCTCTCTCTCTCTCTCTCTGCACCAGGAAAAGAAAATATTAAAAATTAGGCTACAAATATACCATCGACCAAAATTATCACTAATTCAGGATTTTTGTTTTCCTTTTACATGGACTAAAAATACCATGAGTTAAAAAAAAAAAATCTATTAAATAAATACTTCAAATTTTGTGTACTTTATAATCATATCTAAATTACTCTCACTACACACAACAGTATATGAAAAATAAAGAATAAATTAATGCAAAAAATTATGATTCTCAATTCTCTCTTCAAAAGCAATTATCATACTCAATTCACATGTAGTATTTTCTACTATTAAAATACTCCTGGACCATTAATACGACTTCCGCTTTAATCACTCTTCTATTCAATCCGCATTCCATTAAAAAATTTCATCTAACCACCGAGTGTGTGATATATGACAGTTGGACAAGCACATTACATGGAGATGTAAGTAATTATTTATTCATACAGAAATGATGCGATGTGTGAGATTCCGTGAGTCATCCATCAAACTTCACATAATGTCAATTCAGATAGGTACTCGAAAGCCAGCCCCGCTCACATACGATGCAGTCATTGCAGTGAAAACGCAGTATTTTTTTCTTCTTCATAGTGTGACATGTGTGCCATGTTTGTACATTTTTCTTGTTTATGTGCTAAGTATCTAAAAAAGCGTTTTATAAACGTAATATTCATCACATTCATAAGCAAGATGTAAACATTGCCGGAAAGAGAGAGAGAGAGAGAGATTATTATTCTTATTATGTGAATAACATTTCTGCATCTTGTGACACACTTGTACGTGTACGACCTTTGTGACTTTTACTCATTCCTACTTGAATTCACTTGTAATTTAAAATTTAGAAAAAAGCTGCAGTATAAAACCACAATTTCTCAAATCATATGTGAACAAGCGTTAAAAATTACAATCCTTTGAGGCATTCATAAGCAAGATGTGAAAATTGCCAGAGAGAGGGGGAAAGAGAGAGAGAGGAGCCTTGAGAGAAGAGTCACAATCCTTTAAATGCAATCAAAAGCAAGATATACATAATTTACCACAGAGATAGAGTGAGAGAAAGAGAAAGGGGGTACAGATAGAGGGAGAGAGAGAGAGAGGGAGGGGGGGAGAGAGAAAGATAAATGGGGAGGGAAGGAGGGTAAAAGGAGAAAGAGAGAGAGAGAGGGAGAGGGAAGGGGAATAGGAGGGAGGGAGATAGAAAGAGAGAGAGAGAGAGGGGGAAGGAGGAAGAGAGAGGGGGAAGGAGGAAGGGAGAGAGAGAGGGAGGATGGAAAGAGGATATGAGGGATGGAGAAATAGAGAGAAGGGGAGGGAATGACCGAGGGAGGGAGGAGAGAGAGAGATAGGGAAGGGAGAGAGAAAAAGAGAGGAGAAAAGGAGGATCGGAGGGAAGGAGAGAGAAGGACAGGGGGAAGAGAAGAAAGCTCATATAAATAATTCCAGAAGTGGAAATCTCTATACAACATAGCAACTAAAACCCCAGTGTAGATGATTCACTCAATTGGAAAATATGTTAATGAGACAACCCACATGCAAAGCTTTTAGGAGACGCAACCGGAACAGCTCAGAGACACCCCAGAGTCTAAAGCGTAACGTGACATCGGCATCAAGCCGGCCACGGTGGCATTTGGACGTGCGATTGCCTGGCACATGATGACGGTAATCACACGCTCAATGGATTCATAACGAGCCCAGCCGATGAATGAAAGACATATGATACAGTGCTGCTAGCCTCCTCTCAACGCTTGGCAGGATTTACAGAATTTAATTGCCCCATCATGATCATCGCTATACAAAGAGCCCCATATAACACATACTATAAGAATATGCAGCAAATAGAAAATGAATTTTTTCTTGGTATCGATAGATAAAAACTAGCGCTCTCGTTCTGTTCATTTAAAATGGGTCAATTTGCTAAAAGCAAATTTGACAAGTGATGTATTTCCAGCTTATATTTTTTTGACATCCCCTTGGGCTATGCAGTGCATAATATCTAGTTACTCTGAATTAAATGACTATTACATCTGATCACTCTGAAAAAATAATTAAAATTTTTGTATTAACAAAAATGTTGCTTGTACATGTATGTATAACTCCAATCCATGTTTTGTTTTTTTCTTCATGAAATTATCAAAGAAAATTATGCCTGAACAATCTAATATAAGTGACAGATAAGTTGCAATGCTGATCTAAGCTAGACTTCAAGATATTTGGAAGCAAAAAATATTTGCAAAAAGGACACAAACCCTTTAAAGAATACCACTTTATTCATGTTCATTTTTCAGGATAGACTAATGTGGTAGGAAGTGACCCTTCACCTCAGAGGACACCCACTTTACTTCCCTTTCACTCCCACACACACCTTGCTAGAGAAATCAATCTTCTTGTGAGATCTCTATCAGTTTCCTCTGTAGAACACAGTTTTCCCAGTAAAACACAAATTTTGGTACTAATCACATTTTTTCCTTTTTTCATCACTAAAATTTAAATGTCTGTATTTTCTATTCTTTGTTTTTGGGGCCAAAGCAAGAGCCAGTGTGAAAATAATGCAGAAAATGACCCAATATTAAACACGTACCTATTGGGGAATCGACACCAAATATAAATGGCACAAACACACAGCCATGCATAGGGGCAAAAATGGAATACCACTCAAAGAAAGCTCCTGAAAAAGACTTGATATTTGGGATTATGTCTTTTCTATAAAACAAAACAAAGACACACACACAACAAAACTAGGTCAACTGATGGCACACCAAAATAAAGAGAATAGGATAATGTTTCCTCAAGACGTGAGGAATTTGGTTCATCGTGCTATTAGAGAGAGATGAGTGGAAAGATCTTTGCCTCTAACTCTCTATACTACCAGCAGAATCAAACAAGAAATGTCGATTGATTGCACTACCTCGGGAAAGAACTATAACCCTCTTCACACTGTAGGAAATTTATACGTAACGTTACGTCGCACGAAGAAACGTCTTATGAAGAAACGTTGTATGAAGAAACATTGTATGAAGAAACGTTGTATGAAGAAACATTGAATTAAGAAACATTGTATAACAAAAGGAGCGTACAAATATTAAAAACATGATTGTAAAAGGAAACGTTGTATGAAGAAATAACTTTGATGCAGTCAGTAGACAGGACAGCTGCAAAGTCATCAGTGCGCGTTCGTGTTAAGCCCCGCCCAATTATACGATTTACGTTCAATAAAACGTTAAGACTAGAGCAAGACCCTGATTCTTTATCGGGTTTTTGTTCGAAAGGGTGCCCAATAATAATACTACTAATAATCTGGATTTATATAGCGGTCAATACGGAATACCGTCTCACAGCCCTTTACAGATATTATTACCCCAGTCATTGGATTCATTCACGCACAATGTGCACATGTCCACTCCCTGGGGAGCATTTCTACCATATGGTCACCATGAGGGCATATGGCAATTACTAACACAAATGCTTTCGTCATCCGCCTAGGTCCCCATTTCTTTCCTGGGTATGGAGTGGCAAATGCAGATTATTTATAATATGCCTTGCCAAAGGACATTAGTGCCATGTATCGGGGACCCTTGAATTCAAGTCAAGTGCTTAAAGCACTTGGCTACAGCACCTCTAGCATGTGTGAGCTATAAAATGTTTTGTTATACAACATTTTTTTAAATAATGTTCAGACAAGGAAAAATTATTGTACAGCTATACGATGAATGCTTGTAGTCTGAAAGCAGGGTTTCTCTCTCTTCAATTACATATTTACAACGGATGATTGTGGTCAACATAATACTAATATTAAGAAGACGATTTCCGGCCCAATTTGCTGATTGCATCATTGCAATCAGTGTGATAGGACAAGCTTGCCTCTCAGCCATCTCTGCTATCATATTTTTTTCTTCTTCATTTTGACCTATTATTTTGCCAGAAACCAGACAATGGCGATCACTAACAAGAAGAACTTCTTGCAAGTCTGAATTATAATGCATGTGAAATATTATCATTATTATTATCTTACCTCCAAATCTATTTAGTCGGTAACTTGTAATGCAACAATCAATATAACATGACAAAACAAAGAGGCACAGGCAATTTAAAAAATCTAATCAATGAATTTTTAGGAAAATAAATCTGAGAGCATGTTTCTCTTTATATCTGATATTGTAATGTGTGGGTTTTTCTTGTTGTTCTTATTGTTTAATTACAAAGAATACTTACTACAAATCTACTGTTGACTCTCTGGAGCAGTATTTTCTCGTTCAACGCCATCGTCTCTCCTTTCCTTTTCTTTATCCTCTTCTTCTCCAGTTTTTTGCAGGCATACATCTTGCCTGTTGATCTAACCTGGCATGCACAAACCTGATCCAAAGAAAAGCAGTAATGAAAGCAAATATTAATCCTTTCCTTCTTCCTTATTTATATTGATTTTTAAAAGGTTAAAGCTATGATTTTCACATGTTCAATGTTTTTTGCCCATCCTGTTCAATACTGATTACATACTCATAGAGTATTTCCTAATGTTTTTGTATCATTGTATTTTCCATAAAGTAGCAAGAAACATACAAGAGGGCATGGAAAATAAATAAACTGAAATATAATACAAATATTTAAAATAACTATCTATGAAACTGATAGAAGCAATTTGTTGTTTTCTTTAGATGTTGTACAGGTATGTATACAAAATCATAACAGTAGATAATATGTCTAAAGTACCCAAGGCATGGTTTATCCCACCAATTTGCATCTCATTAACTGCACGTTTGTTAGAAAAAACAAGACTACCAGCAGCGTTTTCCTAAGAAGGGGTGTTTCCTCAAGAAGTCTGCTTTATTTCACAAATTAAAGAATTTGAAGATTTTACATTGACGGGTGAATGGACTTATCAAAATGTAATTATTCCAAGTGATTTGTATGAGGCAGTAGTCTTTAATAGTACCTGTTATAACTTTTAAAAGAGATCCTCTCTTTCAGACATTGAAATAGAACAGAACAAACTTCCTGCTTTAAAGGAACAGATTAGCGTTCAAATAAAGGCAAATTTAATGCACAGACGTATGAACTAATTTTAGAATAGTAATAATCAAAATAAAATAGTATTTATCAATGATAAAATAGTAATAATTAAAAAGTAATAAAATAGTTATTTGATATGCATGTAGTTGTTGATTTTATTTAGACACAGCAAAAACACACAATTTCAGCCCAAAAGGCCGTTTTTCAGAATGTCTGTATGAGAATGGAGAAGAGAGAGGAGAATAACTAATGACCACCAATCAGGCTGAAAACTTACCTCACCAAAGCCACCTTTGCCTAACACTCTGTATTGCCTGAATGTATTTTTTGTTACTGGTTGCCTGTAGATAAGGAATAGAGTAAGAAGGGAAAACAGAGGGTGAAGAGAAAAAAAAAGTAGAGAAAATAGATAAAAGAAAGGCAGAAGAAAGAAGCGAAAGAGAAGTGAGAAGAGAGAAGAAAGGAGAGAGAGAAGGAAGAAGTGAGAAGAGAGGAGAAAGAGAGAAGAGAGAAAGAGAATTGAGATAAGAGAGAAGAAAGGGGAAAAAAAGACAGAAGAGAGAAGAGAGAACAGGGGGAAGTGAGAAGGGAAAAGGGAAAAGAGAGAATAGAAAAAAGAGAAGGGAGAATGGAAAAGAGAGAGAGGAGAGATGAGAATAAATAAAAGAAGAGATATTTATTTCACGATAGAAGATGCTTTTTTATAATATATTTGAAAGACATCCTAAATGGTAAGAATATGCTTGAGAGGAAACACATTAAAATGCTACAAGAGTGTGCCTGTCACAACCAGGAAATTTCCAAGTCGTTTTAATGTCATATCCATTTTATGGCCAAAAGTCCACAGCCTTAAAAATACATGCTGTAATAAAGCACTTCTTCGGGCATTAACACATGGCCCGGTGATCGCCAGTATACAAAAGTGCAGGGAGTACCTAAATCCACGTTTCATGTACACATAATAAACATGATTGAACGCTCTACATGCACCGCGTTCAATATCGGAATTGAGTAAAAAAAAAAAAAAATTAAAAAAAATACATATGGATTTCTGTGCAGTGTTCATTGCTCTTCTACAAGAAAACACTCCAATATACCGTCAATAATCATAAAGAGACAAAGCCTGAGAGCAAACTAAAACAACTGGCCACACATAATTTACAAGTCGTCTAAGTGCAAATGCCAACTGCGTAATGGCAGTTGACACTAGAGGGCTTCATCAGACTCCACACCACGGGTCATTAGTTTGATATTCCCCCGGAACAAGCCAGCCGAGCGTCACCATTCTCTATCTCTGATGGCATCGCATCATCTGTACGAAGCGTGCTCACTGCAGCTGCGTATCTACTGAGCGAACCATTCATCTATAGGCATGCAAATGGAATACGTCGAGGAGCTACTAAAGTGGTTTTTCAATTAACTTGGTACGATTAGGACTGCCTTGCAAAATGTATTCAAAATGGCATAGAAGCTATTGTGAAGTCATAAAAGAAATCGTGTCATGAGCCGAAAGAATCAGAATTTCAAATTAGATTTTACCACGATCAACTTGATAGGAGGCTTCATGTATATGACAGTGTAGTAATTCATCATAACTAAAGGTCGGGTGACACCCAAATATAAGTTGATTCCTGTTGATGTGCAGGGCTGCATACAACTCCTATTTTGTTATTCAAACGTCTAAATTAATTTCATAGATTTTTAATTTTTGTGATTTTCTCAGACCAGCTAAGCTCCACATAAGTCTATCCTCCAGAAGACCTTTTCCGGATGATTTTCCAAGAAGAAAGATTCATGCAAGCATGGCTAAAATACTACAGCCTACTGCTACCTAGAGTTTGTTGCTTCAAGTTAAAGAGAATGTTAAGTTCTGGGAAAGGTGAAAAATAATTTGTGCACTTTTTAAATTATTCAAATCTTAGTTTGGAAGAGTATCATAATAAAAAATGTTCCCTGAAAAGGATGGCTCTTGAAATGCCAGAAGTCATGTTTGAAATATGACACGTAAAAGCTACAGGTTGTGGACCACAAGTTCATGCCACATGTTTGTGTAGTCCCATATACACATTTCTGTGTACTTTGCATGTGACTTTCAGCAAGATTGGGCCAATTTCTGACCATTTTTGATGATACCACAACCTATCGAACAGTATACACCCTAGCGCTACATGACCAACCTTTTCCAATTGTTTTCCTCACAGTTTCTAACACAACGCAATCGCATGACCAGAACTACTACTTCTATAATTAACCCATCTTAAAGTGCCGCAAGCCAGGCCAAGAAAAGATGAGACACTGGTGACGAGTGTGGTCCGTGAAGATGATCACTGAGATAAGAATGCTCTTGTGAAAACTACCCCAGGCAACACTTGACATATTGAATCTTCTGTTTGGAGCCAGAAGGGCGCTAACTTGTATTGTTTTAATCAGAGTTATTGCCTTAATGGCTCCAAAACAGACCTTACAATAAAAAGTACAAATATATATATTTTAAAGTTGATCTTCTTCATTGTCTATTCTGAAACAATTGTAGTTTGTAGGCGCAAATCCATGTCAGTCGTAAGGGGTAAAATGTCTGTGCCCACAAACTATTTAATTGTACTATTAGCATCAGGGGAAAAGGCTACTTTTCAAGCTACTCTGCAACCTGAGCCAGCAACATGCAGCAACCCTCTTCCAAGAATATAATGTGATATCATGATCAAAATCAGTGATTGCGTAATCCATACTCGAATTGGCGTAATCTTAAATGGATAGACATGTCACTTTCAATGCAACATCAACCAATCATGGATTAAAAGATATTTTACTCATCTTATTGCCAATTTGAGATTTGCATACTGTAGACTTGGTGAACTCATATTTCAAACATTACTAACTTCATTGGTCTGATTAATTCATACTATCGCCATTCTGCTTATCATATTTTTCTTTTTTCATACAAATGAACTTATTTCAAGGGTTTGTTTGCCCTTTAAGATGCAGCATCACATCAACAAAAACCTTTCTTTCATAGACCTATTTACCTATCAAACAAGGTTCACCAGCAATTTCCTTCAGATGCAATTGTTCACTTTTTTATTCTCCAATATCAATGCTACATAGTTCTGCTCTCCAATAAAGTGTTGCTAATTGCTATCAATGTTTTGATCATCTATGTTCTCCTGTTAACTTCAACGACATTCAAGAAGGTTTTTCTTCATGTCAAGTCTTTCTTTTTGCATTTTAAAGCCCCACTGCACAATTTATAGCTACTTGCGCCCTCTATATAGCAAACAATGCCTAAGCGGTACCTGTTGGTCCCCCAGGATCCCCTTTTTCTTATGTTAATTGAAAGCTGATTTGATGAGATAACCACCTGTCAGTGACCATGCAGGAAGGTCTAATTCCTTCCGGCCAAACTAGTGCAGATAGGCTTTAAAGGTTCCTAAATCTTGATTTCTAGTAACAGTTGGAAAAAGATTCCAATAGAAATATATGATTCTATCTTCATTTCCTTGAGGATAATTACCGAAGATGTGTTTGCACACAGCTTAAATTTCAAGTGTGAACAGATCTTTTTTTTCTTCTCAACTTCGAGGACATATGAATTTCAATCTAGCATTCTTTGTATTACTGTTCTGATGGAAAGCCACTGTGCGTTTTAAAAGCTCACATTTGAAGTGTGAACAGGTGATCAGTTGCCCACTTTTCCTATCATTCCCTAGACAATAATCACGGTAAATCTACAGAGGCCAATTTGCAATTACAAACAGACTCCACTCATCATCACCACAATCTCACAACATTTTTCTATTCTAGTTCGACTCAAGAGCTACAGAAATAGGTCTATGCCGACACCTTGTTCGTGTAGTGCGAGATCATCATTCCACAATTAAACTGAAAACAAGATTCTTTAGAAATGTGAGCAAATATGCTCTACCAATTCCTGTGACATTTGAGCGAAAGGATCAAACATAAATAACAGTTTCTACGCATGTTTTGTCAAATTCTGGAGAAAATATCAACCCTCCTCTGTCCATGGCTTCCGAGGATAGCAAATAGTCGGTGAGCAGAGCAAATCAAATCTGCGTATTTACATTGTCTCTTCCAAATCAGGGGGACACGGTCTCCTCAAATTGATGGAGGCCTGCCCAGAGTGTATGCCATCTTCCATTTGGAACAACTTTCATATTGATAAAGGACACAATAGAGGAGGGAGGGTCATTCTAATATACAGAGAAGGGTTATGTACACTGAACATGTGAGTTGCACTTTTGAAATCTGTACAACCCTCACAAATATATAACACATACATGATAGGTAGGTCATTGATAGGCAACCAGAGCCATGCCTTATAAAAAGTTGTGATTAATCGTAACTTTTCTGCAGTTGATATCAATCGCAACTATGAGCATGAGAGAAGGGGAATGCAAACTTGAGACTGATTAGAAGACTCCCTATCGATTTGGATCACTCGCAACTCTTTTTAACAAGGGGCCCAGTTCATACATGTGCTTGATGACTCAATCAATTTACAATCTTTACTATTTTTTCATTGAAATAGTTGATGAGTTTGATCCTGGGAAATAATAAGGCATATTTCCTTGAAAAACATGAAAATCTTGAAGCATAGTATCCTGTACTCTTGTATGTGTTCCCTCTATACTACATTTATATACATGTACATGTACTTTGAAGCCTATCTGCATTTGTTTAGCCAGAGGGATTAGACCTCCCTGCATGGTCGCTGACAGGTGGTTATCCATCAAATCAGCTCTCAATTAACATAAGAAAAAAGGGACCAAGGGGGACCAATGGTCACCGATTAGGCATTGTTTGCTTTATAGAGGGCGCAAGTAGCTATAAGTAGTGCAGTGGGGCTTAAAACAAAATGGTTAGGAAAATGAATAAATATAAATCACCTCTATTTGAGGAAAAAAACATTGAAGCCTAGGAATGTCTCACTATATATATATATATATATATATATATATACATATATATATATATATATATATATATATATATATATATATGAATCAATGTAGAAATAGAGCTTTGATTGAAATCACAATCTGATTCAATGGTTACCCTTGTATACTTGTTATCTAAAGAAGATGTGGAAACCTTGCAAAATAAAAGGTTGTAGAATATTCGCCTTGTCAAGTTTGTTTCCAGCCTAATTTGGGTTATTTTTAGAATTAAGACTAATTTGTGGACTTACAAACCAGGTGTGGGTGTGTGTTTGTGCGTGTTGTGAGCGAACGAGCGTGGGTATGCATCAATTTAGAATTTACCTCCACAAGTCTGTTCTCAGCCCAATTCTTGTAAGTTTTAGAATATAGACTCATTCCGAGGCCTACAAACCAATATTTAAATTCACAAACCCACATGTGGGTGCATGTGTGTGGTTACAGTATATGGATGTGTATGTGGGTGGGTGTGTTTGGGTGCGTGCATGCTTTACTACAGCACTTAAAATCAATGTGCATCATCGGTGCATAACATGATTGTGTTAATTAGGGTAAAGTACGTCCCTCGTTAGAATGAATGTAATGCACACGGCTTCATGCACGTTATAAAATATGACAGCGTAAATGCCAAATTCAACCACTGAGCTGAGCTCCCCACTCCATCATCATACATGTACAGCAACATTGAATGGTACCGAGAATAGTGAATGAAGTATCAGCCATCCATACTGGTAATCAAATTATTTGACAGGAAGCAGCTCATGGTCGTGATGTTAAACAATGGAAGAACGGAACGCTGCTTTCTGAATATTTCACAACTATACAATCACCCCCTGTTTTATGTACCTATAGGGGTTTTTAACAATCATATACTTGAGCGAGAACAAAAAAGAGCTCAAATCCATCAAAACAGTTATGAAATTATCAAGAAGAAACCTCCATATTTTGAGAAACCAAGGAGACAATGGCTTTCATCTTCATGTCTTCCGATGAAGTACATCTATCTGTTATTGTTCATTTTATGCTATAATAAATGGTTGGTAATGCTACGAATAGGAATGATTGTGTAGAATGAGGTTTTCGAATCATCAAAATTCCTTTTTAAGAACTAACGAACATCACGATTATTCAATACAAATAATCGTTGAATAGGATCATCGGTTAACATCTGAATTGGTTCAAAGTTGTGAACTATTTTATTTTAAATACCACAACATAATATATAAGCAATCCATTTTATATGAAACAAACTGATGTTATATATATTCTTCCATGTGACGATAAAACAAATGGAAAAGCCAACAATTTGGGGTTTTCTTTACTTTTACCAGAAATACAAGATTTGTTAAAATGTGATGTAATGTTGGATCTTACCTTTCTAACCATTTCCACTGTAAGAACCTGGAGAAATACATGCTATCTAGATACTCTTTGAAAGGTTCTCCTTTTAGGTATTCTCTTACAACTCTGCAAAGAAAAAAAGAAAAGAATCAAATTAAAACACAATAAATATATAATCTCAAAGAAACAGGTACTGGTATTACAATGTCATATTTACAAATATATAAGAATGATAATGGCTGTGCTATTTTAACAATGTTTGACAGCACTCTGATGTTTTTGAAGGTATCTACACTCCTAAAAATAGTTATGCAATGCTAGTTGGAGTGTTGATATCTCTCTTGGGACTAAATGTTCATTATCATATTTGACAATGGTATCACAAAGCGTAGAAATATTTATTGCACTCATAATATAACCCCCCCCCCCCCTCTATGGATGGCAGAGGTAAATTGTTCTAGATAACAAGATAGATGGGATTGTACAATGAAAGAAGGTCTTTATATCTGAATGGAATCAGTATGGAAATGTTTTGGAAGCATGTTATTGATGAAATATCTAGTTGTTTTAGATCTGTACATTTCAATCTCATTTCGATTGGCTCACTTCATACATAACAAGACACTTTTGACCTCAAAACCATATTACACTAAGCTTTCAAGTACACTGAGGATTTGCTGGGCAGAAGATGGACGATTCGTTCTTTAGGTACTGAAGTCATATCAAAATTTGACCCATAAAACCCATAAAAAATAGAAACGCAATTTCAATTTATTTACAGATAAAGTAATGCATACAACTATACCATCGTTTAGTCGTGCACACATATATTTCAACTGACGTCATGGACATGTCTATTAGTAAGTTAAGCTGAAAACCTATTTTTCTTACCTTTACAAAAAAATATTTTTAAAACAATTTTTTTCTTCTTTTCTTTTAATTAACCCAAAGATTTATGGGAAAGGAGAAAAAACAAACAAAATGAAGGGGAAATATTTTGTAGAGTACTATTAGGATATCTGCACAATTTCTCTCATGTCACACATCTCCTTGTATTTAACAAAACAACACAAAATAATTTGGAAAATAGAGGAAAATTCCTCTTACCATACTTCGTTTACAGGACAATCAGCTTGCTTATAACTGTCACAGAGTTGGAATAGAATTGGGCTGTTTCCATTACTGGAGACGACAATAAAAATTGCTTGGATAGTATCACTGACGGGATCCTCTTGGGGATAAATTACTATATAATACTCATTAATTTGGCCCTCCTAATGAAATGGGTTTCTGATGAGAAATTATCTACACTTTATCAAGCGTTTTATGAGCACACCATCTTGAATGATTGATATTAACACACCCGGCACATGCATCATATGAGTTATTGCAAGTTATACCGCAAAGGCATCCTTGAAATGTTATACTAGTTTTCCACTTCGCTACATTACTGCCAAAATGTAATAAAAATGTGCAATTCCATGTTGCCAATTTCACAGTAATGGCATTAAATAGTGGAGAATAGTTCAGCATAGGGGAATAAGCAGGGAGATGGGAGGGATCCCTGTAATAAGAAAGGGAAGTTCCCTCTTTTTCCACCAATGATTTATAGATCCACTAAACACACCTTTCCTACGGTTGCTCATACAGGCGTATGGCGACAATAGCGGACAAATTAATGCATTTTTCTGAGCCTTTCATCGGCCCTAAAACATCACCTGCTTGCTCTAAATGTTTGCATCACTAGCTTATGATAATATTTCAGGTACTCCTAGAAATCGTAACCCCTACAAAAGGACACTTTAATGTCATAATTCAGAATTCTGAAAATTCAAGCGGGAGCACCGCCCAAAATCAAGAGAATTCCACAATCCTCGTCCATCAGGAAAGGACTGTCAAAATTGGTTATAAATGGATAAACTGCCTGTTTTAACATTTTTTTACATAAATCGGAATGTAACGGGCTTTTTATTGTGCGCCTGTTAAGTAGCACTGTTTAATAGGTGTTTTGTTTTCATCCCAGCACAGTAGAGCATTTGTATATAGTGACTGCACTATATACATTGATCCAATCAGTAATTATTTGGATAAAAATTCTTCTTGATATGACAACACAATCAATTCTTCATAGGAATTTTCTGCAATTTTTTTATTATTAATTTTTTAACTACAAAGAGGGAGAGAGAGAGAGAAAAAAAAAGGGGGTTATTGTTTTATAAAAGTATTTAAAGGGAAATATGTTCCCCGTTCCAAATACTATTCATAAATCACAAGTGAAATTTGTTTACTTTTTTGCAAGGTAAGAAATCTCCTATTTACAACACAATCGCAAAGACTTAAAAAAATTAACACCTCAGGCTACGTTTAAATAGCCCTGTTCGTCTCCTTTGAAAATGTGTGAATACTGCAATGATCTTTTTATAGAATCTGAACATGATTGCTATGGACTGTAGGATATTGAAAACACCCTGGGGCCCCGTTTTACAGATTTGATGCAGTCAAACCTTGCTTCAGTGACCACCTGTATAGAAAGACCACCAGGTCCCTATTTCTTCCTGGGTATGGAGTGGCAAATGTATATCAATGCCTTGCTGAGAAAAAATTTGGTAGATACTTACGTTCTACATTCAGAAAAAAGCTCTGTTCCTGGTGAGTCTAGTAATGCATTCTGACAAGCTGTCACTTTGTCCTCTTCAATCATCTCCAATCTCTGTAGACTCTGAGGAGAACAAACAAACAAAAAACATGGAAAATCTGTATTAAAGTTAATAATAATCATAAGAATAACAACAACATAGTGCACAATCTCCACTCTACTTTAATACTTGAAGGGGCATTCTAGCCTGCCTAGTGGCCATTTTGATTTTACAGGCACATATATGTTAAAACCAATCAATGATAAGAATAATAACAACAACAACAACATAGAGCACATTCTCCACTCTACTTATTTGGAGGAGCATTCTAGCCTGCCTAGTAGCTATTTTGATTTTACAGGCACACACGTATGTTTAAAACCAATCATAAAGACATTTGCATCCTATCAGGAACCCATCTAACACCTGGGTGGAGAGAAGCAATGTAGATGGAATGCCATGCTTAAATATATATGTTACATGTATCTATCGTGTTGGGGCTCAAACCCATGACCTTTCAATCAGTGTCAAGTAACTCAACCACTCGACTATGACATCTCTACACTTAGATACATCAAAGGAAAGGATGGATGTCAACTATAGCAATGAAAATATGATTATGAAACTACTAACTCAATAATGACCTTCAACAAAAGATACGGGTAGTAGTTTTCTGGTTTAGCAATATGAGTACACATGTTTGCTAACACGATTTGTGCAATGGAAAAAAAAATCTAGATTTACACATTCAAAATACATTCTGGTCTGTCATGTATGTCAAAGGTCAAATAGCTTAGACTTGCCGGAATAGGAAGAAATTAGTTTTGAAGTGGTGAGTTCACACGACAGGTGGCCAGTCAGAGCAAGGCTCACGATAGATAGGAACGGCCCATACATGTACCAGTAAGTCTAAACATGGTTTGAAACGATGCTAGCAAACATATGTTTCACTATTCAACGTTTCATTTAATAGAAATTAGTTTTGAAGTGGTGAGTCCACACAACATATGGCAAGGCTCATGATAGAGAGGCCTGCCCATTAATAAAGTCTAAACATGATTTGAAACAATTCTCAAACATGCGTTTCACTATTCAACATTTCATTACACGCCATATTTTGATAGTCTGAACAGTGGTAGAAGGATGGACAGCAGCTGACAGCCAAGTGATATATCCATCCCATTCATCTCCCTCTAAATTCCTAATCCATGCAATTCAAATCCATGAGTTCACTCTTGAAAGGGCATGTCATACATTTATATTATTTCGAGGGGCGTGCAGGTTCATGAAATATTTATTCAATTCTGCGTAAAAAGAGGACATTTATCTTCGTGATGGACATCGTTCAAAGAGGTTGCGATGATAGCTCTTGATACTGAGAGCAAATCTTAGCTGTCATGTATGATCTAAAATGCACCCTTTGCTGGGATGATAATATGAAAAGTCCTTTGGAAGTGCACAGAGATCATATGTCCTAATGTGGCGTACTTTTATTATCATTATCATTGTTTGAAAACAAATATACATAGGACTCTATATCAATACTTCAAATGAGCATATATATATATTTTTTTTTTTAATCGCAATTGAGTATTTAAAAAAAAATCTTTCCTTTTTTCCCCCATTTGTCAGCATTCTTTTTTTTCTAAATAGGAAGTTAAAAGAATTAATTTCCTTTCTCAACCATTCAATTTTAAAAAAAGAGTTTTTATTTGGTAACGAATATGATAATACTATCAAAATCAAGTACAATAGAAAAACAAGGTAAGATTTCTCATAAAAAAAAAAAAAATTAAAGAGAATTACTGGGGGGGGGGGGGTCTCTCTTGACCCCCATGTCATATCCCTCCGACGTCTATCTTCACTGAAGTATTTGTGACATGTTTGTGCTCAAAACACTTGTGTTCATGATATTCTCTCTTATTGCTCTGCCAAGGGTGTTCAGCTGTCATAGAAATGAATGCAGTGCATTTAAAGCTGCATTGTCAAACATGGAGGCACTATTTTTTTCTTCAAGTCTTCAGGAGAATGATTTTCCCATACTACATGTAGGAAGTTCAAAATTCCAAACAATTGTTGTATTTCTCAGAAGATTCATTATTTTGAAGATTCATGATTCTGATAGTGAACTGTTACAGTAACTGTTCCTATCAAGGTTTGTGAATTCAAAATAATGTACCGTCTTATTACTAGGAATTTCATCCTTTGGAATGAAGTCTTTCAGGGCCAATTTTTTTTGTAATAATCTGTTTACAGTGTTAGTTTACAGCCCAATTTTATTATTCTAAACGAAATGTGGACATCGAAAATAAATGTCATATATTTGAATATAAAATCTGAAATTCTAGGAATTTTGTTGAATTCAAATGTAAACAGTTTTGCTTCTACTTGTCATTAAGCAGTAGGTTAACCGTTTTGACTCATCAGCCGTGCACTGCAAACAATAGGGACTTTTAGATTCTGCACGACGAGAACGTGGACTGCCCTTTTAAGGCAATGTGACGTCCTTTTAAGGCACTGGCAGTGGCGTCACATTGCCTTAGAAGGGCAGTCCACGTTCTCGTCGTGCAGAATCTAAAAGTCCCTATTACCTCTGTTCCAGAGTGAAGTGCTTCCAGTATCAATCAGTGCATACATGAACTAGCACTAATTCTTTTCTTTATCGAAAACAAGAGTGCTATTTTTACAAGATGACCCAAGATGAAATCATGTCAAACAATAAAAACTACTGAAAATTACTTATTCCAATATGCTTAATACAGCAACCATCCAGTTCACTGGTCAATGGGTCTAAAAGTACATTGAGCAATCTGCTTACCTCTTGTGATATATATTCATGAAAGATTTTATGGCTAACTAGTTCAATAGACGTCATGCATATTCATGAGCAATCTCCTTGGCTTACCTCTTGTGATATATATTCATGAAAGATTTTATGACTAACTAGTTCAATAGACATCATGCATATTCATCAGCAATCTGCTTACCTCTTGTGATATATATTCATGAAAGATTTTATGACTAACTAATTCAACAGACCTCATGCATATTCATGAGCAATCTCCTTACCTCTTGTGATATATATTCATGAAAGATTTTATGACTAACTAATTCAAAAGACCTCATGCATATTCATGAGCAATCTGCTTACCTCTTGTGATATATATTCATGAAAGATTTTATGACTAACTCTGCTCCTGTCCTCTTGTGACGAAACCTCGACCTCATAACAACTCTGAAAACAAACCAACAAAACAAAACAAAAATACTAGTAAATGAAGAACAAAATCATGAAACATAACAAAGAGAGAATGATAATTGTTGACAAAAACAAAACATGTGTGGCAATTCAAATTTCTTTGCTTTTATTATTACTATACAACCAAGAAACTAGAGATGTCTTTAATGCTCTCATGGATAATTGCAAAAATGCAATCAACAACAACAACAACAACAAACAAAAAACAAAAACAAAAATATTTCATGATTTTAGAGCAGGAAAATTTCAAAATTCTGAACCACTTCCAAACTTTGTGAACAATCAATAGTCAGGGAGCAATACCTGTAATTTGCTTCATTGCACATACTCATTTTCTCCAGAGCATCATCCTAATGTCCCAGTCACAATAATGAGACTGACAAATGACCGACACCAGATCAAACAAAAAATTATGTTGCCCCGAGGTCCATGATTACTCGTCGACTTGGGGTCGGTTTGGCAGTGTGCCTCGAGTTTGACAAGCTAATTTGAAACATTCTTGATTTCTGTGGATGTCGATGTTACTCCCAATAAATCAGAAAGACATTTCCATTACCAGCTTGATGATGCAGGGAGGATACATTTAAGTGATAAAAAGGAAATAAAGAAACAGGTCAATACATTTTACCAGAGCACCACGTTACTTTCATCTGGAAGTGCCATCATAATAATAAACACACGCATTCATTTTTGTTGGGCAGCGTGATGTTCTCTAGTCTAGTGCGCAGACACAACCCTGCTCTGAATAAAAATGACCATGCCGGGGAGGGGGGAGGGGGGGGGAGATAAACTTCCAGTTAACAAGGAAATTGAAAGACAATACACTGATAAATGGTTTGTTTTTTTAAAGGCAAAATCCCTATCTCTGTTGAATCATCAGCATTTCCTTAAAGTACAAAGAGTCTTCTGTTCTCTCACATTTTATTCATGTTTTCATGATGTTTATGACAATTGGTGAAAGCTTGAAAAAGGAGGTCCAGACAATTAAAGACTGGTGGTGTTATAATGTGTGATCATCTACTTGCTATCCTTACCAGCCTAGATTTCAGAACACTTTTTGTTGGAGGGGGGGGGGGGGGGTAAATTTCATTTTCTGGGGAAAAAAAATAATGCGAGTCTGGTGATGTCACATGAAGACTATTTTGTCCTTTCTCTCTTTCTATGGTAGTAGTAGTGAAAATCAATAGTCTGCATACTCCAGGCTCAGTTAGACTCATCTTATTGCAAATGGGGGGAATAATGGGGCAAATGAGGCGGGAAATGGCTGGGAACCAGGCTACATCCCAACTAGAGCATGAACATCCAGCAATGACGAATGATGGCTGACCCATTTTAATAACAGATATATTCCCAATTAGCCATCCCCATATCCAATTTCGGACATACACGTACATACACGTGGGTCTTTAAATGTAATAACTGAGAAAAGGTCATCACTGAAGACTTGGGAAGATCTCACACCCGGCCACAAGGCCTTCAGGCCTGCACAATTGAAAGCACATCACACTGGCCCGAAGCTAACGGCACTCTCAAATGCAATTCTTATTTTCATATCTGGATGGATGTTCGATTTGAAATCTCATTATGATGGGGGGGGGGGGACATTTGTCATAAGTGATTTTGACCATATTGTTCAGTGTGAAATCATTTACATGTTCTCATGTTAACTTGTACAGAGGAAGTATTCAAACTGTAAGGATAGTGTACCTGTATAAATTGAAAAAATGTATGGGTTTTTCAATAACGGCTTCAGTCAAAGTGAGTGATTTCAGTATTTTACTTTAATATTGTTTACCTGGGAAGGTGGAACTGTCAACAAATGACAAATTGGTCGTTTGCAAGTATTCAAGTCATCAATTGCATGTGAACTATTGTCATGTGTGGTGTTCAGTTATTTAAAAAGACCCCTTGTAAAGGTTGGTACCATTTCTAGCTATTAAACCTTATTCAGTGGAAAATTGCTCTTACTTTTAAAAGACTGTGCTGGATCACATGAAAATGATTTGAAGTGCCAATTACCTCAAAACTTTCCTAACAATAATCTATGGAGTCCGTTGGTGCATTGTTTGCGCTTAGAGACTTCGGTGGTAAGCGCTTTATAAGTAACGTTTTTATTATTATTATTATTATTATTATTATTATTATTATTATTATTATTATTATTATTATTATTATTATTATTATTATTATTATTATTATTATTATTATTATTATTATTATTATTATTATTATTATTATTATTATTATTATTATTATTATTATTATTATTATTATTATTATTATTATTATTATTATTATTATTATTATTATTATTATTATTATTATTATTATTATTATTATTATTATTATTATTATTATTATTATTATTATTATTATTATTATTATTATTATTATTATTATTATTATTATTATTATTATTATTATTATTATTATTATATATTATTATTATTATTATTATTATTATTATTATTATTATTATTATTATTATTATTATTATTATTATTATTATTATTATTATTATTATTATTATTATTATTATTATTATTATTATTATTATTATTATTATTATTATTATTATTATTATTATTATTATTATTATTATTATTATTATTATTATTATTATTATTATTATTATTATTATTATTATTATTATTATTATTATTATTATTATTATTATTATTTTTATTATTGTTAAAACCGTTTAAAAATGCTTAAAATATAAACACTTTTGGTTTCTTGTCTTGCACTCAGAGGAGACGTGATGGCTCAGTAGTAGAGCAGTGGACTCGTAACTGCGAGGTCTTGGATCAAACCCAAGTAGATGCCCTAGTGCCCTTTGGTTAGGCATTAATCCTCATTTTAACAAGTTCCTCAGAGAGGACTTCAAGCTGTTGGTCCCCTGGTTGCTTACTTTATAAGCATGCAATTGCTTTCTTTACAGTCAGGTAAACAAAATATTGAAAACACATCAAACCAAACTCACATCCACAACAAAAAGTGATGTTTGCAGGGGGCAACCCAGCGTTAGGCTTAAGAAATGACCGCGGAGCTCAAAGCATTTAAAAGAATTCCTTCCTACCAGGTACCAATTTCACTACACCTTGGTTGTGAAAGGCAACTATGGATTAATAAACTGCTAGAGAACATTAGTGATGTGCCATCAATCTAGTAGTTAATATAATAAAATAAAATAATCTGATATTATGCAATCTTAGTAATGTATCCATGGGCAAAAATAGCTTTGACTTGCTTTTGTCATTTGCTGGTACTTAAAAATACGAACAGAAACAAAATGGAACAGCTTCCAACATACAGATAGAGGTGAATCTACTGGAAAGCAACTTTTAGCAGATCTCTCAGTTTTGAGGGCATTTTTAAAGCAAGCTACTCTTGAAAAATCGCAAACTACCTTCTGGCAATGGATTCCATGGCGACCTTCACCCTCTATGATTCTTCTCAAGAATTACATATCTGGGCCCCGTTTCATAGAACTCGTTATCAACAACCAATGCTAGATTTCTATGACAAATTTGCTCTCGGCCAATCAAATGCCACGATTTCAGTAGCTTATAACAGTAATTGTAACTAGTCATTGATTACAAGTTTAATGAAACAGGGCTCGGCTTCTATTATTCTGCTATTGATGGACTTACACACAAGAACAGACCAGACTCTGTATTCAAGCCCCCAGATTATAGTGCTTCATTTATATTAAGACGTGAATACTTACAACTTCTTTTAAGAATGTGATGGCTCTTTTCAGCTCCGGTTTCGTATCACAAAACTCCTTGAACAGTAACTCGCCGATGGGCTGCTCCTCACATATACTCTCATACTCTGTCAAGAGAAGAAGTCGAAATAAGAAGATAAAAACTAGGTCGCAAATTTAAGATGCTGTGGATATAAATTATTAGAAAATCTGATCATAGTAACATCAAAGTTAACCACGATATTCAAAATAAAAATGCAGTAAATTTTTCAAAATTGATGAAATTCTGAAGCATGATCGTATTTTTCCATTTGCCGAATTGACAAAGATAAATCAGGGGAATATTACTCTCTATATACATGTATATATTAATCTATACATCACAAAAGAATCATAAAGCATTCAACAAATTAACCATACAAAAAAAGTTAAAATCTGTGGCTTTTGGGATCATTTGAAGTTGAACTGTTGAAATCTATTGAAAAACTGTTTCAGAGACATTGTTTAAATTGCAACTGTCAGTCATTACTTGCAATAAAAAAATTAATACATAGGTATATGAACTGGTGGTAAGTCTTGCTTGTAATTGCATGACACATGAACACGAGTGGACTACTCTTGAATGATCATTGAAGCTCATAAAAATGCTCGCATGATGTTCATATGAAGGTTTATTCACTAGTAGTTGTTCCATTCATCAGCAGTCAAGGAGGATACCAGCACAAAAAAATTGTGCAGCCAAACTAAACGAGGGAAGTGCCCCTTAAATTTGTAACAAAAAATAGGTGCTCTCAAATTTCTGGGCTTTCTAGAGAGTGGGTATGTGTCACTGTTTCAGCATGGCTTGCATTTATGGAGTGTTTTGGCGCCATAGAGGTATGATACTCGTTCATACTGGAAGTACATGTGTACAATGTGTCTCTTCACCTGTAACAAGCAGCTACTGGAGTGAGAGCACCATGATATGCATGTCTAAGCGCTGTAAGTGACTCAAACATGCTGCATTATTCAACAACAAATGAGTCATCAAACTTAATATATGAGGTAAAATAGCATAAATTATTATCATCGAAGTAGCAAAATGATGAAGACTGCATTATTCTTTATCTGTTCATGAAAAATAGCATGGATTCTGCACAAAAAAAGTAAGGAATACATTATTATATATCCCTGCAAAAAAGGGATATGAATGTACACACATTCTTAAATTAAGGCCAACCTGCAATACCAATGCATGAATAATTACTGTCTTTAATTTATGATTATGATCTACATCACATAGAATCTGTTGAGTCCCTGAGAGACAACAAAAAACTTAGATGCAAGCTTTCAGCAGATGAGAAGAAGAAAAAAATCAAGTTTATGACTTGAAAGGAGATTTTTAAATATTTTTATAAAGAAAACTGAGAAGAAGCAAGTATATATAATTTGTTAAACTTACTTCCATAGAGAATTGAATCATAATATTTTCTTCATACTTTGACTGTCAATAGTAAGAATCGAAACGTATCCTCATTTGACCTCGCTCAACCCTTTCCATAACCATTACTTCAAAATTTGATTTAGACTTGGCACAGAGAGAATATTTAGGCTTACAGTCAATTGGTGCTCCCCCTTACAGAATGTACATATCTAAATCAAATTGAGTGGAAATTACTGCCTGGCAAAATGGGAGTGAACCAAATATATTTGACATTTAAAATACATTTGAAGGAGTGACCTTCAACCAGCGAACATGTGATAGAGCTAGAATGGCGATTTTTATGACTTTTCCAAATTAGGCTGATTTGGCAACCGTTTCAGGTAAATTAATGAGAACTGGGGCTGTGTATGCAATGTGCATGGATTTATTTGGCATTGGTTTAATACGTGGGGTAGCTTTTATGGCAGAAGAAGAAGGAGATACATTTGTGTCATCAAAGAATGGATGGATGGAAAAACGATTCTTTGTTTCGACCGCTGCAGTTTGATGGAGTTCAATGGAGTTTATAGCTCGCTGTGAATGACACTGGGAAGCAAGTGGCTCCTTTTTAATGGCCTGCGGTTTGTGAGCAGCGATCTAGACAAAAGGTGCAAAACTTATACTGCTTTTAAGAATTTAAAGGAAGAATAGCATCTCCTTAGAGCAAGAAGGGCAGTAACTCATATAATTTTAACACATACAGTAGTTAATGCCCTAACGGCTTTCAACAAACAAATGCACCATGTATCATAGACTGACTGTGCACGTAATGCTGGAGTATGTAAATTTACTCATTAATTTGAAGAGCAATGTTCCGGCAAGCGCTATTTCATGAAACCATTATCTTTGCTATTACTCAAATATTTTATATAATTTATTTGAATACTCTCTTTCTCTCTCTCTCTTACTCTCTCTCTCTCTCTATCTCTTCTCTAATGACTGAAACCATTAGGCAATGAAAATAATGTGCTTGGTATGGAAGGCCTATCAAATTGGCAACACTACCGTGAATGTAAACACGCTGATGTATGGGTCCACTGGTTGACTGCCTAATGGAGTGACCTACTTTCACCGCTTGCCCCGGAGATATAACAATGAACGAAAAGTGGATACTGGTAATGCCACTAGGATTCTGTTCACACTAAGGAAAAATTATTCGATCCTTGTATATAGAAACGTCTTTAATAAAAAAAAATTGTCGTATAGCATAAAGGGGAATACACAGGTGGAAAGTAGTATTAATAAGCATAAATATAGAAACATCGTGTGAGAAAAAAACATTTTTGAAGTGGTAAGTTGACAGCCCAGGCCTTAGAGACATTGTTGATGTATAAGCGCTATATAAAAGAGGAATATTATTATTATTATTAGCCAATCATTAGCGCATGCTCATGATGATTCCCAACCCAGTTAAGGCAATTTTTGTAGGATAGAATGTTTACATAAGTACTGGAACCTGATCACTTATTGACTTATCGTCCAAAAAGATGTTAAAACACTTGTTTTGCTATAAAACGTTTCATGATATGTTTCCTCCTAAAGGCGTTCAGGCTACAAAAGAGTCAAATGGTAACCCTATACGTTTATCATACAGCTAGTATATGATCAATATATGCTAGACTGAACAAGGGGAATTTCATTCTGATAGATAGACATACAGCATAGATTTGTTGTTTAGGTGTATCAATACCTAATATGAAATGTAATATTACTGTGATGCAACATATCAATTTGTTTTAGTTCTTTTGTTTTTCTTTCTTTCATAAAATACCATTGCGCCTTTATCTTTAATATACTACAAATGGTGCAATGTTTTGAATTTTACATTTACGAGAATGCGTGCCAACAAAACAATTATAACGCAAAGTAGGTTTAATAAAATGTAATAATATTTCAGGGTTTTGTTTGCAAACTATAAGTGATTTTTTTTTCCTTCTCTATTATTTTCAAACAGTACACTCTTAAGACCTGCACAGCATATGATTGTTTGATATTTATGATATCAAGAATTGTTGTTTGCATCTTCTTGATAGTGAATTATATATATCTTATTTAATTATGTATCTTTATTTATATGTTATATACCATGAGCTATAAATGAGGAGAGCCTTCTACAGAAACCCAATTTCTTTTAGTAATCCACAGGCATTAGTTAATGGTTTCTTTTCTTTTGTTATTAGGGACTTTTAGATTTGCACGTCGACATAGTGGCCTGCTACGTGTGACGTCCCACTGGCAGTGCCTTGAAAAGACATCACAGTGCCTTGAAAGGACGTCACACGTAACAGTCAACTATGTCGACGTGCAAATCTAACAGTCCCTAATGTATTTATTATTTGTATTTCGTTTACTTGTATTCTTTGTTATTATTATTAGGTTATACTCCTTTAAGTTGCCGGAAATGAAATAAAATGAAAAAGAAGAAAAATCCTCAATATTGTTTGTGACATTGTTTGGTGAAAGGAACAACGGCATTAACTCTTTGTTAAAGCACAAGAATTTACGCCCTTATGACTCTCGGCAGTAGACATGAAGATCACCCGTCATTTCAATGGGTGTATGAATAAATGAACAGGTAGGAGAGTTCACGAAGAGGGCTAGAGAGTTGGTAAGCCATCACCGATGCCTTGAACATCCACTGAGAACGAACACCACTGCTCAAGCAATGCTAATAGGCTATCATTGGACACACACGCTATACAGTATCATCATTCGGGGGATGCCAACTCCAATTCTATCTGTATCTATTTGTAAGTATCCATTTGTATCTCTTCGTCTCCCTACCCCTCCCATTGACTCTTCTGCTTGCTTGCTTGCAATCCCCCCCCCCCCCTCTCTCTCTCTCTCTCTCTCTCTGTACCTTTTAATCTCTTGCTTGCTCGCTCTCTCTCTCTCTCTATCACTCTTCTTTTCTTTTCCTTTCTCTTCATCCTCCCCCACCCCCCCCCCCTCTCTCTCTCTCTCTCTCTGTACCTTTTAATCTCTTGCTTGCTCGCTCTCGCTCTCTCTCTCTCTCTCTATCACTCTTCTTTTCTTTTCCTTTCTCTTCATCCTCCCCCATCCCCCCCCCCCCCTCTCTCTCTCTCTGTACCTTTTAATCTCTTGCTTGCTCGCTCTCTCTCTCTCTCTCTCTCTCTCTCTCTATCACTCTTCTTTTCTCTTCCTTTCTCTACATCCTCCCCCATCCCCCCCCCCCTCTCTCTCTCTCTCTCTTTCTCTCTCTATCACTCTTCTTTTCTCTTCCTCCCTCTCTCATCTCTTCTCTCTTATCCCATCTCACTTCTGTATCTTTCGATGTAATGGGTTTTTTTCTATCTACCGTATTCCAGACTTGAGAAAATTCTTATATCGAGTCCAAATGAGCTCATCTCATAACAGTTTAATGTCCTTCTCGTCCACGATCAATTCCTAACAAAATCTCAAAATGTCATATCCACTTATCCTCCATTCACTCTCTTAATCTCTCTCTAATAGTTAAAATCTGTTCAAATCCTGAATGTCATCTCTTTCTATTTCTCTCTCTCTCTCTCTCTCTCTCTCTCTCCCTCTCCATCCTCCAATACAATCAGTACATAACTTTGCTACATTTAAAGACTTCCATTCCTTATCCAAAATTCCAATTGTTTCTTTTTGCCCTCATCACATCATCTCTTCCTTCCACCTCCTTCCTCCAAGCCTCCATCCTCCTTCCCGTTGAGATGAATTGAATTCCACAGCGCTAATGCTTGCTGTTATTCACTGACTTACGACTAACTTACATCCATTATTTCAGCCTGTAGCTTTGGAGTAGGCAGCTTCTTCGACACTCTCTCTCTCTATCTCTCTCTCTCACTCTCGCTTTTCCCCCCAGCTTCCCAACCAACATCATGCATGTGTGTATATCGTATCTGTGTGTGTGGGGTGGATGGGCGCCGATGCATCCATCTACATGTGACTCCGATGGATGATACCGTATCGCCGAGCGTGCGTGCGTGTGTGTGTGTGTGTGTGTGTGTGTGTGTGTGTCGTATATGTACTGTATGTTTAGATAGCAGTGATGATTTACAACACAAGGAGATCACGATAATATATCTCATCATATGCTTCCCTACTAGCATAGAAGCTAGAAGGAGAGTCTCCCCGTCTCCTACACCCGGTGTCTACAACAAAAATCAATTGCATCAAATCACGCCACGCAAGTTTGACCAGAGATCAAGCCGCGCGCTCGGCTGCACATGGGATAACTCTCTAGAAAGAGATGAAGGAAGATTCATGCATTGTACACAAATTTAGATTGCATCTTGCAAAGCCGAATTGCTTTAGTTTTTAGACCATATTCCATTACGTGGTACCACCCCGATGGATTCTATTATCTAAACTCGTCTGCTGCTAATCAATCCAAATTTCAACTGTGAATGAATATCCTTGTATATTGGATTTTTATGCTTTCTGAAAAAGAAATGCATGCAATTACATCATAAAATAATAATAATAGTGGGTTCTTGTATAGCGCTCATATACATTTCATATGATTTTTTTAAATTACACTTTAAATCTCCTGGTATATATCTATTTCTAATTCAATGACTTAATTGAAATTAAAAATCATGTTATTGTAAAATTAATTCTAAATTACATTTCACGACTGGATTCTTTTTATTCATTTGTTTTAATGAATAATTACAGTAAATTTGAACGAAACAAAGATCTCAATATTTAGGGCCCACTGAATCAGTGGAGTTAGATAAACCAGGTTTGAATTAGTCCATCTTATGAGATAACAAGTACAAGCCTAGAATAGAATGGCACATGTTTAAAGAGGAAGCAGCATATTTAAAGTGAATTCTACCCTAATAGTTCAGATGGTTTTTATTAAAAGCAGATAATAATTGAACCAGATCAGAGAAAGTTTGAAGAAAATCAGACAAAAACAAGATATATTCAACAAATTTTGAGTTGAAATCAAGCAAAATTAAATATCCAATTCAGTGATGCACTTCTTGAGGTCCTGCCCCATTCGCTCTGCACTAATAATCATACATTTACATTTACATGTATGTATGTATACATGCACTCAATTACTACAGTGTGTTTTAACAATCTCTCTTTAATAAATAAACATTGTTTTTATCAACATTTGAAAAATGGATGTTCATAAAAAAATGTTGATACAAAGCAAATGGAAATAATGCTTGAAACATATGTCACGGAGGTGCCAACTTCCATTTGATCGATTGCATCTTTAGTTAAAATTAATACTTATTTTTCACTTGAGTTTTCTCATACTTTCTCTAATCTTATGCTGGACCATCCATCTGGAACACTCTACCACAACACCTCCGCCTATGCAGTACAGAAGACACTTTCGAAAAGAAACTTAAAACCCAACTCTTTCCATCTTGAATCCATTATATAAGTTTTGAGTACCGTATTTGCCGGCGATAAGGCCACAGCGCTGCATAGGCCGCATCCCCAATTTTGACATTTAAAAAAAAAAAAAAAAAAAAATTGAAAGAGGCGTGATTCGAACTCTTGCGTACAAATGTAGAATGCAACCCAAATCACCGCCTTAGACCGCTCGGCCATCCCGTCCTTGATTCTATCCTTTGCAGCTTTTTCTTGTGTATATATTTGTATATAGCTCTATGATTGCGCCATAGCTTTGCTCGCGCAAGCTAGAGGATTCAGGTTGCTTTAGCTATGGCAAAAACTTAAATCTAGATCTACCAGTAGAGTTTAGTTGGTAAGTTATGAATTTTATTTACGAGATTGACAAAACTTTGCCCTTTTTCATTTAAAAAATATAACAAATAATTGTCTGTAAAACATGTATTATTCCAGACTGTTATTCTAGAAATGTCCTTCACCTTTCATTGCTGTCCCATATGTACAAATTCGTTCTGTGTTTCATGGTTTTGACTTAAAATTTTTAATATTTTTTTTACTCTTTCGCCGCAAAGGCTGCACCTAGACTTTTTGAAATTTTCTCTTCCAAAAATACTGCTGCCTTTACGCCGGCAAATACGGTATCTAAATTTGTTTTTGTTCATAATATCTCAATTACTGTTCCTTATTTGATTGTTATGATTTGTATGTTTCTTTTCTGGTGTATTAGAGCTCTGATCAGTTGGTCTCTAGTAGCGCTCAATAAGAATCAATTATTATTATAATTGTTATAATCTGTTTTTCTCATTTGTTTGCTTTGAATAAAATCAACTTCATGTCAATGTCAGGGTGTAGTCGGTGGACTCCCCTTCTTTTAATTAGTGACTAGATTATATTAATACAAACCTGCTATTTCTGTTGGGCGTTGGCATTCTGTTATGTGAGGGAACTTGAGGATCTGTCGCCACTTTTTACTCCGGCCTTTGCGTTTGCCACCACCACCTGAGGGAAGAAAGAAAGATAAGAAAAGAAGTTAGTTTTAAATGTCACAGAAGAGTGTGTTCACATGGGACCATCTAGTTGTAATCAAAGTCCCACTATTAAACATTACAGCACTGAAACAACAGCTAAAAGTTTTTAAATACACCTTTTCATTCCACTGCATGCATGTTTTTCAACACTCGTATCTTCAAGAGAAAAAGTTGATGTATAAGATGTCATTTGTTTCATAAGGAATACACGGGTGAAACGACATTACCTATAATAACATTTGCTCAAGGCTTCGATTCATCACATATACATGTATACGTGCAGGGTTAGGGTCAGAGTTGTAATTGGGTTTGGGATAGGTTGAGGTTTAGGGTCAGGGTTAGGTTTAGTGCTAGTGTTTGGTCAAGGGTTGACTTTGGGAATTCTGTAAAGCATTAGTATTAGTCGCACTGACGGGACTGACCCCGAACTGACTTTTAAATGGCAACTGGCCGGAATGCTCCCCAGGTAGTGGAGAATGTGCATACATTGTGTGCGGGTAAGCCTGAATCCGATGACCAGGATAATAATATATACTGCGCCTAGAAACAAAGTATTAGGCGCGTTATAAACGTGATGTATTATTATCATTATTTAGTCATCGGTCATTCAGCTCAGGGTAACGTTATTTTCTGATCGGTTTCTGGTCGGTCTGGTGTTAGCCTTGTGGGTGTGAATAGGGTATACATCTTGGACAACAACCATGAAGCAAATGTCACTGGAGCACATGTCGAAGAACTGAAAATGAATGCGGCTTCTACTCATATAAACCCTACCCCTAACATAAAACCACATTTCATTACACCCCTCCCTTTTTGGTTTTGCCAAACCCATGCCACCCGACCCTACTTCATCTCATCCCACTTCACCCTACCCCGACCAGGCCCCACCCCTTCTCAGTTTTCATGACAACAGCTGTATTCAGAACAGCACCAGGTGAACATATGGACTCCCGTCTCAGGTTTGTGAAGGTCAAGTTTACTCAAAGGTCATTCTGGTGCAGGTGCAAGGCTGCTAAGCACCTGTTTCTCTTATAATCTGACTGGAAATGTTTAAAGATAAAGTCAAGTTCTGCATGGTCATGTGCTCGCATCGTGAAAGAAAGTGTCTGTGAGCAAGTGGAAAAGGTTATGTAGCCCATTCATATTTATGTATACTGTGAGGTTTTGGTCTTTTGGAATCATCAAAATAAAATGAAATTGATTTTGTCTTGCTGACAGTTATATGCACTTAACACAGATATGTGTAAATGGGACTGCACAAACTTGTGGCATGAAAGGTTGATCCTAAAACTGTACCTATATTTCTTATCATATTTCCAACATGGAAGTACCTGAAGAGCATTTCAGGGGATACTTCTGGTACCGGTATATTCTTCTACACCAGAGATCACAACCAAGTGTGTACCTTTCCAGAACTCAACATTCTCTTTATGCATACAAGGTGTAGAATCCTGGCTTTGGTTATAATAGGAGCAGAAAAATGAGAGTACTAAATTTACTAAATGTTTCATATATTTAGAATACCAGTAACTTTTAGACTTCAAGGAAGACAGTTCCATTATCAAAACTCAAATTTATATATTATTGTAAGTATCAGAATTAGAGGATTATTTCGAATCATTGGGTCAACACGTTGGGTTGCATTACCCGACCTTTGTGAAAACACACCCCTTTAATCACAAAATGTTGGGGGTAATGTTTATGAAATAAGCCCCTCGCATCTACAAATGGTCCTGTCAGATTTACCAGACACTTTGTTAGATTCCTACGGCAAATCTATAAAAGGTAGCATCCTCAACGTGCATCTCCAAATGATTTTCCATTTTCATTTCATGAAAGGTTGTGTGACGTGACCATCCGAGCAGACACGATAACCCGATGATTCAAGGTAAACCATTTTAGAAGGCATGATGACTTTTATGTCAGCTAGATGATTCCCAATCTTTGCCCCAAATCAATGATATCAGATAATCTATAAAATATGCAGGCACTTATGATAAACGTGGCTTTCTATATAGACATACATTCAAACCTCTCCCTCTCTCTCTCTCTTATCTTCACCTTCTTTCTTTTTTGTTCATGGATATCAATCTTCCTTCCCCTCCATTTTCTCTCTCCTCCTCCCTTCTGTTTTAATCCTGATGGGATTAATTTCCACTTTAACAACACCATACACATTCAGCCCAGTGTGCAGAAAGGTTAATTACGCACACGAGAGATCTACCATGTATTCTCTGCGCTAATTAAGCTGTAACAGTATACATCACATGTGAAATACTAATTGAAGTCACATCCATCACGACACCATAAACTCTACATTAATGGCGCAGAGTAACTCAGAAGCTGGGCTGCCATGATCACATAAAAGTAACAACAGTCACTATATACCATCATCCTCTACAGACTACAGACTACATACATGTAGTCACTCAAAAGCTATGATTTCAATACCCCAAACTAAAATGCTAATCCAGTCAATATATACCATCATCCTCATACTATAAAGAGTCACTAAAAAACTATGATTTCCCTGTCCCAAACTAATATGCTAATTAATTGAAGTCACAACAGCCAATAAACCTTATCCTCGACAGACGACAAAGTTTTCTTAACCAGACCTTCTAACGGTTAAACGAGAGTGCCCATACAAGCATGAATATTCAAACCTTTATCTTAATTGATATTGATAGTGTCTTAATTTTCCTTTAATTTTTTATATATTTTATGACAGTTTATAAATATTAAAATTAAGAACAAAAAGTGTCCACTTTTTTCTTCTTACAGAGTATAATTTGTTAACTGTACCTAATAACAATAACGCAATTTGCTAATTTCTGAGCCTGGTTACATCATGGGTGATCACCATCAAATTCTCTTTTAATTATTTACACCACTGAATGATGGGCTTTCCACGAGACGCGATCTCCTTTTTATGCATCGTTGTCGTAAAGTAAAATGGGTTTAATTGGAATTTGCCATGCATCCCTTGATATTGGCAAAGGTTTTCATTGTCGGGTCACCTTCAAAGATGGATTAAAACCTGAAAAAAGGAGAAAAGCTATAAAAACAAGGTAGGTCGTGTGTATTGGATATTTTCAGAAGTACAATAGCTTTTACTCCACATGTATTATGTATATTATTTTCATTATGTTTTGATCCCATTCATCAGGGAGAAAATATTCCATTGGTATGCATACTACCTTATATTCCCATTTTATCTTATTTTCCTCACAATCTATGGTCGAAACTGCTTTAGCAAATGGCTTTATAAAAATGTTTGTCTTGGTTTTTGTTCATGAGTTCAAGTTCACTGATGCCACTGCCCACACAATTATTAAATATCCATCCATCTCTATATCACTACGTGTCTCCTTCACAACACACCCTCAAGGCAATCATCTAATTGATGGGGCCAGCTTTCAGCAATTTACCTCATCTGATTCGTTCATGGATCAAGGCCTCAAATGGCAAAGAAAAGTGCTTTCACATGTCTACATAGACACTTTCTTCATTGAAAATGGGAATTTACGCTTGATTGATTACAACTTTTAAAATATACAACTTTATTAAGTTCATTGGATTTTTCTCAAAATTTCAATGATCCGTTTCTCCCATGTTTCTGCTTCCATTACAACCAACTTAATATCAGATTTGACTTCCATTTACGGGGTATTTGCACATTTTTTTTTTTTTAAAGTGTAGTCCAAAGAATAATAGGCAACAAATGCAAACAATTAAGGTGATATAAATTTTTTTATCAGGTAGAAACATTTTAGGATAAATGGAAGAAGAAAAAAAAATCAAATTTGGAAAATTTCCCCTTCTGGTCTTTGCACCAGCCAGCATAATTTTCTTGAGTGTATACCGGTAATGTACTTTTTCTTATAACGTTAACCATTTTACATTGTAATTCTAGGCGTGGTTCTGTGACACAAGTGAATTTTATCAAGGAAGGAATTCATAATTCATGACGTCTCCTGTTCAGTTTTATAATCGTTCAGGTGGTGGAAACGTGTGATGGAAGTATGGATACTCTGCTATTTATTGGCTCGTTACTCCTCTTCCTGTTAGTGTATTTCTTCTCCTTTTTTTTCTTCTTTCTGTATTTGTCTCAAATTTTATTGACCTTGTATACAATTATTTGTCGAATAACTGCCCTCTTACATTTGATTTTGTACCTCTCCCTAAAGTAAACATATTCGGTCCATGTCTCCCAGGAACCTATTCTTTACAAGCTAAGCTTTTCTATAAGTTCCTGCACTATACCAGTTTTTTTTACTTCTCTCATCTGGGTTTTCATTTAACATTATAATAGTTGTCAAACACATTTGGTGATGTATGATTTTGAAGTCTGATTAATTTGTCAATTACTATAATCAATTTTTTTTTTTAATTACGAAACAATGTCTTTTATGTGTATTTTGTTATCTGTATTGAATCTGCATGTGAAATGTGAAATCGATAAACTCAAACTCAAACTCAATGAGTCTGTGCCTCAAGACTAGAGGATGTACAATGTGCAACCAGGAAGTGAAATCTATTAAAATGTGCAAGCATAGAATTGCAGTTTTGGGGAAATAGGACCGAGATCTTCCTCCTCCAAAAATGTTATCTTAAATTGAATAAAAATGGATTAATGCCAATACATTTCTATTCCAATGTAACCTTGCTAAAGCCTTGACTTAACACTAAATGAAGAGGGAAAATCAATAGCATTATTATGAACTCTTTGTATCGTATCGTCATTAATGATCTAATATAGCCAGCCCTTACCACTATCTAAATAAAAAATTATCAACTGAAAACATTCAGTTCCCTCAGAAAAAAACACTGGCTCCGTGTCTGGGTTATTCAAATTGATTTCTAGATCTCACTAAGCACATACCGGTGTGTACATTAGTAAATGAAGTTTAGGACACATTGACAGGAAAAGGGAAATGCAGTCATAAAAACAAGGCTCATTTTAATGGTTACAAGTACTTCCTATTAAACCAAAAAGAGCTTTCAAATACGTAACAATTTAGTCCAGACATTTCAGGCACAATAACAACCAGCAAAGTTGACATACATAAAACAAGTGTATTTAATTTTGCTTGAGGTTTGTATGACTATGAATGATGTGTATCATCCATACAATGTAAATACCACAAATTTCCATTGTTAAATGAACAATATGAACCTTAAGAACCTTGAGATATTATTTGCATTCTATTTTTGGCTCACAACTGTACTTGTAAATACGTTACCAAATGTAACCTGAAACATTGGCCAACAGGCATCTTAGTTTGCAATTAATAAGAGATATAAATTCTTTCAATTATGTCCATCACACTCACAGGCTTAGGGTAAATAAAAGTTGTGCTTCATGAATGTAATATTCATGTCCTAAAACATACATAAGCTGCATTTACACTTTCATCATCACTTTCACCAACACCATCATCATCACTATCACCAACACCATCATCATCATTATCATCCTCATTGGTATCACCAAGTAGGGTCCATGGGATCACTATCATCATTACAAGCAGCAGCAGCATCACCACTACCAATAGCTATTAGTAGCAGTATATCATTTCCTGATTAGATATTGTATGTGTACATGTAATCATTCTGTGTGCTATCACCTAGTCAAGGTGTGGTGAGTTTCCATTATCTCGCTGAAGCCAGGCAAACAAGCAGAATGAGATCAAACTGCAAAGCTTAGTCATGTGAACACAACAGCAAGCATTCACGGGAATCATCATTGCCACCACCACCACCATCATCATCATCATAATCATCACCGCCATCATCTCTATCATATCCACCACTGACAGGCAACAGCATCGTGCCGTTTCTCTTTTTGAGGGATTACAGTTAATCATTTCCTAATTATATTCACTATGTGTGCTTTTATACAATCAAGGAGTGATGTGTTCCCACTATCTCACTGATTCAAGGCAGAGTAAGATCAAACTGCAAAGCTAAGTTGTGTTAACACAGCAACAAGTATTTATGTTGTTTCTAAATGAAGAAATCTTTATAACAGGGAACGTATTCAAATTTAATAATATATAAGGAAAATATCGGTCAATATTACCAAACGTGAATATTATGAATATTGTAAATCAATCAACAACACATCCATCCAGTGAGGACAAGGCTATAGCTTCCAATTGCTCACTCCCCGATGATAAAAACAATCTATTTACGATCACAGGCAGGCAATATGAAAGGTATGGAAGAATATGATATCATAAATAAAAGGGTCCCTGGAAAAACCTACACTGAGATACAAACACACAATGCTGGCACACACATGCACCATTATACATGTATCTGCATCAGAGTAGATCACGTGTCATTTCATGGCTGAAATGATGGTCGTATCAATGGCATTATAAACAGAAAACGTCACAACTGGCATTATGAATTGCAAACAGCCATCTTGTTTCTTTGTCTCGCATTTTTAAGTGCAGAAAGTTTGAATTTTATCGGGAACGTTTCTTGTAAAAATAAATAAAGTCATCATTGAAGGCAGTATTATGATCACAATGACTGAAGAACTATTCAAATACATTTTGACAATAAAGTCAGGGAAAGCGACAAGTGCATCCCCACCCCCCCCCCCTCCCACACACACCCCTATATCTGCATCGGAGTACATGTAGATCATGTGTCATATCCTTGCCATGACAGGGAATATTCACAATTTATACACAACTCTTTGATATACCTATAGATACCATACACCAGCCTGCCATACACATTTGATTTTTTTTGTGAATGAATGTCGATCTATGGAATATCGGGCCCATTTACACAGACCAAACACCATTTATTTTTTGGACTGCCATTTTTAATACTAGAAAACATTGGTGTATGCTCATTCCCATTTTTGGGTGACCAATAAACAGAATCATCCGCAGATGTTTCAAGAGCGGGCATTAAAAGTGCAAAAATCAGTCAAATTTCTGCCAGCGTTAAAAAAAAAACACTCCGGAGGTGGATTTTCAATTTTGTTTTTTTGTCATGTTTGCCAGTAGTTGCTTAGAAATTTCTGACGAAAAATTGAAATGTGCAGTGTAAATGCAACTAGTCTCCATCTTATGTCAAATCCGTGACAAATCGAGGTCGACAATGTGTGAAGTTGAACAACAGCTGCACTAATATAGTGCAAGCTAAAAAAACATCAGTTTTTCACACATTTCAGACTCTTGTTGGAAGTTGCTAGGCAACTAGCCATGAACGCGACAAAAAACCCGACTCTGGAGTGTGTTTTTTTTAAACGCCGGCTAAAGCTCCACCAGTTTTTGCAGTGTAAATGCTTGCGCTCAGATCAACATTGAACTATTCCGGCATTTGGTCACGTGACTCTCCTGACTAGCTACAAGTGGAGCATGCGCACAATTCACCAAAGAACAACAACAGAATTATTAAAAAGACTGATGGGGTTTTTATGGGCTTTTCCAGTACTGTAACAATGTAAATGGGCCTTTTACATCCATAAAATGAAAACTATGCCTAATCCATTACTGTGAAGGGCATTTTGAAAAGCAAAATCATTGAAGTAGCCCCTCCCTCTATATATATCTCTCTCTCTCTCTCTCATTCCCCCTGTCCACACACAACATTTTCCATGATTAAGCGTGATTACCTATACCGTTTCGCAATAGGTACATGTATACAGTTTTGCGAAAGTTATACAATGAAATTGTGTGTGTGGACGCTCACTAACGATACGTCGTATAACGAAACGCAGGTTTAGGCATCTTTTCGAACTAGAACTCAATAAAGTATCACGCCTAATCACGCCTAATCACGGAAGGTGTTGTGTGTGGACGTAACTGGTGTAACTAGTGTAACTAACTGGGCGGGGCTTAACGTGACCTCGCACGAAAGGAGACCTGACCTCTCATTTCCGCTTCCATTTCATGACCGCAGTAGCAAACTGCGCACATATACGACATTTCGCTGTATAGTTTCAGGATTACTTTCTTCTGTGTGTGGACATCCTGGAATTTATACGATGATTCTTTATACGACGTTTCGTTATAGAGTTTCGGGATAAATTGTTTTGTGTGTGGACACGCTGATTCTCTCTCGCATTCATTCTCTATTGATGTCTTAACATCTGTAGGAGCAATAAACCTTGAGACCATTCAGCTTTACAAGCATTTGATTCGACTACTTTGACATTTACAGAACATTCTTATTTGTACTGCAAAGTTAATGTTAAGTGGATGTCATACATGCTTTATCATCATTGGTTAGAGTCCACAATGTATCCTACATAACAAATGATCTTCAATATATTTGATACAATACTGATACACTAATAAAGAAAAAGCAAGAAGTTAATCTAAACCCCAAAAAAACATAGTCTGTGATCACTCTCCAGACTTTTATATCCATACTACAGAGCTCCTCATTTTATTACAGGCTTTGCCCTTTTCTGCTTGTGAAGATTCCTTTGACCATCAAGTGACCAGGAATAAATAGACCCGTCTCCATCAGCTTGAGATTGCCAAATAACCCGTTATTTTAACTATCCCGATCACAGATTATCCAGCTAGTTTGCGTCTTCATCAGCCCGCAGTTGTAATTAGCGGGATATTTGGTCATCCCAAGATATTGGGCTACATGTAGTTTGCAAAATATCCCGCTATTTGTCCGGTGCGTCCTCACCAGCCCGACTATGTGCGATTGCTGAGCAAAATATCTTGAGCTAATTTCCCGAGCTCAAATTTCAAGTTTCGAGGTCGAGTCTAGAGCTGATAAAGATGCGATTTGTAACTTCTGGCTTATTTCCCAAATTAGAAATAGCGGGCTATTTGGCAATCTCGAGCAGATGAAGACATACCTAATGTGACTGCCCCCACTCCTAAAAGTATGGAACACAACCACCCCACCAGGTGATCCAGGGCTCTTTTGATTTTGACTTTTGATTCAATGAAAGTTGTTTTTTCCACTTCATACAGGCACAGTATACATAGATGTTGTGTATACAGACTTTTGATTTAAAATAGTATTTTGAAGAAGTTTACATGCAACATTACATAAATCTTTTAAGAATTATGTTAGACAATATTATAAGGATAAATCTATGTGATGGCTTACAAGTGCTATTTGATGCATACATTTCTTTAAATCCAAAGGCAAAAGTGTTGGCTTTATTTTTGTTAAGCGTCCGGACACACAAACCTCCCTTCATATTGGTACATGACTGTATCACTTATTATGCAGATGGCATGACATTCAAATCTGTATATATACTGCAGTATCTGCAAAATAGCCACCAATTTTTTTCACTTTTTATCTCTTTTTATATTTCAGAGTTCTAAAAATAAGTTAGTTCATTCATAGGTATATCTTTATACAAAGAGAGCACTTTTAAGAGCAACTTAAAGAGAAGGTTGAGTTCTGGGAAGAGGTGAAAAATAATTTGTGATCGTTATCATTCTTATTATGCAAGTGTGGAAGAACATCAGATAAGACATGTTCCCTGAAAAGCATGGCTCTTCAAGTGCCTTCATATTCTAAATATGTCATGTTACATCGTAAAACTCGGGGTAGGATTTTTACGCCACGTGTTCGTGTAGTCCCATATACATCTTTCTGTGTACAGTGTTTGTAACTTTACCAAGACTTGGCCAAATTTCTTATAATTTTGATGATTCCAGAACCTTGCAATACACACAAATTCTTATATGCTAGATGATCAACCTATTTCTGTTCGATTCCACACCGTTTCTTTCACAATGCAATCGCATGACCAGAACTCAACTTCATCTTTAAGCCTCAGAATAATTTGTTGATAATACATATGTCAACATGTTACTGAGATATGTATAAACATACATGTACAATATTTAAACATGACAATACATAGTGTGCGTGTCTTTAAAGATCCTTTGCAAGACTTGTTTCTGTTTTCTTTTTGTGCAGTGTTAGCATTTTACTTTTTAAAAAATTAAAAATATGCAAAATCAATGGAAATATTTGTTAGTTGAGTGTGTAAAATTCATTTTAAAATGTCAAAACAAAAACAGTAAGTTGGAAAAGAAATTGACACCAAAGTAACCAAAGTCCATGACCCAAAGAATATTTGTTAGTTGAGTGTGTAAAAATCATTTTAAAATGTCAAAACAAAAACAGTAAGTTGGACAAGAAATTGACACCAAAGTAACCAAAGTCCATGACCCAAAGAATATTTGTTAGTTGAGTGTGTAAAAATCATTTTAAAATGTCAAAACAAAAACAGTAAGTTGGACAAGAAATTGACACCAAAGTAACCAAAGTCCATGACCCAAAGAATATTTGTTAGTTGAGTGTGTAAAAATCATTTTAAAATGTAAAAACAAAAACGGTAAGGTGGGAAAGAAATCAATATCAAAGTAACCAAAGTCCACGACCCAAAGAAGTTAGAAAAAAGACCAACTAATATGGGTTACGTATGAAAGTTTAAACTAAGGAGTGATTACAGATGAAAAGTTCATTTGACTATTACAGTCACCAAATATAACTGACATTGATGAATGCGGTAGCCATTAGATGTGTCATGGCTTTGGGATAAAATACTTTCCTCTTTAATACTTTGATATGTTAAGATTTAATTTTTTTTTTTTTTTTATATGTTTATCAAAAATAATATCTCAATATGATAAGCAGAAAATCAATTTGATTACAACTGGCATAACAGATTTTTGGATTTTAACTATTTTACAATGTTACAAAATAATAATTTTTAAAAATATATATTTTTCCCTTCATTTAGCAAAGCAGATTTTTCTTTTAGTGCATTCCATTTTATTTCATGCATCAAGTAGAAGTACAATTTACATTAT